TATCGTCCTTATGAATTTTTGTATGAAAAATAAGCACCGAGTAGTTGTCCATATCGCCGCTCTGACTGCATAGCGGCGCTAGCAGTTAGCAGTGGTTGATAGAAAATGATTCGTTTTTACATTGATAGATGGGACTTTTAACAAATCGTGAATCAAATGTCATATTAAATATCTGTAAACATATGTATTTCGTAATGCATGATTAAAAGTATGTAAGTAAGAATTAAACTACATGTACTACTGACATGTACTATTTGGAATAATGCTCATTTGAAAAATCCAACCACATATCAACCAGACAATAATGGCTGGGTATTAAAAGATGACAAATACCAGTTCAAATGGTTTAAAGGGGATCAACTGCTGAGTAAAAAAAAAATTATTTTTTATTAAGTAGATTTCTTAAAAGATAGTAATCGACTAAGCATTCGCGCTAACACCTATAGTGGAGTTTCACCACGAAATCTGACCGGCTATAGGTCCTCAAGTAACATCTCTTCTACCTGGCAATTTCCCAGCTATAGCCAGGGTCTGCCCTACATGTTGTGAAAAGTTTTTGGCTATTTGTTTTTACGACCGGCCCGCCTGCCTGACATCAACCCTCTTTTTGGGAATCAACATTAATCAGTGATGTCTAAATACTCTTAGAAAGTACATATGATTAGGAAAAATCACATTGGTACTTGCCCGGGCCAGGATCGAACCCGCGCCCTCGTCGACGAGAGGCGGGCCCTTTAACCACTGAGCCACCACTGACTGGTCCTCAAGTAACATATTATATAAAATTAGCTTTTATACTATAAAGTATAATCAGTGAAGTAACTAGCCTTTTATGCACCTGGTGCGAGCTTTCATAACTGCGCCCCTGATAGATGTTCTAACCAGGTTCCGAAAATAAATTAGACAAATGTATTTCTCTATCTATTTATTATGTACCAAAGTAACAAAGTATATAAGTATATAGCTACCATGCATGAGATAAAACTAGAAGTATCTAGTACTAGTACTAGTAAGTCCGGTCATTTCTGCGCCCCCCCAGGGTCTGCGCCCTGTGCCTGGGCACTGCTGGCACCGCCCTAGTTACGGCACTGAGTATAATAGTAATTTATTAAAGTTAAGAGGTGTCTGGCAGGGGGTAGCAACCGTCATAATTGCCTGGCAATGGATGCGGAAATTTCTAAAGTCATCCCGAAGGAAATATAAAAAAAATGATATACTTTAACAAATTTTAAGCACTATTTTATACACCTTTACTACGTTTTAACTGCTAGATAACCACAACCCAAACTCTATAGTCGACGGCCGTTCTTACCTGTATAGGAGAACGGAGTAACTTTCAATTTTTATAAAACAACGCGAAGCCCTAGCCGTCGTGGGCTCTTGCTCTATAAGACTCTCTCATGTTAGAAGCCTCACCTAATGGTATAGTTAATTCATTACTTGCTAAACGCTAGCGTTGTATTCTTTTGTAGTTTCTACTCAGAGTTCACATTTTTTATTGAATGAATTTTAAATTTATTATTAGATTTTGCTCAGTATCGCGAGATTAACAAAACTTTTACTTAAAAAAGACATGAAAATAAAAATGTTCTAACTCATTAGTCATTACATAATCTAACTAATTAAAAGATACGATTATTATTCCTAAAAGATCTATGGTAAAATATTTATTAAATATAATAGACGGGTAATAAATAATAATATTCTGAGTATAACGACAACATTGAATAAAACTTTTATTGCATAACATTAATGAACGTCTGTCTAATCCACTGTGATTAAGCAGGAGTCTGCTGATGTCCTGGTAGGATCTCACTAAACCAAATCGAGCTACTCCAGTCTCATATTCAATCGGTCACTTGGTGTACAAAATTGCAGATACACCCTAGTGTTTATCTTTTAATTAGCTATTGATGTAAACTATACTTTTTTAAGTGGTGAAGAAAACATGCTCTAATAATGAAATGAAAAAAGATTCTCTTAAGTATTAAAGTTGTCTATAGTTTTATCTGCATTGAATTCCACAGAAACAGTAACTGCCTTTTGAACTTATTTCTGAAGTTAGAGATTTGAGAAAAAATAACAAAAAGTTTTAAACTTATTTCTTTAATCTTCAAGTACCTAATATATTGACTGAACAGAAAAAAATATATAAATTTTGATTATTATAATGAGAAAAGGATTTCTTTCTTTAAAAATTTAGAATTGTTTCTTGTTCCTGTTAACGTCATCTAACAATTATATAAACTGGGACAAGATTTAAGAATTAAAATGTAAGCTGTCAAGTCTTAACATGGTCAAGAACTTTATGGAACTTACGACAGAAAACAGGTTTTTTAAATTATTGCAAGATTAACATTCTTCAAATTATTACGAGACTTCATTCCAAAGAATTTCATTATGACATATTGTATAATAGTATATGGTACTGTTGTACATTTTTTGAACTAATAATTTGTGGTGATTCTGTAACTAATAATAATATTAATGTGTGTTTTTGTTACAAACCTTTCGTTAAAAATTATTCTGGCTTACTCTTTAACGCTTTTTTTAAAATTTTGTCACCACATTAAAATGTGACACATTTAAATTGTCGATTGTTTTTTAAAAATTATAAACCATTACATTGTTTTAGGTAACATATTTTGTTGTGAACAAATAGATTTTTCTATTAACTCACTTAACAATTTCAAATCATAACTTTGTTTATAAATCGATATTCATAGTTATGCATCCACATTAATTTTGATTATGTAATGAAATGGTTTTTCTTTTTTTTAATCTCCATTGAGATTCCCTTTTTAAGTTTTTTCTAAACAGTCGATCAAGTTATCAGCATTTTATTAAATTATAAAATAAGCACCAAGAGTTTTTTTTATAATTGCTTTAACAAGAAAAAAAGGGCCGGTTAATAAAAGGAATGAGGAAGGGTAAAGGATTTGGTAAAGTCTGTGATATAAACAATAAGTGTAAAAAAATAAATAAAACTAAATCTTGTTTATTTTTCTTTTATACAAATTCTGTGGAATTAAAGATAAAAGAATTCACTAAAAATAATTAAAAAAAAAAAACTAATAAAACAAATGAAAAGAAAAAAAATGTTTATTAAAATTAAATCAGGAAAAAATTAGGATGGTTGATACAACAAGACTACTTAAATTAAACTCCAATTACAAAATAAAAATGACATTTTAATTCAATTCATGAAGCATGGTAACAAGGTATATTGTAAATTATTATTATTACTCTGTCATATAGTTGGGTTAGAACAATTTATTACATGTTTATTTCTACCAAACATTAAACTAAATGGTAACTTGTATAAAATGTACATTAATAATAATAGTTGTATAAAACAGTACCATTACTTTACGGACATATAGATGGGCAGCATTTGTAGTTGAATTATTTCATTAGTATAAAATGGTCAACTATATAAATTATTCTAGGCCTGAAAAAGAAATAAGATTTTTATTAATGATATGCCTTATCAGAATAATTTAAATTATAAATTGTGTTATAAATTTAAATATGTACTAGCTGACTATATACAATGCTTTCATACATAATATGTTATGGTGTTAACTGTCATAACATTTCATTCTCTTGATATTGTTCATTGTTTAAGAATTGGTGAGAGTTATATGTGAATTATACTAGTGAATGACCCTTACTTGAGTGTATAGGAAAAATAAGAGATGTTCATGGATACAAGAACAAAAAAACGAGAGATAAGAAACATTGCATCTTTCAAGGAATATTTATATGCATATACACTTCAGTAATACTACATAACAACACATGGCGGCTGGTGGGAATCATTTGAATATATCAAAAATATAAAAATTATGGAAAATGCTGAATTACAATATAAGGAGATGTATAAAAAACGGCCGGCTCATTTCATCATACATCGACCGACTCATAATACTCGGTACATTTCTATGAACTATCTTTTGTTTCACGCGTCAGGCGTATTAATGCGTATCTATACAAGATGTATTAGGACTCGTGAATTACTAGCGATATAATTATATCGATAGGCGCTGACTTTTTGACGATAATATAGGAAATTTAATTTTTTTATACGTTTTTATATGGCTAAAAAATAATATAAACTTCTAAGTAATTTAAACCAAAAGTTATGAAATTAATTACGCATTGGTGTGAACACCCTACAGATTAGGTACACACACACTCACACACACGCGGGGTGGCGTGTTTTAATATCAGCACGATAAGAAACATTGCATCACTTGGAACACTTGGAACGTGTCATCACTTTATTTACATTATACGGAAATTTGGTCAAAAATTAAGTGCCTATTTTTTTTACATAATTCGAATGAGAATAATGTACCGAGTATGCTCCTTAAATATTGATAGTAATTCACCAGTCACCCTGTATACATAATTTTAATTTCAACTTGAGTTTCTAATACAACAAACACCCTAGTATGAATTTTTAAACAATCTTTTTTTGAACTAGCATTTAAAATTGTTTTATAAGTACCCTGTTATTTTTTTATTTGATTTAACATTAAGACTATGCCAGTACAATGACCCTTTATTAAAGTATTTAGTCATTGTTTGGACATAAAAAAAAATTATCCCTCTAATATCTCTACTGGAATTTTAATCATTTACTTCAAAATAATTGGCACATCTCAACAATAAAAATTCCACTACATAAAATAACCTGAATAAATGAAATACAATAGGAAAAGTGTATCAAAAATTAATTTAGTTTTAAAATTATGATCAAACATCCTATACAGCTAAAGAATTTTGTACTTTTAAAAGTCATCAAATAAAGTAAGGTATGAATTCTAGGTATCATTTCCTAATATGTAGAAAACTATCTATGTATTTTAATCTTATGTTTCTTGGCTACACAGCCTTCTTACTTAACGACTGTATGTATGTTGGTGTACCAAGTGACCATCAATAAGAAAGTGTAATGCTTCTATATTGAATAAAGTTATTTGAGTTTGTACTCACTATATTGGTAGACCTTGTACATCCATGAGGTCCTCCTGCGCGTGCGCGGGGGGCACGGTGAAGGCGTGGTGGGGGCGGGGACGGCGCGGGGACCGAGCCGTTATAACACGCGGCTTGTGGATCTCGTCCATCACAGATGGCGCCACGTATGTGAAACCCTACCAATGATATACTGTTATTATGGATATGTTAATGTAAATTTGTTATTTATGTTTAAGTATTTTGTTCTTGTTTATTTACTAAAAACTTATTTGTGTTTTCTTACAATTTGATACTCTTGAGTTTTTAAAACTTTTTAGATATCAACCGACGTTTTGATTACAACAGTAGTGATTATGGACGAGATGAAATATTCCTTCTTAATGTAATAGACCGCGTAGGATATCCAAAAATCATAAATGCATTTAAATGTATACTATTATTAAATTCCATACCTACATACCTGTCTTATTTTTATTGTACATATCGAAAGAATAATGTTAATTTAAATATATTATAACTATTTTAAATCAATAAAATAAAATGGTTTCGCATAATAATTTTAAGTTACAGTAATGACTTATTTATATCATGATACCTGAAACATGAGGTTAGCACTCTCGCTCAATGTAGACTCATCAGGGGAATCAATAGGTGTTTGTAGAGTAAACCTTGTGTCGAATTGAGAAACATCATCTTCACTAGCCTGAAAAACAATTATTAATATTTACGTATGTTTATATTTTAAGGTGGATGAAGCATATATATTAATATCAATGGTTATAACAATAATTTAAAGAAAAATTAAGCAAATATCTCTGGACGAATAAAATGTGTATAGTTTTCTGGGCTTAATAACGTTCTAAATATAACACACTTACCAAACGGGGTTTGATGGGTGGTTCTAGTCTGCGGGCAAACACATCATCCCAATGTACATGTTTGAAAAAGGCATGTGAGCGGACGGCCGCGGCTCCTGTGGCCCCAAGTCTTTGAGTCTCTGATCGCTTCATGAGCCGACGGATCAGCTCGCGTGCGTCTTGTGTCAAGTAAGCCGGCAGCATAAGCTTGCCCTTCAGTATTTTCTCTATAGTCTTTGTACGATTGTCACCAGTGAAGGGAGGCTGTGGAATAACAGACATATTTATACATATATTTAAACATTGCATCGTAATTTAAAGGATACAAAGGAACAAAACAAATAAGTATGAGGTTTTAATTTTATATTTGCTCACCTGTCCAATCAGCATGTCATACATGAGAGCACCAAGACTCCACCAATCGACTGCTTTTCCATGACCACTTCTTGTTAGTATTTCCGGAGCCCTTAAATAAAATAATAAAACCAGTTTTACTAGGTTATTTTTATTTTGTACATAGGTTTTTCTTATTCAATTATGTGTCTTCTTTCCTTTCGTTTGTTAATTTTTACTTTAACTGTCCATTGTGTTTCAAGAAGTTTATTATCATCTTAATTACATATTTTAACGATAACGTAAAAGAATTTAGAAATGGTAAAATATATTCATAACCGTTTAATAGCGACTACGAGCTATCTGTCTGTCAAAGTTCTTGCAGAAGACATTCACTGTTATCGCATAAGAACGTATCGAATCTCATTTGGGAGTTTAGCCTGACAGTGACCTAATATTTAACCTAACATGTTAACTAACAATTTTATATAACATGTAGTGCAGTATGTATATGCTTTCGCAAAAAATCCGGGAAGATTTGTGAGACAACCATCCGGATATTAATTTTTTTTTATACAGGGTGACTGGTGAATTACTATCAATATACTTAGAAGTTTATTAATATTTATGTTATATTAATTTTTATCATTTATCGATAGTAATTCACCAGTCACCCTGTATATTGAAAATTATTCAAAAAGTTAGCATAGTAAAACCTTTTGTTGTGTTGTAAAAAATGGGTGTAACATGGCAGGTAGAAATTGGTAAACAATAGTTTAAAATGACCAAGGAGTTAGTAACACTTGAATATTACTTAACTTGTGTTTCTACATTAAATATTACGAAATCTAACATTAGTAAATTTTCAATTTAAAGTTAAATTAATGTATGTGAGATCAAGAAAAAGACAGATAACACTTATTATAGTTAAAACTAAAATAAAGTAAAAAGGACGTCAGTCATCAATAATGCACTATTATTAACATTAGAACAATGACAAAATGATTGAAATTTTTGTATAGTTTCGTCACACTCCTAACACATGTTGACAAAAGTAAATCAGACGTAATAGAATACTTTTAATATGAAACTGTTAGAAATAAGAAAAGAACTACAAAAAAAAGGTATAACAGGCTCAGTTCAAGAATCCCGAGACAAGAGCACGATTGTTTTCCTTCGAGCAATCGAAAGGATGGCACAAAAATAACCTAATATATTTTTACGTTTACGTTATTAGGTAAATAAATCATAAAGCATTGTAGCAAATTTCGATGAAGAATCTTATACAGCATCGTAAAAAGCCAGCATCAAATGAGCAACTTTTAATTTCTTGGGATTTTCTTTTACTATTGATTTTTATTTTTTAAGCAAGCCAACAAGCAATACAGAGTGTTTTGGTACATGGCCAGATGCGGTACATCTAAATGATATTATGGACGGACTAGACTGCTTTTGTTTGGTTTACCTTTACTATGCTTTCAATTGGTACATTGAAAAGCAATGTAATTTTTATTTTCTTAAAATGTTATTTATGAATTTATTTCTTTATTACAATAAAAACATTTGTACAACCTTATATGGGTCATTACTTTTGTAAATAAATATTTTTGAGTCATTACATCTGGAAGAGCTCTTTATTTATCAGTGTTTCAAGAGTTTTTTTAACTAATATATTTTTTAATACATTGCAATATATTATGTATATGAATTTATTAAAAGAAAACTATAACCTAAGCAATTATTGAAATTTAAAATGGATTCGTTTTAGTATATGGGTTGTATTTAGAGCTGTCATTCAATCAATATTATTTATTTTCTGGTGTAAGGATTTTTTTAACGTCTGATGTGTAAGAAGGGATGCTATAAGTTTAGTATTACTCTCTGTATGAGTGTTATGTGTGTGAATCTGTCTGTCTGTCTGTCTCATTCTCAAACAGATCAAACAATTTCAATGCCTTCTTTTTCATTTGAAAGCCAGTGTCTTAGGTTTTGATTTTTAGCTATTTTTGTTTAACATCAGTCTAGTAATTTAAAATTATCGTCTCTTTTCCAGAATAATGAATAAGACATTATTGGCCTATGATATATGATGCCTTTCTATATAATTTTTGCATGACAATTAAAACACAAGGATTAAAGATATTTTATAGCATTTTCAATTATTTATAATCAAGTAATTATACTAGCTTAATTCAAATACATAATAAAGCATAATTTTAACTGTACCAGTATTGATTAAAAGTTTTTGTTGTCCAATTATGTGGTATTTTATGGCAATTCAACTTATAATAATAACATTTATATTATATTTATTTTACAACTATGTAGTTAATAGTAAATGATAGATATTTAATTACAGTTTTTATCATATATAATTACTTCGACAATCATTGGACTAAACACTTGTTATCTTTTTGATATATTTATCTCACTATAAATCTGGTAATCACTAGAATTTAAATTTAATTTTTTATTTATATTTTTAAAGGTCATTATATTATAATATAATAACATTAAAAAAAGGATATTTCTACTCACATATACTCAATGGTTCCACAAAATGTGTGTGTGACTATACCCTCTTGAATATGTTCCTTACATAGGCCAAAGTCTGTAAGTTTGACATGTCCTTGGGCATCAAGAAGAACGTTTTCTGGTTTAAGGTCACGATAAATTATGCCTAAGCTGTGTAAGTGTTCCAAGGCCAGTATAATTTCTGATAAATAGAAGCTGGAAATAGTAATTATAAATTTATCATTTAGTAAAAAGTATGAATTTATAAAGGTACAAAAATCCAAATATTAATAATACTACACTTATTATTATATATTAGATATGTTTTGGATCCTGTATACATACCATGCTGTATCCTCTAGGAATATACCTTCTCTCTCAAGATGCATAAATAATTCACCACCACTTAAATATTCTAAAATTAAATATAATTTACCACCGGTTTGAAACGCATATACTAATTCAACTATAAATGGATGCTGCAATAATAAAACACATTATTAAAATTTTGTACATTAAATTTTTTTTATATCAGTATGAAGAAAATTAAAGTACCTTAACAGCTTCTAATATATTTCTTTCAGCTTTAGTGTGTGCGGTATCTTTTTGATTGCGAACAATAGAAGCCTTTTTGAGTACTTTCATAGCAAAATGTGCACCAGCATCAGGGCCTGTGATCTTACGAACTTGGAAAACTTTTCCATAGCCACCTTTTCCTAGAACTTTGCGTAATTCAAAATCTTGAGGGCCAAGTCTTTTGCATTGGCCTGGATTCACATTATCTTCACATAGCTGTATTGTTTCAGATCCCTCTGCCCTTTAAATGGAAAATTGGATGTTTAAATTTCACTTAAAAATATCAAAATGTAATAAAGTATGAATTTACTTACTCTACAATATTATTCACATGTAGTTCAGGATCATAATCAACCTGTATGAATATATTTTGTTAAGTATGATAAAAAATGTTTCATAACATTTCATTCATAATAATTTTAGCTATATATACTCATTAGCAATAAATCACTCAATATTTAAATAGAAAAAAAATGGTGAACAATATTTTTATATGCTAGTGATATTTAATGACTTATCAGGCCAGTTATTTTTAATGCACATTATCTTAAACCAATAAAGTGTTTAAATAACAAAGTACAACAAATATTCATAACATAGCAGGACTTTGACTTTTGTTTTTATTTTTGATTACGAAGTTTCGGAGAACCAAAAACTTTATCCTTGAGTTTATTTTATCTTATGCGATGTTTTAGGTTAGCTAACAGTGTATACATTTAAAGGTAAAAATTCATTTAATTAATACCTCATCAACTTCAATTATATCATCTTCATCAGAGTCTCCGACCTCAACAGTATCCACATCTAAATCTAAATCAAAAACACCTGCCATATAAGATGACATTTCAATAAAATCACATCAGCAATCTCGTGTATTTTGCCAAAAATAATCAATTACTGTTTAAGAAACCTCAATTGTATGTAATAAATTTATTAATATTGTAATACGATGTGAACTATGTTGTAATAATAGATAAGTCTGCACTTTAAAAATTCTACACGAATTATTAAGAACAAACAAGTCAAACGCACAGCACTGCTGCTATTTGCTGGTTGAATAGTGAATACAGATTAAAGATTAAGTAGTTTGTGTAGATAAGTGTAAATGTTAAGTATTGTATTAGAAATACTAAAATTATAAATTTTAAAAATATACTAATAAGATTTCATAAATATAGGATTAAAAAGTAATAAAATATATTTAAAACATAATTAAAATTCAGAATTTATTTGCTCAGCTGTCACTTTCATTTCAATGGTTTTCGAACTTTTAGTATTCAATTGTCGAGGGTGTAAACATGTATTACTAATCATATAACATTTAAAAACTGCTTTTGTTACTTTTATATTTTTATAAAGTGGTAACTAATCGTTTCAATTTCATCGTTATGTATACTTGTTATAGTCAGCGTAAATATTAATGTTTTCGTTGATATATTTCAATGGCTAGTGACAGCGACAAAAGTTTGAGTAATCATAACTTGGATGGTTCTCTTAAGAGTGTTAAAAAACAAAATAGCAGTGGAAACATCGGTAAGAGTAATATTATTGTATTATGTTTGATCGTTAAATTTTATACTTTACAAAAAAATTAATCTAACCTCATTTTGTTGTGAGTAATTCAATAGTTTTGTTTTTAAGAAGTTTTATTACTGTACTCTTATAAATTTATATTACTGATATGATATGAATATAACATTTATTTAATCTTCTATTATTCATAAAACTATCAATTATATTATACTTCGGGGTATATTTAGTTGAATCAATTGTAAGTTTTGTTTATTACTTTTAATATTTCAAATAAAAATGTTATTTATAAAATTATTTAAAATACATATTTTTATATGCTTATTTTTAGTTTTGCCTTATATGAGTTTTTTTTTTTAAGTTTTTTAATGTTAATAAAACTGAAAAAATATAAATACTTGAGAATGACCAAGTTTTCTTTTTATCAATATATTAGAATCTTAGAAACGATTCAACTAAATATTTATTGAATAAAGTACTTCGATTGATATTTGATTTTCGATTGTTCTTATTACAATTGTTTTAATGTAAATCAATTAAATTAAAAAGAAAAAACCTTAAATATTGTAATATACAACCATCAATACAAAATTATATTATCTTTAAAAATCACATTACATACTTATATTAAAATGTAGATGAAAGAAATGTGTGTATTTAGTAACCTTTGAAAAAATACTCTTCAAAAATATTTTAGAACTTCTTTATTAGTATTCACTTAAGGACTTACTATCTTTTTTTCACTTATATTCAAGCTGACAGAACATTCCATTACACTATATAAATCCAGGATCTTTGAATATGTATATTATATTTTTAACATGTGTAGTTAAAACTATTCATACAAAAATACTTTAATGACACTAACAATTCATATTCTATACATTGAAAAACCACAATACATTGCTTACACTTATACTTGTATCATTGCTTATATGTGTTATATAGCTTACTGCTTCATACCACATAATGCTTTAAATATGAATTTGTTCAAAAATAATAAACAAAGGAGTATTTTACACATTAAACTGGATAAAATAAAATAAATCATTTAAAGCTAATACACTTAATATTGTACACTGCAAAGGGTTATGAAATCACAGTGTAAACTATAAATAAATTTTTTATATTGGTTGCAAGATATTTGAATATGTAAGATGTTTTACTTATATTTTTCACAAAATACTTGCTTAAGTTTATTTATCTTCAGTCAAAAAATAAGAAAAACTACTTTTATTTTGAAGAAAAACTAAATTTTTGAATTATGCAACCATATTATGCCATAACCATACATGAAACAATACTTGTTTGTTTTTATCATAATTCTTGTGTAGAAAAGATGAAAATACCTCTACAACCATTCTTTTTTATACTACTTAATTGCCTATGTAGGATTTGGTACCCGAAAAATAGTAATAGTTTGTATAATGTCAAATTTCGAAATAACGTAAATAAACTCCATAATACTGAACCATTATACAAAAATTTGTTAAATTTTAATATTTATTACTTTATAAATGTTTAGAAACCTGTTTTAAAAAGTAATTAAATATAGTATTGACTTTATAAAACCCAATCCGCACTTCCACACCGTTCTTATGAAACGTCATTTTGACATAAGTATTAAGTTTTGACGCATGACATAGCGAATAAAATATACAAATAATTTTACTTTATTTACATACATAATATTACAAAAATGGATTAGTGAAACATATTTCGTTGCATTAAATCATGGACGTGTTACTTGAAGAAAGTACTACGGAAAAAATACCAATTCTGTTAGAAGACATATGCAAAGAATTATTAAGTCAAGACAAATCTTTAGATACACTTCAAAAGGATTTATTTTTTGTTTTGATCGTGGTTATAATGAGAGAAAATGGTTTTTTACCTATATCTCAAGATGTAATTGAAAGCAAATTCTACGTATTGCATTAATACTGAACAATTATTAAAGTGGAAGCAGTCAGGGGGCTCATATGAAGTGTTATACCTGATGAAGGGTTTTGATAATGTACCTATAAAACTAATAATGAGTCCTCTAGGATCTACCTTTATTGTTAACACTTTTATTGACAAACACATAGATGTAAAGTCAGATGTGTATGCTGTATGTATACCGACAAGTCGTTATGTTGTATCACCCCACGCTTCCACAATACCAATGATATTTCCGTGATTTAAAGCACTTAAGTTTCACATTTAAAAACAAAATAATAGCACCTGTAAAGAGCATTATACTTAATTACAATGGTTATTCAAGTGCCAGTTTCATAGGATTGCCAGAAGAAATTCTGTTCTACATTTTGATGTATCTCCCCATCAGTGATGTAATTAGTGTTGAAAAATTATGCAGGCGAATGAAAGTGTTGTTGAATAATGATAATATATGGCATCACTTATTCTTGAGAGATTTTAAAAATGTTACGGTATCAGGGGTCACCGATTGGAAAACGCAATATAAAGAGACTTATATTTCAAAAGCAAGGTCAATCCCATCACGTTTAACATCAGGAACTCTCCACGATTTAATGGATGTGTCAGATTTTGTATCATACATAGATAATCCCTTGTGGGATGTTATAATTTAGTTTTGTTTCATAAAAATCACTTTGTTTGTTTGGGCAAAAGTGCTGTAATATTTCTAGTAAAATGTGTTGATTTGTTGCTTACAATGTCTTGAGTCACATTATGTATTTTTTTTTTGAAATTCTAAATCGAACTAAAATTTTCATAATCGGAGTCAAAAGTAGAAAGAAATCCTTGAATGAGTGAATATTTTTTTTTTTAGGTCATAATTTTTCATTGCAATTATCTTTAAAAAAATTAATGTAGTTGTGTGTAATAAGATTGACACATTGATATAAATTAATTCCTTTGTTAAATTCTGTACAAAAACTCTTAGTAATAAACAATATTATGTATGTAAGAAGTATTACTATATTACTTTTAATTATCTATATAAAAAACATCACATCAATTATTTTAATAAAAATATTATAATACGTTTTTCTTTTAATAAAAATGATTCTATTTAATAGTACTATTACTGCAATTCTCTACCTGGCAATTTCTCAGCTATAGCCAGGGTCTGCCAAGTACTGTAACTGCAATATTCCTATATAATTTTTTTATAAATGAGCTCAATATTTAAAATTGTTTTAAGTGAAGACTTACATTACTTAACCTAAGTAGTTAGAATATCAGCAATGGTGATTTGGCTACCATTAAAATAATGATTTCTGTATTTTTAACACCAAATTCGCTATAGTATTTGGTAACTCAATTCCAAATTCGGTATAAAAACAATAACAAAAGCATTGTTAACAGGTGAGGGTGGAGACAAATTAAACCTGGGTACATATCATTCAGTTGGTAAAGGAGGCAGACATTTATCAATACCCTTTGAGTCAGGAGCTAATGGGGACATAAGTAAGTGTCTTTTGAAACGAATTTCAATAGATTTAAACATAAATATATAACAGTGTATTTATATGTTATTATTGTATATCGTGAGTAACATCCTACATCCCTACGATTTCTCGATAAATGAAACAGATGGCGCTGTGCGACGTTAGCCGTTAGTTTTTTTGGAAGTACTTAGTTCAAATTACGTTTTGTTAAATGAAAATCACAATTTGCGGGGATTGATTTTATTTATTATTTCAAAAAAGTTGTTAATGTTATAAAAAAAAAGGTTCAAACAATACATATTACGTTATATTTTCCTGTATGAAAATTATTAAATAGTGACACAACATTATGATAAAGTTGACTCATAATAATTTGTTTTTATAAAAAATCTATGCTGCGATAAATTTACTGATGCATGGAACAGTCATTAAAATGTATTCAATTTTATGTTAAATAATCATGTATCTACAAGATCAGTTATATAGAATACATTGTATTCTTTATAAAAAGAGAATGAAATTAAATATACTTATACTGTGAAGCTATGTTTAAGCATATGTTGAGGAACTTCTCCTATAGTAGGTTATCGAAATGTGTACCTATTATGAATATATAAATATTGTGGATATCGAGTAACGCTCGCCGGACGGTGTTAGCTAGGGTGAGGGTTGCGCAAGTGAGATGCGCCGCGCAGCCTCCATTCGTACGCTCGCCGCTGTGGCGCCGCCAACTGAGAGTTATTCCTTGTATAAAGTAGTGGACGCTATACAAAAACGACAGGTTAAATGTAGGGCCGTGTGCCGTTATTGTGCGCTGATGATTTGGAGGTGAATAGAGCCGTGGAGGGGCCGCGGGTGGCGCGCGACGGGCCGCCGTGGCGGTGCTACGGACCCATGCTCACTCACAGTCGATCTGATGGCGATTTTCCCATATACACAAGAGGTGAGCGTACTCCGTTACAGCGTCCTCACTCAGAGGCCTTGAACTTTGGAGACTCGGATCGTCTCACTATCGCGACTGCTACGGTTCTTTAAATTATTTGATATCGTCATGAAAGATTCATGTTTACTTGTTTTCCGTCTATTTCTTTAAAATTTTGAACTACAAGTATAAGTAGGAAATAGAAAGTGTTAATGAATCAATAACCAAGTGTATCCTCGTCTATGTCCACATGTAACTAAGCCTAGTTTATATGAAGATATTGTTTGGAGTTTTAATGTTTATACTTGATTAGACATCTAAGTTTTTTGTTGTATAATATATAAAACGGTTCGGTCACCGATGCATGTATCATATGGTTAAATAGGCTCGAGCTTCAAAACACGGTCCGCTAATCTTCTAGGGCAGTGGGACTATTAATAAATATGGTTTACACGCTTAATCAAACCGGTCACATGACTTCGCCTTTTATATACTGTGATCTACGAAGCAAAATCAAATTATGTAAATTTTTTTCGTTATAATTTCCAGTCATTATTCAATCTCAATTTTAGGATATTATATTTACGTTTGTTTTAAAAAATACATACTTTATTTGATACATATGTATACAAAAGAATCGCAAGGTTATATATCTCGTTATTATTTCATAAACTGTATGATAAATAATCACAGTATCAGTACTTATCTTATCTAAGACTTGTCTTCGAGTTATATCTTAGTTGTAATTCTCGGTCGTTTTTGTTTAGACATGCGAAAATGTAATTAGTTGGTTATAGTTGTGAAATAGTTAGTGTTTAACGTCGAAATAGTTTTGAAATGGATGATTCTATGTTTAGATTTAATAAAAAACGTGCGAAACGTAGACCTATTGACGATGATACGAAAAGTGACTCTGGAGTTATAGATAAGGAAGACACAATATGTAAGTTGTGATGTACTAACTATCATTTTTATATTATTAAGTAGAACCCTCCCGGTGACGCTGTCAAAGCCATTAGGGCTAACAGCTACAGTCAAGTCCAAACTAAAGCTACGGTTAAGTCGAACAGCTCAATAAGTCGAAACTAAATAAAATTAAGTAGTAAATTTTTTGCAGATAAGTTATGAATTCTCTTTATTTCGGTCTAGTAATGTACATATAACATTTTTGCGAGAATACATTTGAATAGAAGTTAGAAGTATGTATTCAGGATATACTACTGTACTTATTATATTTTAGCAGATGTTTCGGTTACGTTACAGCAATCGTGTTCAAAAGCAGGCGAGATGAAAGTTTCACAAATTTTAGTAATTTTTTTTTGACATACCTATCATAAATATATTAAGCAATAACCATATTTAATGAAAATTCAACGACTTAGGTATAAATTGCACCTATATATATTACTTATTGTTTTGGGAACATGTAACGAGTAAGTTACAATAAGTTTCGTAAAAAATTTTGCCATAGTTTTCGCGTTACGCCACAAACAGGCATACATCCGACCAAAAGAAGATATATTTCGCATTGATAGAATTTCCTTAATCTCATTTATAGTATTAGAATAAGTAATCTTCGATTTTAAATTTAAATTGTAAGAAAAAAAAAAACGCTTTTAATTGGATTAAAAAACTATACAAAGATGTTTCTCATATATAAGTTTACACATTGGGAATTAATCGGTCGTTATTTGTGTTTTTGATGTTTCTCTTTTGCATTTTTCCATTATATTATTTTATATATTTGTGTACTGATGTGACGCATCCTAAGAAAATTTGATAAAAATTTATTCAAGTTATCTCTAGTAGTAAAATTCATATTGTTTCTTGGTATTTTTAGGTATTTTTATCTCCACTATCGGTTAAAACAGAGCTGTAAATAATGGTAATATCAAATTAAGCTGCTTTTAGGCCCAAAGCGATAAAATTTAAAAAGTATTTGTAAAAAAAATGTATGAAAATTTAGATTTTCAATAAGTTATTTTTATTTTTTCACACTAAATTCAAAAGCCGGTGGTAAAAAGTACGTAATTCATATTTATGTTTTGTTTACCAAGTTCATGAAAATTTACTTAACTTGCTTGTATCGTATTATTCCAAATCTATAGACTATAACATTCCGCTTATATCTAAATTATTTTTTTTTTGGCTGAAGAGCAGGATCATTTGGTTTTAAAATTTGAATTACTTAATTATTGATTACGAATTACTTAATTATTGATGGGTTAGTGTATGAACCGTGCGCCTACAAACAGTTCATAAACATGACTTACAAATATTGTCTATTACGACTCCAGCACCAAACATTAAACGTGATATTTTTCCAATAATAATCCTAGCGAACAGTCATTTAGTCAAGATGTAAGTTTATTGAAAAATCTTGTTACAACTAGTAGAACATCATTTGTTCCCTTGGTCGTCTTAATCTTCGAAGCTGATGCTGTAATCCAAGTTCTCTTTATTATCATAGTTCTAATAAAATCGCTACTTCCAATATAGAGCATAACTCTTGCAAAAGATTGTTCTCTACAATTCTTCAAACATGAATAAATTATCTAGCACAAAGTATACCTCGGTCAGATTGACAGAATGTAAGAAGGGTAAATAAACAAATTTCAACTGCGGAAAAAGAATATTTGAAAGCTGAATTCATCTCAAGTGTTCCACTTCCGCGCAATCATGGGACCATTTCCCAAATTGGACGGAACTTTGAATCTCATTCAAATAATTTTGATTTGGACTACCTGGACTTGTTGTGGAAGAAAATAATGAAAAAAGAACAGGGCATTTATAGGCTGAATCTATTTTCATATTCATCAAACAAGAACAAAGTTGATATAACGTAGATGTTCTGTGTGGGACTGATAATATCCTTAAAAAGTTAAAAAATGTCTTACTTATAATAACTACAAGGAGGACAAAGAGTAGACCCTAATAAAGCTTTGTACGGCTTCATCAATATGTATGAACGGATTGAATTATAAGGCTTATCGTACCTGAATTGATGTATTCCATGGCCTATCTCTTATAAAATTTCTCATACATATCAACTAAATTTGACATATTAAGATTTTTAAGAAAAGTAGCGTAACTTCGTAAGTTTGTGTCGAAATTGAGCCCACTAGTTGAAGTGCCTACTTATACATACAAGAAACCATAATGTAAAAACCACCTATGCAGTTGTATACTGAGCACATATTTTTGAAACCTCGTTACGAATCTAAAATTTTATGTTTATTATTTGTATACATTTAGACAAATCTAGTAAGTTTGCCTTAGATTAAGTTTACAACCAAAAATACAAAGAAAGTATTTTTAATTTATTTTTATCTAAACAATCGATTATATTTACCCTTTTATTGAATGTTGATTTCTTGCTTTAATATGCCTTTCCAGTCGTGTGTGACAAATGTATTATACATTGTATTCGTTAATTATAATTTAAACTCGTGTGTTAGCACATACCCAACTGATTGTATAAGAATATGTTTATAAATGTATATTTAATCTCTTGCATTGAAGTGTTAGCAATAATGTAATTTTGATTCGCTCTGTGACTTAAATGAAAACATTCTGAATTTATATGGAAATGTTAGTTTTGTTTTATTTTAAACTATGATGTAATAGCGATACATTAAAACGTATAAACGACGCCCGCGTTGAAATCTTTCTTAACGGATGCTATACGCGTGTGATCCTTGTACCTGGGTTTCTTAATGTGCTATCCCTATTATGAAAAAAAAAAATTATTAAAAACTGTCGGGAAGTATTGTAAATTTTTGTATTATTTTCTGCCTTTTCTATACGAGAATTTTGGTCCATTATTAGCGCCATGGCTATCCGATATATATCTATTTGAAAATATTTTTAAGAGAGTTTGTATTTAGTTTAAGCATTATCGTATTTGTATACATAAAGTTGTATACAGCATCAATAAAAATGTTCCTAGACATTCATCAAATACATGTAGCCGAATATAATGATTGTCTGAGCACCTGACCGTGGGGGGTTGCGGGTGGGTCCGGAGTTGTAAATCCGGTAAGCCGGTGTCGTCGGACTTGAGATTGACGTACACTGCTACCTGCAATACGTACTGTGTGCTGAATATAAACTAACATTAGGCCGAGTACTGCGCTGCATTTTAAAACAATGTAGCTCCTGTTATTGCCTTTAACATGTGAGCGTAGATGTTAATGTTTGCTTCTGTATTGTCTTCATTATTTTATGACTGTTTACTCTGTTATGTTTACTCGCTACTGTATAAATGCTTGAATAGATTTATGAGTGCCTATTCTTAATAGTTGATATTTGATCACATATTTCCCTATATCTCTGTCCCTACATCATAAATGTTAGCAGCTACGTACACTCCTTCGCTCACTAAAAGCAAGAGTTGAACAATCCAAAACGGTCCTGTCATGGCGCTTAAGCAGTCGCTGTAGTGAGCGATCTGAGATATCGTGATGTATCTATACAGATACTATAAACACCATGCTCCATGGTAGCGCAGTTATGACTTGTACGGATCAGCGGGCTAGTCGCGTCGAGTGCAACGTGCAGGCTGTCCCCCCTCCCCAGCCCTCACCCTCCGCCATAACGTCTCCCCCCCCCCCCCGAGCCCCCTTACACCCCCTCCCGCCAAACAAGCAGCCGCGCCGCCCGCCTCCCGCGCCAGTCTGTCGCCGCGCGTCCCCAGCGATGCAGCTATCGTAACTCGATAGTAGTTAAACGCGCGTGCCTTTGTTTTGTGTCCGGTGCTCTGTGTTTGTTGTGTAATGTGTATACCAAACATGTCCGGGCGACATGGCCGTGTGTAGTTGACATGTCGCTGAGCGCGCCCGCTCAGCCGGTGCGCGGGACCAGGACCAACAGCCTCGACCAGCTCGATTTCCAAGAGCGCAGACAGCTCATAGCTAGCTCGTTGTCCTTAACAGACTTTCTGCATGTTGGAGCTAAAGAAGTGGCTGCTGTTGCCGGTCAGTTTGATTTGTTCGTGTTCATTGACCCGGCAATTTATGCTGTTGCTTCAGGCTCTACATGAGCGTAGGCTGTAACGGTCTCTGTTTAAAAAAAAAGATGTTTATTTTGGATTATTAGCACATTATGAATGAAGTTTGAGTCTAAAAAGTTTTTGGGGATATGTTTTGTTTCTAAAAAGATTATAAAAACGTATAATCCAGTGTAATCATGATAATGTCCTTGTTTTTTCTAATGTTTTCCGTGGCCTTCTGTTTTTTTGTTTTCGTTATAATAACAAAAACTGAAGATTTTCTCATAACTTCAATTATTCGTCAATGCTGTCAAAAGAGGTCCAGCAATTTTGAATATAATCACGGTTTGGGAATCCTGTTTATATTACATGCATCATCCATACGTCATGTGCAAAGAATTAAAATATTATAATTACATTTTGACATAACAAGCAGTGACTTGACAAGACAAACTGAAACATGTAGGTATATACATATTTTAATAATTATAAGATCATGATGTTATAAAAATTTTAGCCTCTAAGTCCCTCTGTCTATTTTATCTACGGTTCTAAAAGATCCCATATAAAAAAATATTCTTTTTTCTATTTGTTTACATCAAAGAATTAAAAATAATTCTCTGTAAAATAACTATTAATATTTACATATCAGAATCACACTTTTCTGTACGTGCGTAGATATAATGTGTATCGCACAATGGTCTAGTAAAATAATTTGCATTTCATTTGGGTCGTTGACACGGAATTCGGAATTTATTAGATCCAAAGCTTATTATGTATTTATATAAAAAAATGTTTTCAAACGAGAGATTAACGAGGCGTGTGGTACTGGTTTTGAAATATTGATAACGATATAGTATTGTTAAATAAAAGAATTTGTTGAATTCGCTAGAAGTTTATCTGTACCTGCATATAAATTAAAATTCAAATGTATATTTGTTATATGGGTATATTAATTCTTCCTGCACGAACCCGTATAGATCGATTTTAAATTCAATGTTCTGATTGGTTCTATATTCATCGGCTTATCATTGAAATGGAGAAATTTTAATAAAGTCAAACAAAATGATTATTAAGAGGAGTTTTATTGTTGGAATAAGGGTAGTGAAATTCCATTAGAACTTTTCAAAAATTTATAAGAAATCGCAAGATTTTGTTTTAGTGTTAGAACTGTTAAATACTGTTTGTTTTAGATAATATTCATCGGTGAAATAAACCCAAATTAAGTCTATGACGTCATTAAAGTTCAGTATGTTCTTATATATTTGGTCGTTATCTCCTTTGCTTGTTAGTCGTCTGATAATTAGAGCGTTGTGATAAGGAAACTATTTACGGATATAAATAATATTTAGCATTCCGTTGTGAGGCTGATGCGTTTGACTTACGTCTGTTGGTACATCGAGTTGGTGTTCCTTTGTGGAGGCGCTATATGAATATTAATTGAAGACCGCAGGCGTGCGCCTCTCGTGAATCGCTTCTGTGTACATATTAAATGATGTTTATACTATAAGCTTAGCATCGAATGGATTTATAAACGTTTTTATTGTTTCTTCACACTAAAACATTTAATCAAAGGATTTATAACCATTTTAACATCCAATTATAGTGGTACGAGTTCACTAAGTCCACCTTTAACATCCATCGTTAAAAGAATATAAATATATAAGTACATTTTAACGTTGAATGTGAACTTGATATACAAATGTGTTATTTAAGATGTACATTAATCAGTACTAATGGTATAAATATTTAAGATGAAAATAATTTCATTATTATCCTGACTGAGAAGTCCCCTCGGGTGAAAAAATATAATACATAAGTATAATACAGTGTATTGTGATGAAGGCGGACATTCTTGACAATGGGTACACGATGTAATGGGGCCATTGATTGTAGCGTACATGAATAGTATTGACTATGAGGTTGTTACATACACAGGTACTTGCTATCTCCTGTACTCTTGTTTGTTAGATGTATTAATGACGAATCTCTCATGTATATTAAATCAACAATTGTTATTGTTACACAGGCATATTATATCTCATACTTAATCACACTAAGCACGTTACGATACACATAATATAAAAAAAATACATAATTTATTCTTTATCAGTATAATATTGAAAAATCTATTAGTAATCAGACGTAAATAAAATTCCATAGATAGATATATATACAAACATTACATTCTTGATGCATTCTAATACATTTTAATACTAGCTTTCCGACCGCAGCTTCGCCCGCGTGGAGTTCGGTTATATCGCGTTTACCAACAGAACTTTCAAAAGTCTGGGATAAAAACTATCCTATGTTCTTTTTCAAGGTCAACTCTATCTCTGTACCAAATTTCATTAAAATCAGTTCAGTGGTTTAGGCGTGAAAGCGTAACAGACAGACAGTTACTTTCGCATTTATAATATTAGTAGGGATACTATTATTATCTATTAATGCATACGTGTTACATATTTATTCTTTAAACTTATGATTTTTACGAAAAAAGATCTTACGTGAAATGACATAGAGTTCAAGTTGTGTTATATGAAGAGTTTAAGACATCTCTTCAATGTTGTAAGTCCTTCAGATTTTTTCCTTCACAAACAATTGAGGAAGTTAAAGTTTTTGGTGTATGTTGGTATTAACCTATAGGAAATTTAAAGTCATTAAGGTACGCCTCATCGTTTTTAGTTTATCAGATAAGGAGTGCCTATTAATTATTTGGATTAAACGGTGTAGATGAAACTGGGTCGTTGAGATAATACGCCTACATATACTATATACATAAAAAAATCGACATAATATACAAAAAATGCCTCTAAACGTATAACTATAATGTGCTTTTAACGTATTAGTTTTCCTCGTGAACATCAGAATTTTTCTCTGTCAGTGCGGCCAGTGAATTAAATTTGCACTTCATTTTTACACCCATGCAGTTTCGGTATCGGGATGAAATAATTTATAAGATGATTATTTAAATTATCGGTAGTTATCACAGTGTAGTAGATAGGATACAAAAATGTCGAATTCCACCTATCTCTATACTAAAATTAATTAAAATTGGGTTAGCGGTTTAAGCGTCAAAACGTAACAGACATTGACAGTTACTTTTGCATTTATAATTATTATTAGTAGAAATATGAGAAGCAATTTACATGATTAAATAAAGAAATCACGGCTTACAATAAAAGCATAAGGTAAAATTCATTGATTAAAACTGTTTTTCAAACAAAAATAAATAAATAAAAACTTTTGTACCCTAGAGGAAAAAATATGATAATACTGCCAACTATTCAATTGAGGGAGTTTACCTTTTCCAGTCGCGATCAACAAGAAAATCCTTTTAATATTATAATTGCGAAAGTTTGTGAGTGTGTGTGTATGTTTGTTACTTCTTCACGCTCAAAATGGCTGAACCGATTTTGATAAAATTTTGTATACAGGAAGCTGACGTCCAGGAATAACACATAGGCTACTTTATATCCCGGAAATCCCGAAAATACTAGGGTAACACCGCGGGGCGCAGCTAGTTATTGATAAAATTTGATATTTTTTTTAGTTACAACAAACTAAACAATTTAGAAGCATTGAAATAAAAAGTTTATTATAAGAAATTAGGCAAAAAATAACCTCTTATTTTGAATTCAGTTAATAAATGGAATGTTTATTAATGTACTCCCTAAGAACCTATGTTTATATATATATGTACGGCGTTCTAAAAGTAAACTCGCACCTGCAGTATTATACTATAACATAGCTACTTGCAGACCTATTTATTTTAATGACCTATCCATAAAAATAGGCCCTGTTGGTGTCCTATAAGCAATATTTTAACATCTTTTTTTGGTATTACAGCCAAAAAACAGAATGGCTCCGCGGTACGAACCAACAGCCTGGGTTCCGGCGCGCGCACCCCGCCCGCTGAAAGAACGAAATCCAAGTTCTCAGCGTTCGGTAGACTTTTCAAACCATGGAAGTGGAAACGGAAAAAGAAGTCGGAGAAATTTGAAGCAGCTTCTAGAAGTGAGTACAGTTACAATAAAGATTGATCCTTGTGTATATATTATTAAAGTTTCGTTTCGTTTGCAGCTTTAGAAAGAAAAATTTCCGTCCGAGCGAATAGAGAAGAGTTAGTTCAAAAAGGTATTCTCATGCCGGAGAGTCCTGTTACGCCAGTTCCGGAAGCCAGTGAGTTACTTTATCACCCTAACGTTACACAAAGCTTTTAATACTCTCAAACTATTTAAGTATATTTATATTATGGATCAACCTTCGCAGACAGATTTGTAGTTTCTTTAAAAGTAAATCAAGGAAGACTATATAAGCAACAAGTTTGTTATTATTTATACATATTGAGTCCCGCAACTTTAGACGTTTAGACTCGTTTAAATTAATAGTGATTTTCAACGACAAAATATTTTTTTTACTCCAGTAAATATATATTTTAATATAGTTTATATGTAAGGAAATCTATATATATAAAAATGGATTGCTGTTCCTTAGTCTCGCTAAAACTCGAGAGCGGCTGAACCGATTTGGCTAAAGTCGAAATACTCCTATATAAATTAAAATAAATTTAGCCCTTTTTTTCCCTACAAACGTTTTTTTGACATTAGATTTATATATCTGTAATATGATTGAAACAGGAAAACCTTTATTTATGGCCTTTAGGAAAAGTTCGCCTGGTTATATACCTACTTGTATTATGACCAAACTGTAGGCAAAAAAATAATTTATAAAAGACGTAAATATTAAAAAAGCTATATGTAATATATAGTAAATACTCTTTCAATACGTTTAACATCGCACTGTATTCTGATGCTCTCGTCTTTGTTCGTATAAGTTTATTGTTAAAACATCGTTGTCCACACACCTGTCACATCTCTTATGAGTCATTCGCGGACAATTCCTATCATGATAATATCATAAGATGTCTATTATTTGAGTGAAATTTCAATGATATATCGATGTTTTTATAAGTTCTAATAAGTTTTTATTTGTTTTGAAAAGTATTCATATTCTAATATCTAATCAAAAATAAAACGCGAAGTAAAATCCGAAAAATATTAGTTTCATTTAAATGAGTACTCGTGAAAATCTTAGATCTCATTAAGTAGGCATATTGTTAGTGTAACTTTATTCATTCTTTTAAGTCCTTAATAGTGTTGAAGTTTACAAAGTATCAATATACCTATTTGTATACTATACCGAGCTACAAGTTGCTGCCTATTTGAAGTACATTCAACACTTTTTTTAATCTTGTTTAAGGCGGTTTCCTATTTCTTCTTTTTCATGTATAATATTTCCCTGTTTTTATTCTCTCACTAAAGACTATTTAACTTTATTTCATAAAATTTCTTTCTATTCAGCTTTATTTACACTTTATTTTTCCCTAATTATATTATGCATGATACACAAATAGTTTAATGAAGTAGATAATATGAGTTGTGTTTTCTGAGACATAAGACCTATAAATCACGAAAGTTCTTTAGTATATAAAAACTAACTTTAAACTTACAAATAATCACAATAATGTAAGTTTTAATTAGTACATACTAAACTGATAGAGCGGGATTTTAATGTATGAAATTATGTTCGTTGATTATTCAAATGTTTTAACTGGATTTTCATCATACCAATTTTTTTATAATTTAGATTTTTTCAACACAGTGTGGTCACTTAAATCAATCACTCAATAAATTATTAAACCTTGACATTAACAATTTAAGAAAATTGAGATCAACCGTGTACTTGAACTGCGACCTTCCTTTTTTTTTAGTTTAACATAAAAACTGTCCTAATATAAAAATTTGCCGTGGCTTATCTCGCTTCAAATTTACAGCCTATGTTTTATTACTAGTATAAAGTCCGTAAAGCCTTAACCGAATCCGACCGACCAATAGTCATTTTAGATATCCCTCGCAAATAGTTATTTTTTTTCTGGATAAAAACAACCCCTCGTCATCTTTGGTAGACTCTAATATATGAGAATCCCATCACAAAACTGTTGTCCTAATAGTCACGGATTTAAGACGTTGAAAAAAAACATTTTTATGCTAGCATTAGTGACAATTATTCATTAATGAAACCTATTTGTACTTTTATACTCACTGGTGATTTAATTGAAGATGATTAATCAATGCAAAATCGTATGTTTTGTTTAATTTAACAAATAATAATGCAATCATTTTATTTTGTAAATTCAATTTAGAAATAATATAACAGAAAATATATTGAAGTCGTGATATTTATCTCGTGATACGAAAGCTTAGCTTGAGTTATATCTTAAGCTAGACTATATGTAAGTGTCTTCTCAGACGAGGATGTGTCCCCGGGCTACGAAGAGGGTCGTGTGGACCGCGAGTGTGTGCCGGGCGGCGCGACACTCAGCGAGCGCTCGCTCGGCATGCACGCGGCACTGCAGGCACAGCTGGCAGCACAGCTAGCGCAGCAGCAGCTAGCACACCACCACCAGAACAATAATATCATCGGTACGTACTGTACACGTTTTAAATCCTTTTTAATTTTTTGTGTTTTCATCGTTCTCTCATTATGATAACCAGTTGAATATGAAGACAATGTTCTTCCCAAATATTTGCATGATGATGTTTGTTTTGTTCAGAATTGATTGGTACCATTTACATGAATGGTCAAATGTATTACGATAAATAAAGTCGAGACATCGAAATCAATAGTATGGGTTACAAGCGTATGAGTAAACGACATATGGATGATATAAGCTTGAAGTTGAACTCTAAGTTGGCCAAGAATACGAAAGCGCCAGTTAACCCTCGCCCCTTATTTAATGAAACGTGTTGTATTCATAATCGAAGAAAAGCAACGCGTGGCGGGAATTAGCGGCTTCCTGTCAGGACGAGCGGTGCGTTGACCCTCGCCGCGCCGACGTCGCAGGACTAGTGACGTCAGCAGACAATAGTATTTAATTGCCATCCAGATTCCCGGCACAGATCGCTCGTGGAATCACAATTGTGTCTCTGGTTTACCGTGTTTTAATATCGCCGTACAATTTTGAACGTCAAACGGGTTAATTCGGTCGGAAAACTGTTCCAAATCTCTTGTACAAATGACATAAGAATAACGTCGGTCTTTATAATGTATTTGTTGAGTGATTGGTAGTTATATATTATGGGTTACCATTAATATAATATTGATACTTATTAATATTTATGTTGATTATCATTTAGCTTTTAATATAAATAATTTACCGGCCCTAATTCAAGTAGTATTTCGTCCAGGTCATTTCATAAATTAGTTTCTAGTGCTTAGGGTTTATGTGGAAGTCTAGATTGGGTGTCTAGTGATGACAGGGGCTGCGGGCGGGAGGGGGCTGTGCGGGGCGAGGTGCGGGAGGGGGGCGGCGGGGGTTGCCGGCGCGCGCCTCAGTGCTGGCCCGCCCGCGCCCGCGCCCGCCCGCGCTCTGTACCGCAGACCTAACCTCTCAACTGCACCTCTTAAACACGCATCCTCGTTATCTCCAATAGCCCCCCGATGATAACAGAGACGTCTCAGCACAGCATCGCCCCGATCCCATATATTACACACCCATGTCGCTATCCGTGTCATACGTAATGTGCCGTTGCCCTGCAGGTGTTCAATACATATAATCGAAATATTATTGTGCTAATGAACATATTATATGTTGAAGTTAGATTATGCCTTGGTTTGAGTTAATACGTATCGAATGTTTATGGACTAATTTACATCATATTTTTGCAGACTTCTTAATTTTGTTGATTTTTCGGGGCATAGATCACGTAATTTACAGCCGGTATTCATATAAAATATAAATATATTAATTGTATTTCGTATTTAACAGTGCTACCAGTGGTCTGTAAGGGTTGTGAGGCGCGAACTTAGCAGGCGATATCGATCGTGACCGGCCGCAGCACGCGATAGCGCTCGTTGCACCGACCCTGTTTCATCAAAGCTCATTAAAAAGTTTTTTTATTTAATAAAATATAACAAATTACTAACTAGCATTATTAAAATATATAAAGAAATTCGAAGCGTTTCTATGTAATTTCATATTGCGATTACTCTGTAGAGTCTTTCGTCAAACGAAGTTTTGGGGTTTTCCATATTTTTTTTTCATTCCGTCATCCTATATATTCCCCGTCACGTCACAATGGACGCGACGGCTGTCTCGTTTCGTCGTAGCGTATGAACACTCAGACTGGAGTCCCTTACGGACAAAAAGCTTTGAATGATATGGATACGGATTGTAAGCTATCCGTAACGAACGATGCCCTGCGGTGAGTGGTAGGATACAGTCGACCGGCGAAGTAGACAGGCACGGGGAGGGTTTAGTGCTGACTAGACAGGCACGGGGAGGGTTTAGTGCGAATTGGTCAGTTTAAGGTGGGTTTAGTGCGAATTGGTCAGTTTAAGGTGGGTTTAGTGCGGAGTGGTCAGTTTAAGGTGGGTTTAGTGCGAATTGGTCAGTTTAAGGTGGGTTTAGTGCGAATTGGTCAGTTTAAGGTGGGTTTAGTGCGGAGTGGTCAGTTTAAGGTGGGCTTAGTGTGAAGTGGTCAGTTTAAGGTGGGTTTAGTGTGAAGTGGTCAGTTTAAGGTGGGTTTAGTGCGTAGTGGTCAGAGGCGGGAGGTTCGTGTTGTAAGTGTACCGTCGCGTTGTCGCGAGCGTCGCCCCGCGGCAGGCGCGCGCCGCCCGCGCCGCAGAGACCATCTATGATGGGTTATATCATGGGATGCGCGTGTTTGAGAGGTGCGTATTGTAAGGTCCTCGAACACGTGATCTGTAGTATTGTTATATATATTGTGCTTTAGCTACATTTTTGTTTGTCTGAAATGTTTTCTTCAAACTATACAGGGTGACTGGTGAATTACTATCGATACTTGAGGACGTGATATTTGACGATCATATATGACAAAATAAAAATTAATATAACATAAATATTAATAAACTTCTACGTAAAGTTAACCAAAAGTTATGTAATTAATTACGCATCGTGTGCACACCCTACAGATTAGGTATACACACACACACACACACACGTGCGGCGGCGTAGTGTTGTATCAGCACGCCGCCGCACGCGTCCACACTTGGAACACTTGGAACGTGTCCACACTTTATTTATTTATACGGAAATTTGGTCAAAAATTAAGTACCTATTTTTTTAACATAATTCGAATGAGAATCATGTACCGAGTATTCTCCTTAAATATTGATAGTAATTCACCAGTCACCCTGTATACTGTTATTATAATTTTCATTAAAATATTAATATATTTTTCAAAGCAGTGATAGGTGAATATCTCTGCTATAGATTTTGAGTGATTAAAATTATCAAACTAATCTTTCTATAATGAACATACCTCTATTACGATGTATGTATTTAGTTTGTTAACACTGCGAGTAAGATTTCGCTGTAATGTTTTCCAACACTCGTATCTGTAGTGAGATGCACATCACTTCCACTGTAATCGTTTTATCTAATTGCATCGCATGCTCACCGTCATCGGACTCGGTTGCATAATGTTGCTTGAAGTATTTTTTATTTCATAATATCTGTTGCTTGCTATTTCTATTAGTTGCCATACAAAACTTATTAGAATTAATAATGAACGAAATTCTTTGCTCATTGCAATTTTGTTTGAGCTTCTAAAATGTAAATGCTTTATTTATTTTATGAGCAGTCACTTTTTTATATAAATATTACATTTCGTTCGTCTCTGAAGTGTGAAATAATAAGAAAGTATCTTTATGCTCGCTAACTTTATATGAAAGAATTGTAATGTTCAAGTCTTTAGGTGCGTCGGTGTTGCTTTGTGTTTTCTGCAAGTAATTCAGTCTGGTTCTATATTTACTTCACACATTATAAGAACCCGCTGTTTGTCTGTCCGTCCTTCTTTCACGGGGATAAGTTAACAGACATAATGTATAGACTTATAAGTGAGTGATGTATGTATATTAAAAGCACGTATAACGAAGAAGACACGTGTGAAATGTAGTAATATATTTATTGATTATTCGTCGTTATAAGTAAATAATACATAAATTAGAGTGGAGATTCTTTGACTTTTCAATACATTTATGATTAAAACACATCAAATTACCATGTTATGTAAATACTAAATAGGGAAAACAATTAGCAGTATCTCAAACGAATGTATGGTATTGCACAATTTAAGTGTTGGTATTGTTTAAGCGACGAAAATATTTTAGACAATGCGAATCGGCGCGCGGCGTAAAAACTGTCGTTACAAAACGCTTTCACATAAAACTCATTTATAAATATCAAAGACTTTCTGTTTTTTTCTATTGTATTGTTTCCTTTACTCTCACAATTCCGAAGCGGCTCTGTTTAAAATGCCCCGCGGCCAAGACTCTAAGAATATTTGTTTAGTAATTTATGTATATCTCTTTTGAGTTTAAGCTCTGATGTATTTTAATTTTTAATTGTTGCTATTTTTTATGTGAATTATAGGGGAAAAAAGTCATCAAAATAATTAATTGTCTTTAATATTATAGTGTCCGTAGATAATATATATAGGCAATATTTAATTTGAGATTATATAACTCTTGCATGATTTGATCCTATTACATTTTCCATTTTTTTTAACTTTCTTATAATCTTGTTTACATAATAGTACATTGAACATAGAGTTGAAAACAATTCAGCCTATAACTAAAGGAAGGCTTAATCCAAGAGGATTATGTTAGTAACTTTTACCTAATAAATTTAACATAAATTTGCATATCAAAAATTCTTTTACAGTCGACCCTTTTTTCAGTTTTCATTTCAGGCAGGTAAATGACGCGCTTTATTTCTTTGAACGGTGGAAAATAGCATAGTGTGTGTCAACATAACTTAAACGCTTTTGTCCAAAGAACAATTTCAAAAGCTCACATAAGATATTTCATACATAATAAAATTTGGTTTTCAGTCTCTTGCTTAGAGTAGGTCTTGTTTGTTATAGAAAAACACTTTTAAAACAGTAACCTGTGTATTTTTTGGTCCAAATTTAAATTCCATATTAATATATAATTTATGAGTATAAAAGTAGAACTTAAATATTTTATTTTTCGGAATATTAAAAAAAATGTAGGTACATAACTATGGTTAATAGAATTATTAATTAATGTCATATTTTTTTGATACGTAAAAATATATTTATGTATATTCTTAACATAGTATTAAATCGAAATACTTTTTAATCAATTTTTTTTTGGAAATATTTATATTAAACTAGCTTTCCGCCAGCAGCTTCGTCCGCGTGGAGTTCGGTTATATCGCGTTTCCAAGACAACTTTTCAAAAGTCTGGAATAAAAACTATCCTATGTTCTTTCTCAAGGTCAACTCTATCTCTGGACCAAATTTTATTAAAATCAGTTCAGTGGTTAGGCGTGAAAGCGTAACAGACAGACAGACAGAGTTACTTTCGTATTTATAATATTAGTAGGGATTTTCTTCAAAATTTATATCAGATTGTAAATAAATGACAATTGTAAGTATGTGCATTTTGATTTATAAAATGCTTTTTTCTTCAAAAACAAATATTTCCCTTTTTTGTGCCCTCGACGAATGCAAAATTTCATGATAATCGATCGTCAGTTCAACCGTGAAGGTAAACGGAGTCACTTTCCTTTTATAATGTGAGTTGCAACTATGTTTTTATCATAGAGATCTAAATATTTGTTATAATATTAAGGAATTCTCAAATCCACATACAATATCAATATATAGGTATATTGAATGTTTCTCACATTAATTGATATCGTTATTTCTTAGATTCAATGGATTTTGAATTGCATCATTCGTAGTATTTAAATGTTGGCATTTCTGTGAGAACTGCGTCTAGTGGCCATGGCCAGTGGCTTGTCACTTTCCATTGAGAGACTATTTGTCTACTTTATATAAGAAGATCGGCAATATAAAGTTTTTTCGGTCGATGTTCATAATTATAGTGGTTTTTTTTAGTATAACACGTGGTTGTTGCACTTGACCGTTACTCTGTGACGTAATGCGAATGGTTGGTTGGTTAACGTGGGCGGATGACGGAAGAGCATCATGTTTACCGTACAGATGCACTAATTGATCTGTTAGGCTAAATATAATACGGTATGCGATATACATATAGAACTTAAAAGCTCTCGATTTGGTCGGACTTTGTAGCCTTATAATACGTATGACTCATTTCAGAATGCCTAATATGGTACCTTAAATTTTAGGACTTTAAAAAAAATATTATATTTGAATGTCTTTGCGATTGTTGACATTTAAATATTCTTTTGTTTTTTTTAGTTCATTGTACAGTTTTAGGATGAGTATCCTTCTGGCGTGTTCAAGGACGGCGCTCGGTTCGTTGGTCTCACTCACAATAGACATTGGACGATCAATCTGTAACACAACATGTTTTTTAAACAAAACCATTCATCTTATCTCGAAGTGAAAAAAGATTTTTGTTTAATGATTTATGCTCAATATTCATCATTCTCTGTGATGATGTCCGAGGAGCTTATCTATCTGTTCTTTAACTTACACTGACACATCGTACATACAGGTCAGCGAACTTTGCGAGGCATAATGGTGCTAGTTTCTCGATCCACGTAACACGGACCGCGATGAATGGCGTTAAATTAAAAATTCAAAACAAAGCCGAGCAATGTGTGGGCGGGCGGTTAGGCGGCGATCGAAGAGCGCGCGCGGAGCGAGCCCGGGGCAAGGGGCGCGCGGGGGTGTGGGGGAGGGGTGTGCGGGCGGGTGGTAACGATCCGCGGAGGCCGCAGTCTTCCAGCCGCGAGCGCGCCGCGAGCATGGGCGACGTCGGGACGCTCGCCGCCATGGATGCCTTCGCGGGCGGCGCGAGGCGGAGGCCCGCTCGCCTGCCGCCGCCGCCTCCCTTCGTCCCGCCGCCGCCGCCGCAGAGGCACGACCACTACTATGTGCGCCGCAAGTCCCCCGTGCCCCGACACTCCTCTAACCTCACGCTGTTCGCGCGGTCCAATGGTACATCACCATCACCACCACCACCACCAGTCATGCACCATCACCGCCATCACCCCTCATAGATCACCGCTCATGAACACAGTTAGCTTATTTATTATCATCTAACCTTTAAGTCATCGATCGTCTCTCAACCTCATCTGTGCATTACTTATCCTTGTGTACTCCTGTTGAATCTTTCCTTAATTCACTTGATTTTTTTTATGACAGTAAAACTGATTGAAATTGATTAATTTGCTTAAAATATTTACATCTGCGCACATAATATTTAAAAGATTTTTAATTATTAAACTTCTGTTGTTTATCCAAATCATAAATTTATCATAGAACTATATATTTCTAATAAAAAGAAAATACACTAAAATGTCCAATGACAATGTCCAATGAAAGTAATAATATAATGTCACTAAGAGCACCGTTACTTCAAGCTATTCAAAGTCTTACACAATACAATATAAATGTATCTGCGGGATCATTGTACAGGAATAATTTAGTAAGCGTAGTAATCCTATTTGGTGCGCAATTTCAAATTTATAGTTGGGAAAATTAACTTTGCTGAAACCTCCCACGTAAATAACACGTGAGGAGCCAATAAAAACAGCTATAACTGTACACATTTGAGAATAAACATAAATTCATATAATATATAATGTATGCAATTTTCGGATTGTTATAGAAACTATTATATTTTACACATTTTTTTTCATACAAATATCGAGTAATTCTCTTTCAATATAGACTGAAGATTTTTCATGTGATCAAAACAGAGAAAATTCTTAACTATACACACCTTAATTTAAAATTGATTTCCATAAAATTTGACAAACAGTCCGTGACCTATTAAAAATTATTTGTTATAAAAGGTCGTTCAAAAATCGGACGTTTTTACGATATTATATCAAAATTAATTTGGTAACAAAACTTAAGAATTTGTATTTTATACTGACAAATATATTAAAATTATGTAATACTTAAAATATATATAAATAAATTCACGTAAAGGCGTTTAATATTTTATATAAAATAGTTAAGACCGTCTCAAGCTTCAATGGCGATAAATAACAAACGAATTCGTCTCGTCGCAATTTGGCCTCGTACAACTATTTGTGGCATGTTAGTGAGTGTACCTTTTACGTCGTGTACGTTGCCATTATAATTGCCACACGACAAGAGCACTCGCCACATTCTAATCCCAATATTGGCAGAGAGACAGCCACGACATTGGACGACAGGCTATTTCGATTCAATTCGTATAATCGAAAATACTGTAATGACATTTCGTTTAAGCCGCAAGCGGGGTTTTTTTTTTTCAATTTAGAATTTGAGATTAAATTCTCGTAGTGTTTTATAAATGGCTCATTGTCAGAATAAAGTAATAGCCAGAGGCAATAATTGAAAGAAAGCGAGCCGTATGACAGCTAGGTGGCTGTCGGTCGCGGCCGCGGCACGCCCTTGACCCGTTCCGTTTCCCCGTTCGCTTTACCAAGGCTCCATTTATTTCATTGTTTACAAAGCTCCCACAAAATCTCATATTCAATAGAGAGATAGGAGAAAATATTTTAAAGTGAATATATTTTTTTATTATACCTCTCTACTACTATAATATTATACGTTGTATTCGGATTAAGTTTGCATGCATCTGTATGAAGATGTAATAGTAATAAATTATCGGTAATATTGTTTATTGTCAATTTCGTTTAAGTGTAAGAGTTATGTCGCGTGTCGTAAGTCGCCCACGTGTGTTTCGTCACTGTCTTTAATGTTTTTACAACACGCATTCTGCTTTCAGCGTTTGTCGACCTAAATCTGTCTATGTAATATATTCTTAAATTTATATTATATTACTATGACATGCTTTACTTTATTAATAATATCCAAGTTCCTTTGGATTTTCATATATGCTTTATCTGCTCGATGAAAAGAAATCTCTATAGATAAAGTTCGCGAAAGCCAATGTCATATAACTTGAGAATGTTATCTCCCAACGCTTTGTTTCGATCATCTATACGATCAATATAATAAGAACATATGTCTGTTATAATGACTTTCTACCAAATATAATAACCAATGTTTTATATGTTACGTGTATATGGTTTCTATCTTACCCCACAAAAAGAGAAAAACGCTCTAGTATTCTCAAGTAGTCTAACGCCATTTCACTCCGCTTACTAGCTATTTAGCTACACTTGACATTGTGTGTTACTATTACTGTACATTCTGTTACATATCTCATGACATTGAAGTATTTCACTAATTACATCATTTGTCTGAACGACCTTTAGCGAGATGATTTATTTCTTTTGATGCTCACTTCCTGTTTTTTTTGTTGTTTGAAAATTTAAAGGAATGCGTGTTTTACGACTACATTATGATAATAACAATGTATTCATACAAATGTATAACATTAACGTTTTAAGATTTTCTTCGTAAATATCTCATGAAGATGAATGCGTTTGTGCTTACGTAATAGTCGCAACCGGCAACGTTTCTCGTCCTCGGGAGATCAGCCTCGGCCAAGGGCGACCGCATCGATCGCTGGGACTCCGACGCCCACAGCCCGCAACACTTTACGTTCTGCCTGTTGAATAGAATTATATTACGACCACTACACACCGACATTATAAATCACAGTAAACTACGCATTTATATGGACTTCCGACAATTAAATTTCTATCGCAGAACTTATTGAAAGTTGTCTCTACAAATTTCTATCATTATATTAAGTGTTAATGCAATTTAATGTTTCTTTTAACGATCGAATACTTCGATTCGATAATTGTTTATGACGAAATAAAATTTTAAGCAACCAGTTGTGATCGATGATAGCAGGTGTAAGTGGAATTGTTCCATACAAGGTCGTTTGTAAAATTCCTCGATGGTTCATATAGAAACTGTATGCTAATATATTTTGTACAGCATATAATGTTATTGAAGCGTTGATGCAGGATGCGTTAATAATAACGGTGGCATGTGTCGAAGGCCGATCGCTCCGGCGCCGGCGATGAATGGAAGTCGCGTGCCTCGACACACTATCACCTATTTTTAGATCTATCAACATTGAGAGGTTACGCTTTCGCTGCCAGTTTGCTTTACAATCCAGTTTCTATAATTATATACGTCACAGTTAACGCTAACGAGACGGTTTAAATTTCTAAACACCTCGCCGAGAGGGGCGTACGTGTATGAGTCATGCAATAACATATTGTTAATATGAAATAAATGATTTTTATAGCTATATGAAATGACTTATGATTGAATATGTATTCCAGAACCAAAGAAAGATAAATTGGAGAATGGTGGTGAAATGGTGAGGCCGGAGAGACCGAACTCATTGTCAGCCGGCAAGCTCCCAAGACGGATGTGCTATCAAGGAGACGGTGAGTCATGAATATCTTAATAATGTATGTAAAGTATACCGCATGTCGTAATTCGCTCTCACAATGCCCACATTGTATTCTCAAGTTAAAACATATCTCTCCGTATTCCCTTTGAAGATTTTATCGAACCAAAAGCCAATTTGAATTGTGAAATCGGATTCTGAATGCGATAGTACATATTTGAATTTCTATAAATAATAATTTTATTGCTTAGCAATTTTGTAAATGTTAGGGTTTATTTAAATGTTTTTTTGCGCGTCAGGGTCGGGATGAAATTTGATATCGCTAACAATTTTATAAGAACATTGTGGCTGCTCAGTATTAAGTGGATAATTTTTTATTAATGCTCAGCTAGACATAATTAAATAGATTGATGCATTTGCAGTGGTGGGCGGTTACGTGGGCGGCGTGGGCAGTGTGGGCGACAGTGATGTGAGCGAGGAACAGCTCATGCTGTCGGAGCTGCCGGAGCCGCCCATCGCGCTGTCGGAGATCGGTCCCATACCGCCTCCGCCCATGTTCAGCTCGCCGAGTCCCACGCGCCATCATCACCCTCACCAGCATCCACACCCTCACCCACACACACACCCTCATCCGCTCTCCAATCAACTGTCTGATTGTAAGTTTGTATTATCATAGAAATCACTTTAATTAATGGTGTAAAAACGTGTAATTTCATGGCTCATACAAACAAAAACCTAACAGTAATTTATTCGCCAGCTGAAGACGAGGATTCTCAAGAAGAGGAGGATGGTGAGGCCGTGGCTGGTGCGGATACGTCTCGCGTTGAAGAGATTCCTCCAAAGGAGCCCTTATATAACGCGGTGCCTCTCAAATCAGCCCTTAAGAAACGACCGGCTGCTTCACCCGCTGGGACACCTCTCGCCACGCCGCTAGCGCCGAGACAGGATCACCATCACGCCAGCTTTAAGTCAGTATAAATTAACTTATTCTATTACTAATAAGTTAGAACTGTATTAAGGATATAGTCTTCCTCTAGAACTGAAAAGTGTGCCTAACAAATAGATGTAAGTTTCCCACGACCATATTGTATATATACACAAACAATATTGTTGTACCTATAGTATATTCTCTATGTGGTGAAAGTAATTTAATGAGATGCTAGTCGTTAATATCGATCATAATAAATGTGTTGCGAATACGTCAGCGATAAAATATCCGATAGTTGTCTTAAAATGTTAGAAATACATATAAACATTCCTTAGTAAATGAATGTAATATTCAATAAATATTCTCACATATTGTGTTAGACTTATTAGAAATTTAAATGAAGCGACGCAATAGTTGCACGTTCTCTAGGACAGGAAAAAAAAATGATCGAGTCGCAATAGTTGTTATGTCGGTAAATGTTGATTGTGTGATATATGATGTGTACGGTTATATGAAAATGTTGGTTTATTTCCATAATGCGGCGCAGACGGCCGCCGCCCAAGCCGAGGATCCGCATCTGGTAACTGTCATGTCAATGTTGTCACAGGCCTCCAGACGGTCCGCTTCATGCATCGTGCATTGCACGCTTCGACTGTCATCTGTCATAACATACACGCACACACACACACACACTCCATACACACGCACACACACATACACCCCATGCACACGCACACATACACAAACACAGAATACATCGAATGATAAATGTCCCATACGATGTTTCACAGGTTGGCTGTTTCTGTGCTATTGTTTCTCTTGTCTGTGCTGCATGTAATGGTTTAACTGTTAGAACATTTCCGATGTAACTCTCCACATATGATAGTTGATGTTGATGTGTTTTTTTTTTTGTTGTTGTAAATATTTACGATATTAATTTCCTTAACATAGATTTAGCTGTTGTAACTGTATTTAACTAAGTATAAGATTTCAGCTCGCTTGTAAGCTTGATAGATGATCGTTAAATTATATTTTCGGAGTTTATATAATAAAAACATAGTTTATGACATGGGACTGTCGCAGGGTAACGTCAAACTTGCGTGACGTCTGCGTTGACGCGCCTTCACTCGTATTTGACATATTTTTATTATAATTAAAAAAGTTTTTAATGCCATAGCATAGATCTAATAAATATATAATATTATAGGATTAAACATATACTTTCTTTAAAGTTTATACTTTAAAGTATAGAACCGTATCCATGTAAGAGTTAATATATAAAGAAGACTAAATTAATCAAAGTAAATTAATCGTTAATAATATTTTTTCCTCGCATTCTAATCAGTATGTTTCTCACAGCAGCCGTCCGGTGCGCGTGGGCAATGCCACGGATAACAAAGAGAACGCTCGACCCTGGGAAGGTGACTACAACGAGTACTCGAGCGAGTCTGAACGAGTGGCTGCCAAGCTGGCCCGCAAGGAGAGCCTCAACATCAAACTGGCGCTACGACCGGATAGACAGGAGTTGATTAATAGGTATACTAAAAATAGATATTAATATACATTTTCATATAGTATAGAATTGTAGTAATCTCTAAGGACATTTCAGTATAATTATTAGGCTATATTTGATATACTTCTACATAAGTTATCAGTGTGACATTATATTACCTACTTTATTTTTTTTATATATCAAATACACAGATTAAGGTAAAAGTGAAAAAATATATATACTAAACATAATTAATATAAATTTTTTGTTATTATGGCTAAAATAACTATTATAAGAACTAAAAAATTATTAAGCGTAACATCATTATATACGTCTGTAATAATACACGATAGTTCCCACAATCGCCGCGCCGACCACATGATACGTCCGAGCCCGCTCAGTCAGTGTCGTGTAGTAAACAGTGTTGTAGGAAGCACCTTGAATGCTGCCAATATAATCAAACGGCCCGGCATCCTGCCAACATAACCACGTATTCTCGATAATATTCTACTTAAACATCGTATTTCGTTCATTGACGGTTACTTTTTTATGAACACCAATAGAAAATGTGATTATTAATTCGTCCTATTCGACGTTCTGGGTCGTACGCTTGGCTCCGCTATAATTCGGTCATTAGGGCAGTGTCATGAAGTCACTGTTATTTATATACGCATAGCATTCGTGTTTACGGACTTTTTTTTCGGGTTAATTTTTTAAAATAATATCACACACAGACATGTCGGCTTTCTATGGCTTTCAATTGAAGAGGTATTTTTTTTTCGTAATTTTTTCAGTTTGATTAAAATTGTGTAATTAAACATATTGTATTTCTTATAAAAACCTTTTTTAGTTTAAACATTTTCACAACAATGGCTGATTTGTCATCAAAGTCCATAACAATACTCGCGTCTTCGACTGAATGTATGTGAACTGGAATGAGTTATAAATTAGTCTCGTTTGGTAAAATCATTCTTTGTGTTGTTACACAAGAGTACACACACACACTCACACAAACGAATATTTCATTTATTGTTACACGACCATTACATTAGTGAGAGTTATTATTGCTCATCTAATACGAACGCCTGGGAGTTTTATTTTTGTTAGCAGTCGATTCAATAGTATTATTATTTTTTGATTTTCTTAGTAATCGGTCTTGGCAGTGACATTAGTTCATATATAAACATATTTTAATGTGTACTTATATATATAAAAAAGTGTTGAAACTATAGCAGTGATGTTAATGTATATAAACGACGTAATAAATATAGGAAAGCCTCGCTGATTGAATATGTGACCTCAGTGTATCTATAAAATCTAGACTAGATTACCGGTGTTGGGATTAAGCCAAAAGTTCATGTTAATGGGACGTAATGAGAATGCTTTCGGCATCACGTAAACTTTGGCATGTATTATATGTGAGCTGGTCGCGAGCGTTCGGGTCATGTGGAGCGGTTGTATTTAATGATATTAATACTGATGCTGTACGGGGCGAAAGTCGCGTTAGTTTGTCATGTCGAGATTATATTAACTGGAATTATTCGAAATAGGACGAAAAAAAAATTTGTGCAGTTTGTACATTGTAGGATGTTGTTAATATTTGTGACCTGTTCAGGAATATCCTGGTGGTGCAGAGTGAGCACGAACGTCAGGAATCTTGGGAGGCCATCGGCGCGAGGCTTATACGTCGCCTGTCAATGAGACCCACTGCTGAGGAATTGGTAGAGAGGAACATACTCAAGAGTAAGCATTATACCTACAAAAACATCCATTGATAAGTTATTATATAATTTACAAAATGATATGTAATTGATTTTTTAATTTCCAGGTCAGTCACCAGCGGAAGAGAAGAAGCAAAAGGAAGAGAAAAAACGTTACCTCCTGCGTAAACTTAGCTTCCGACCCACCGTCGACGAACTCAAGGAGAAGAAAATCATAAGATTTAGCGATTATATAGAAGTGACACAAGTAAGACATTTAGTACCTCATATATATTCAAAAATATCCAAGTAAAGAACTCTGTTAAGAAAATTCCTTTGTAATGGCTTATTTTACAAAGCAATAAAAACCATGGGATTTTTAGTTCATTATCAGTATGTATAGCTTGCAGACGGTAAAGACAGATGAGTTAGGCAACAATGGCTACATGGTTTTATGTTAGTACTAAAAACTTTGATTACATCTTTTATTTTTTTTCCTTTAACATGTTCTCATGCGATGGTTTTTATATTTTACATAAATTTAACGACAGTGTCCAATAAACGTGATTAAAAGCACAACTGTAGCATAAATATTCTGATCACTAAAATGCCTTTCATCCCCACCACGTGTCAATCTTTAAATCCCTGTCAATAACATGTCACTTGTTCGTAAAGGCGCATGATTACGATCGTCGTGCCGACAAGCCGTGGACGCGCCTCACGCCACGTGACAAGGCGGCCATCAGACGCGAGCTGAACGAGTTCAAGAGCTCCGAGATGGCGGTGCACGAGGAGAGCAAACATCTTACCAGGTCAATATAACACACACACACACACACAGAGATCTACATGTCAACACACACATCGACACGTATGTGTGCACGCGCACACACGAAAGTAAATGAGATGTAGATTAAGACAGATTAGTATTTTTACTAAATACTAAATCACTCCTGTACTCTACCTTCGCTACACAATAAATATAAATTATTTATGCAATGTGGTTTGAATGTATTATGTCTATATTTTTTGCTTATTTAATCTTCAGCAACTGAAGAGGTGGAAATATACATCCTATTTGATTCAAATGACGTAGTAATAATTGGTGAAAAATTTATATTGGAATACATAAAAAGTTGTTTAATAGATAGTTTATCTCAAATATTATTATGTAATCCAAGCGAAGAATAAGAGTTTGCAAATATTTTATCTAAAATACCTCCTAGGATCTTTTTTGAAGAAGAAATTTTGAATTTCTCCCAAAAGGGATTCCTAGTTTTTACAAAACTATGACTGAATTTTGAATCAGTATAATCGGTTTATAAAATTAAAAGATTTGCGGCCTAAGACAAACATAAGTAAAATACAAAAATTTCTATATTTCTCTTCGCAACTAACACTTCATTCAATGCACACCTTTACAAAAAGCTTCTTTATTGATTTCATAAATAATACATGAATTCACTGAGACTTCGATTTTTTTATTAGGCAAAAAAATCCGGTCAAGACACATTCTTTTAGGTAATGAAACACATGAAAGTTTGAAAAGCTCGTAAGTGGTTCGAGTCACCAGTTCAAAAACACAATCACGTATTTGCGCCATAATTTTGGCAAAAGCTGTTCTGGTGACACCACACTTTCTTTTTCCTTTAGCATTTTTAAAATTTTCTACAAATTTTATAGTTTTTTGAAAGAGAGACTATTTCTACATGCATTTTAAAAAATTTAAGCCACCTCACAATTACTTATTTTTTTATCTTTTCACTGCTCGACCTCTTGTTTGGTATCTGACATATTATATCAGTGAAAGCAATTTCAAGTCACTCAAAACTCCGCAAGAAATCCTTAGACTAATTAGTTTCTACTTTTTAAAGCATTTCAAAAACCCCGTCAAACATTATGTTTTATATGCCACTGAATAGTTGTGTTAAGTTCATATGATAATTTTAGTTGCGCCTTACGGTGTTACCCGTGGATTTCCGGGATGTAAAGTAGCTCATGTGTTATTCCTGGACGTCAGCTTTCTGTATACAAAATTTTATCAAAATCGGTTCAGCCGTTTGAGCGTGAAGAAGTAACAAACATACACACACACTTACAAACTTTCGCAATTATAATATTAGTAGGATACATAATGTAATGTAACAGATTATATTTTATGTATTCTGGTTTCTTGTGTCCTTCTTAATATAATTGATCATAAATCTTCACAGAGATGAAATGAACACAGGTGTGAATCAGATGATAAACAGACATGTTACTATTTTATTAATATTTTTTTTTCCTTCAATCATTCTCTTAATACTTAATACAGAATGTAAAATTTCATAAAAAAAAAAAAAACAATAGTGGTGTTTTAATTATATGAGCATATTAGATACAGATAAATATTATAATATAAATATAGTTTTTTAATGATTTATACATAGGTACATCATAGACAATATATGTACATACAATGCTAAACAAAGTTTAATCCAAGATCTTAATAAAAATGTATGTATGTATAATAATAAATAGTGTGTTTACGTTAGGTGAGTCACTAACATTCCTCTTTACATAAAATGCAAGCAATAAAAGATTCATTAATTCCGAAGTGACAATAAAAAAGACAAATTATTTTGGCAAGATTCATTTTGGCTGCGGCATTTATTAGCAATTACAACAAAGGTCACTCGATATCTACGAATTGTAATAATTTAATTATTTTTTTGAAGTAAAATAAATTTTACGACAGTTTTTTCCTAGTGTTACTGATTTCATATCTTCTATCTTCTTCTTCTATATATATAAAAATGGATTGCTGTTCCTTAGTCTCGCTAAAACTCGGGAACGAGAACTAGCAAAAACTAGTAAATTATAATTCAATGATGAATTTATCTATCTGTTGTTCGTTGTCAATCAAATCTCATTGCCAATTCTATGTATAATGTATCGCACAATATTGTTACTATCACAAACTCAGTACACACTTTAAAATTTCAACAAAATTTAATTATTTTTCTGTTCTATACTAAACTATCGAAGTTCCGATAAACGGAAAGCATTTATCTCTACATTTTACAGATATTATCATTTTTTATTTTCAACAATACTCCTTCTTGTAGTAAGTTTAACGTCTTTTGAAACTAAAATGTATGTATTTTTCCACAGATTCCATAGACCATGACGGCTGTGCCCTAGTCCCTGTAAGGAGAGCCTGCGGGTCTTCGGATGAGCGTGCGCCCCTCGGCCCTCGCCCCGCACTGTGATTTATTATATTCGTATTGACCTCTTCCGCATTCGGAAGTTTGTATGCAATAACAGGAGAGGCGGCGTTTGAGCCGTACCGTCACCCGCTAACTATGTGACTGTCGGTACGACGTGCTCACTACAGCTTTACTCGCCGGCCGGCCGTCTCTTCGAATACGATACGTTGTCGTAGTGACTTTTATAATAACTTTTAGTTCCCTAAGTACCTTATACATTCTTTGAATTGACCTTCTTGAAAGGTTAGTGATACTGATTATTGTGGAGATTATGAGTTTTAGAAGCTCTGTGAGATTCGATATGTCTGATGCGAGACGTGTCCCGCTTAGGATTCTGTAGATTTGTGATTATTTTTTTCTTAAATTTGCTAGCTTTTATCTAAAGTAGTCACTAAGCTAGAAACAATTTTTTTTTTATAATGATATTTATTATTTGTCGAAAGTGTTTCATTGGTCACAATATAAATTATATTGTTTGAATTTTAATGTAGTGTTTATTGAAGTATATAGCGAGCTTCTTCTTATTGATTAATTATTAAGCGATCTATTCGAATGCGTTAGTACATATATTATTTGAACGCGTTTATCTTTGTTGGATTTTTGATTCTTGTTGTAACTTAATGCGATCTACTGCCACAATTATCCACTAATACTTTCCTGGAAGTGTCTTTGCAGCTTTGAAATTATTTAGAAATTAATATTGTTAAAAATTAAATTTATTTTGGGACGTATAAAAAAAAGCTAAATATTTATTTTCTATGTACATATATAACAGAATAATTACGAATGTTCTGCAATAAACTGAATCGTTGTCGTGTTTTCGCTGAAAATAAAACGACTTGCCTTCATTGATGTAAAATTTAATTTATCCTAGTTTATAACAGTTTGTAACCCACAGAAGTTGTTGATGTTTAAAAAAAAATAATAATAATATATCATCTGTAATAATGTTCAAGATAACCAAAACGATACAACATAGTATAATTCATTAGTACAGGGAGATTATTGTATAAAAATACATACGGTTACGACCCGGTTATTCCTTGATTATAAATACATTATGAAAACACTGGTGTTGGAATCGGCGCGACCGTTCACGCTACGTAGCATTTGATACTCGGGAAATTGGAATGTTCCTATGGGGATGTAACTAGTAGTTATTTTTAATCATGTTGAAGTTTCGTATAAAGTTCATTAGATACAGCGTGATTGACGAACCGATTACCCAACGAGACCCTCGAACTAAAAGATCCAAGTTCCTTGGAAACAAGACGAGACACTCCACTACCACTAGTGTAAGTCATCGAACTATGTATCGACAATTAAATATTAACGATTAATTAATAATAATAATAATAAATATGTAGCTGTTTAATAAATAATTATTAAAAGCCTCGATATTAATTCATTGCTTTGTATATGAAACATTTTTTTTTTTTGTATTAGTGATCACAAATTCATTATAGTGTATAGCAATAACAGTGCTGGTTGCGATTTTTTTAATCTTTTCGACTGTCACGTGGTTTTGCTGTTAATATTTTTTACAATAATGTATAAATAATTTATATTGTAAGGTGCATTTTGTGGCGATGACCAGTGCAGTAGAGGTGCCATTAGATACGACTTCTAAATTATATTAAACGACATTAACACATATTAAATATCATTCATATGTTATACATAGCTGTTATGTATACGGACAGTATGTGAAATAAAATGTTATATATTTGGTCAGATACATAACAACGCAGTACAACTCGAACGCGTGGTTCGTTTAACCGACCATTCCATATAAGAGTGAAGTTGGAGCCAAAATTATAACTTATTTTTCTAAAATGTTTTGTTATATCGCGTTAAAACTAGTATTGATAAAATGTAGTTGTTTATCTATATTGTAATCATAGGACATTCAGATTTCCAAAGAAAGCTCAACTGAATTCATTTAGATAGATAACACGACGACATACGTACGCAAAATTTATACTGTTTTTTTTTTGAATAGCATAAGAAGCAATGATATTCATCAGGTGTCACTTAGTATGTACATACTTAATTACCATAAAATGTGATAAGACTTTTTTTGTGTTGTAGTGTTTTTATAATTATTTAAGTACAGTGAATTTTTTATTTGTATAAATTTCTACGACTTTAAAAAAAAATGTCAAATGGTGCTGTCTTAAAGCAACTTTGCTTCACAGTTGAACTTTTTATTTCCTAACGTATTAAAGGCGATGACATTACAATTTGTTACATTTCTATTTGATTTTTATTTTATATTAAATAATTTGATCATGTTCTGTAACCCAAATAACCGGGACAAATATTAGCTTTAAATAATGGTTAAACTTGTTATTTTCGATAATAATTTTTACAACATGCTTTTACTTCTTAACGAGACATTTTAAAAATCATATTTGTATATAATTTTACTTAGTGCTTCTTAAAAATATGGAATCTCTTTATTTCCATTGTAATCACACGTATCCTTTTGTGCTACTGAAAAAATTAATTAAACTATCAACAATAATCGGTTTAATGTTGCTTTTTATTTGAATATTGTGTAAATTATTAATGACATGTTGTGTAAGTAATTATATGATGATAGCCATAAAATATTTGTTTTATATAACATAAGTCTGTAAATACTATGATTATACATTAAGTTTTATACTCCATTGTTTTTTATTTGATTTCCTCATATCCATCTAAGAACAGCATACACTTTCTAACAATGAAATTGCCGTTAGTTCGCCGTTTCCAAGTATATTTTCCGTTCGGTTTAAATGAATATTTTGACCCGATCCGTTGAGGTTGTGGTGACTTTCGTTGGCGCGAAACTTATGGCTGTAAACGCGGCTTCGGTTTGGAGAAAGTTAACTGTAGAGTGCGTGCCCGTCTCCCGGCGTTTGAGACTCAAACATCAGTCGACGGCGGGCTCGCCTGCGAGACACACATACGTGAGACATGCCGATCTAATCGCTCTAACAAACAACAGAAAGCGATAGTGTTGTATAGTGAAGCTTTGTATTGCTTTGTGAACGATTCAGTGTACTATAACGAACTGAGCGCTAGTTAAGAACAAAAATGACGTTCTCTGGGAACATGAAAGAAAGCAAACCTCGAACCGACACATGGGAGACGGAGGTGAGATCTTGTCGTCTATTATATGTGGATGATGGCTGTCAGCGATAATTAATTCATCTGGCACGCGTGTGATTCACAGCAAACATAATGAATGGGAAGATCTATCAATGGTGCTTCTCATTAAGTCGTGCGACAATTTCTTCATAACATCTTAACAATTGACACTTTCTCCTTACAAGAAATTCAAAGAATTGGTTTATATGCATAGATCACTTTGGTATCTTTGGAAACAAAACCGCTGTATGATTGTTTATTTGACGCACATTTTATTAGTACATATTTTTTTTTAATTATCCTTATTTTTAATCTTCATACATCTTCATGATTTCAAGAAACTATTAAATATATTAATTGACCATTATAAAATCAAATAGTTATAGGAAACATTAAAAAACTAATAAAGTTTTTATATAATTCATTTTCAGTTCTCACTGTGTCAGTAGGAAGCAACAACATATAATAATTTTAATAAATGTATTCGGATATGTGTGTCACATCTGTTATTAATTTCTAAAATGAATTCGTTTTCAATACACACCTTTCCATTCTCGATGTCAGAATCGATGGCCTTATAAGTTGTTTTCCATAAATTCGCACTATTTATTAATTTAATGACATTTTCTAGAACGTTAAGCTAAAATATCCTTGGCTAATAAAACCTGAGTAAATTAATATTATTCAGAAATATTACGCAACGATCATTTCGGTTCAGTGACTACTTTTATTTCAAAATATATATCGGTTTCTCTTAAACTGATAGGATATCCTGAATAGAAATAAATAAAAGTGTGATATTATTTTGTATTTCAAAATTGGAATTCAATTAATTAAAAATACTCGCAAATTAAAAATGTTTACAATTAATTAAAGAAAAATATAGAGTATTTTATTTATGTGAATATTTTATAAGACGTGACGTGAGGAAGAATTTTTTATATGAAATCATTAATATTTAGCAATTCACGTACAACCAATCGTGAAAATCAAAGCTTTTTGACGTCCATAACGAAGTACCACAACAAATTCATTGAACACAGCTATATATTTCTTAATTACATTAAATTTTACTATATTCATTTTATTTACTTTGAAAAATTAACAATAAAAAATCATATTTAACGAATCAATTTAAGATATAAAAATCTCTAATCTAAACTCCGATGACTTTATGATTCATGATATTTACTATATTTTTTTTGTATGGCATTTACAAAACATTCTTATAGATTTTATTTTACTTTTAACACGAATTCATTCCATCGTGAGTAGGAAATTTAAAACTCGATCTTACCTACTTTGTCACTTGTCCTTGCTAGCGCCTCTCACTAGTGTCTCGCTCCTTGTTAAAAACAATTATAAATAGAGCAACTTATCAATAACAAACTAAAAAAAAACAATAATGGCAGAATTCAGTTATTAAACAGTCGGTGTAGCCCTATCGCTACCATTTATGATTTAGAATAAACTGCTTTTAAGCTCACAAAAGTGTTTGTGATATGCTTGCTTGTTAGTCATCATTATACATATATAGGTATATGAATTTTTTCATTGATTGCTTGTTCGTATGTGACATAAGTGTTATAAAATATAAGACAGAAAAACGCAGTATTACCCAACACGAGAAAACACAGAAAATGCTATAATTTTATTAATATTATTCAGCGTTGCAAACATTAGCAATTTAAAATCAAATTTAATCACTCAGTTTTTGCTGATGTTCATTTTTTTTATAAAATCACGTCGTTACATCTTAGCGATGTATAATAATTAAAAATCGAACTGAATGGTTTTGTCATAGTCTGAAGGCTGCCATGTGAAATATATTGAATTTAAATTTGATTAATATTAACTATACTTAAAACAAATATCGTTGAATATTTTTCAAAGAGTAGTAGAAAAGCTTAATTCTATAAAGCAAAATTAACGATACATTTATTTGTCTATTTTTAAGATTGATATGAAAAATTTTATTTGAAAGGTGAACAACTTTTTTAAATATGTTGTATCTCAGCTATATTATTTTACAAAGCAACTACAAACAATTAGATAAATAACTAACTCATTAAATTTATAATTACATTTTACAGTTGTCTAAAGTAACACTGATTACATTGGCAATAAAACTAACTAAAATTAATTATTTTCTTGCTCGATAGTCGCTTAATAAATATTATAATACAAATCGATTCAAACCAGTCCGAGCAAGGAGTCTTATAGCAAGATTCCCAGAAGCAACTTCATGATCCATTACTGAGTAGATTTTATGACATAGCATGCAAAATTTCTTCTCAATCTCAACGAGGAAGAAGGCGAAAAGTACATTTGTTATATGTTATAAAAGATGATTACGTTCAAACAATAGGACACGGATAGATAACCGACACTGAAAATTATTTGCGACAAATTATAATAACTACATATAAAAAAATCTATTTATAGAAATTCAAGGAAATAAAAGTCTGAATAGTTTTTTTTTAGGGTATCAGTTGTCTCCATTCAGAAAACCTGATTTGAATAAAGTTGGACATGCTCTACAAACATAATAATTTTGCGAACTCTCTCAAAATTACTAAGCGTGGACGAAAAGACCTTTTGTTTGTCAACCTTCGTGGCTGACCTTTCTCGTGTGTGACCTTTAACCCACAGAAAACCACCTGTAACTCAATCTAGTATTTGGTATATCACAGTGTAATTGTAAGTGTGTCAGTGGATGTTAACGGCGCCATGCGATTCTTTATCCGGGTCGCTGCCGCCCGTGAGTTCGCTGACCACAACTCAACTTATTTTACGTACTTATAATCCACTTTTCTTTCAACTTGTTATTCGGTTGACCGCTCAATTAAATTTGTTTTGACTTAACTGAAACCAGCAGCAATAGAAATTTATTATTGAGCTTATTATATATATATATTTTTAATATTAATTGCTAATTTTAATACTTCTACATTTAGAAACAATAAAATCTCATGTGGATTAGTAATAATACTCTATAGGAAAAAAAAAAAATATGTCAATTATGTAGGAAACAAAAATAATGTAACATTATGCATAATAAAAATTTCAAATCATTGTAAAAGAAGTTGTAACCAATTCAAAAATATTGTTCTTAATAACGGCGAAATCGATGTTGCATTACAAATTGCCAGAATATTCAATAGTCAGTTTATAAGTATTACAAATAATAATCGAGCTTCATTATTGATATGTCAAGTTATTTTAAAGCAATCAAAGAAGTATTATATTCTTATATGCAACAACAGATGACGAAGTATTAAAAGTAATGAAGACATGAAAAGAAAACGCTTTATCTGTCGGTAAAGATCGTGTAAGATCGGTTAAGTTCGGATAAGCAGTCAGTCATGATAAAAATACATATTACTTTTTATTATGATTTATATACAGGTGCACTATGAGTAACTTCGTAAGTACTGTTAAGAAAAAATAACTTCCTTAGATAATACCTACTTATAATAAAAGTTAAATTAAATTATTTAAAACTAGCTTTCCGCCCGCAGCTTCGCCGCGTGGAGTTCGGTTATATCGCGTTTCCAAGAGAACCTTTCAAAAGTCTGGGATAAAAACTATCCTATGTTCTTTCTCAAGGTCAACTCTATCTCTGTACCGAATTTCATTAAAATCAGTTCAGTGGTTTAGGCGTGAAAGCGTAGCAGACAGACAGACAGACAGACAGACAGAGTTACTTTCGCATTTATAATATTAGTAGGGACTAGTAGGGATTAAACCTGTAAACCGTATCACATGAAACTGAACAAATATTATTTTATTAAATAATATGCTTTATAATTATAAGCAGCTTCATCTATATATATAAAAATGAATTGCTGTTCCTTGGTCTCACTAAAACTCGAGAACGACTGAACGGATTTATCTTATCATAGTCTTGAAACGTTCGTGGAGATTCGGGGAAGGTTTAAAAGATGAAATTTTTTTATAAATTTCCGGTAAAACCCTAAAAACAGCGCTTTTTTATTTCCCATACAAACGGTTTTTTGACATTAGATTTGACAACTAACTAATATGTCAATCATTTTGTCGCACTTCAGAACACGGAGATTTATGGCTTAAAGGTAAACACCAAAAAAATAAATAAGACATAATTTATTTCTTGATTGAGGCACTACGAAGTCTGCCAGGTCAGCTAGTAATAGATAAATGTTGTTAGAACAGAAAGCTAAATAATTTTCTTATTTGTTTCTTACATAATAACATAATATGTATTATTTACTGAAATGTCATGTCATGGAAATTAATTTTAATCTTAAATAAAAGTGAAAATTTCTCCTTATTATCATAATATTAGTAATATTTATTTACTAAAGATAAGTATAAGTATATTTGTACTTTTCATACACTACATACTTGTACATACATACATACACGTACTAACTATGGCAAATAAAAAGCTGTATCGAAAATGTTATATACATACCTTACATAAGATCTAATAAAAACGTACCTTCATTTGGAAAATCTATACTTTTTACTGCATTACATTTCATTATCTTATCGCGTGACAAAAAACAATAGGTACGCAAAGAATTTATAAAACTGAAAAGTGATGTGTTGTTATCAGGAGTTTGGAAAAGCAAAAAAAGTATGTTAGATGTAAGATGAAAAAAACTTAAAAGACAAACGGAAGAACGTTTTGCTGTAATAATTAATAAAATATTTATAATATATTTAATGTACAAAGAATGAAGATTCATTTAATTAACATATACATATATGATTAGCTAGAGATGGATTTTTTATTCACTTCAACGTAATACAACATCACAATATAATATGACCATCTCTCGTCACACAGCATTACGTTTTGAACGATAAAAATACCATTATTGGTACCAATAGGACTTAAATATTATAATTAGTATTAATTTCCTTCAATTCAAACTAAGACTGTCTAACTTTGAATTTTAAGAGTTAGACTCTAACTCTTAAAACTCAAAGTTTTAATATGATACAATATCTAAGTATAAGATAAATCAAATAACATATGTTTTACTGTGTACCAGTGTGCTTTCTATTTGAATTAACAGTGTCTTTTTAAAAATTTGTGCTTGCTATTTCAATCTCGTAAAGTTTAATAGGAACATCAAAAGTTATAATACAGAATTATATTATGATAAAATTCTTAATTTGCGTAAGAGAATCAATAGCAGGTTTCGTTGCAACAAGGTGAACAAATCTTTAAAGTTCATGGCCTTTATAAAACTAACGTATATCGTCATCATATTCATCTGTTGAACGTTTCCACGACTACCTACTTAAATATTTATACAGTATTAAATAAATAAATATGAATTTAATATAGAGAAGATAATAATACTCTAATTGAACGATTGACAGTTGTATACAAAATCTAACAATTAGTGAAACTAAGAAATAGAAAAATAACTATTAATATTTGCTTTTAACAATCTTAGCATTTCTGTCAAATAAATGTTTTTATAACCTTATCAGAAAGTTAAGTATTAGCTTTCATATCTAATATTACAGATTTAAAAAAAGTATATAATATGTTTGGGACGAAAATAACATTTTTATATACGCATACTTGCATACATAAAAAGGTTGACATAAAGCAATATGGTATTTATCTTTTTAATAGAAATACAGTAAACAACATTCCAGAATTGTTGCTTGTTAATATAACATGAAGGCGAACACACAAGTCAAGAAATAAACGTTCAGGCTGTCACTTTTATATATATTTTAAATGTATTTATTGTAAAAACTTTTAATTGTACACAAGGCTGTGATTTTAATCGTTGGTCCTAGGATTTGTAGGGTAATAAAATTAACCTTTTTTTTTTGATTTCTTACTAAAGTTAAGTTTTATTAACGATATTTTGACTCTTTGCGTGTTTGGTTTCCAAAAAAGCAATATTTTAAAAGTATCACAGCTTATTTTTTCATTATGTAGATAAAAATAAGTAAAGAAGCATTAAAAATCATTAATACGAAAGATGGTCAAATTATCGATCTTTTAGATTAACAATTGAATTATTCAACACAATTTTTCGTAAAAAAAAAAGTCTATATCAATCTGTACCATAATCAACCGAGCACAACTTTAGGATCTCATTTCTTGCTAACCTTCAAAAAGCAACAGAGCCGTTCGAAACTTAAAACACAAAAAAAAAGCTTTGAAATACTGTAAACTTATTATACACCGAACGAAATGAATTAACGAAAGCGAAGGTGTCCGCATTGTTCAAGATGAATCTCGATAGAAAACCGGCGAAAATTCAAAAACGTGCACGATTTATCATTTAGTGACCAACGCTATTCACAGCGAACAAAAACGTGGGGATATCTAGGTCACAGCGGCAGGTGCGATGTACGAACACTAGTACACCTACATCTTTAAAGTATTTGAAATAAACCGGCTCATTGAACGTAAACAACTATGAGAAACATTACATTAATATATCTTCTCCAGCGAATTCTCACATAGAATTTTGAATTAATCATACGAATGAATCATCAACCAATCTTTGTAACATATTAAAAATATAATGAGGTGTTTTACTTTTGAATAATATTAGTCCGTGACAAATGCTGAGCGGCAAATTCTATAGCGTAATTGTATTTTCTGATCTGTCTGACCTCTAGGCCTGTCCTTGTTCACACCTTAAGTCAACCTACGAGACTCTATTGAAGCTAACGTGTTTCTAATATTCTTTGTTCTACATGTTTGCCTACCTTTGCACTAGATATATCCGACTACCAAGCAAAGTTAAATTTTCCGACTTCTGGGTACCTTCATAAGTGGTATTTCATGATTATTTTGCGGCATTACCAACTTTGTTTCGAAAGCATTCGGGTGGCATTTGTAACAAAGCTCCATTTTACGAATACCTTTCAAAACGTGCGCCGCACACCCAATGTGAATAGTCCAAAGTAGATAAATATATCACGTTATCTTTGTTTAAATAAGTCATAGTTGGTACTATCACAAGAAATGTATAGTTCTTTAATGAGACTTAAGAAAAAAAAGATATAATGTGTAAAAAATATTTTTCGCCTTCAAGTAATTTTACTCTCAAATATTCTTGTTTTGTACATGTATATAAAGATTCAAAACTCAAGATAAAATATATAGAACAAAAGACATAAATAAAACCATGCATTCACAATCTTGATGTAGTATCGACAGAGAAGAAAAAGATCCCACACAAACTTACATAATGAGTAATTAATGTTTTCATAATATTACATGTAGGTAGGTACGTTTGTATATACGACTACTGTTCTATTTAACAGCTAATTATCACGTATTTATACTGTTATATTACAGTTATAATCACAAATTTAAATTATCCAATTATAATAAACTATAACGAGAAATAATATTTAAAGTTAGGCTATAACCTCTTCCGTTTTCTTCAAGTAAATAACAAGTTATTATACCTAAATGTTATCGTAACATTTCCTGAGAACTATATTTACGCAACTTACCAATTTTGAATGTCTGGCATTTGTTTCGTTTTAACTATCTAGTGTAACTTTATTTTTTTTATTCGATAAGCTGAGTAATGAGATATTTGACGCTGTAACCAAATAGCTCACTTCTAATACCAAGGGTTTTTTTTTCTGTCATATTAAGTTGTGAATAATTTATTGAATAACATTTAATTACTCAGAAAAAAAAATATTAACATGATATATGTATTATGTTGTCATTTGTCGGTAATAGATTATTATTATAAGTCTTATAAATTGTGTACTATAAATATTTAAGGTTATTATTATAGCCATATGTACTTACTAAGAATATTTAGACATCACTGATTAATGCTGATTCCCAAAAAGAGGGTTGATGTCAGGCAGGCGGCCGGTCGTAAAAAAAATCAATTAGCCAAAACTATTCACAACATGTAAGGCAGACCCTAGCTATAGCTGGGAAATTGCCAGGTAGAAGAAGAAGAAGAAATGTTTAAGGTTATTAATATTTTTTCATTTTTTTTATTTCCTAGCTGGGATACGGTTGGTCTCGTAAGGAGCAGCGTCGTTGTAGAGCCCACAGGCCGCCGGAGTCCACGATGTCTGTAAGCAGTGACATCAGGTTCACACGACGCAAATTAAGCAGACCTTGTCGAGGATGCTGTGCTGCTCTTGCAGCTCTCCTCGTCCTTTTGCTGCTCGGTGCTGTTGCTGTCTACCTCGGCCGTTGGTACCTCTATTAATAATATATATACAAGTTATCCTCTGAATGCTAAAGACGTAGGAAGTATGTCTATATATAATATATGAGTCTAACCTACCTATTAAAGTTTAATAAAGGAAAATAATTTAAATTTTCAATAAACGGAATTTATTATGCAATGAAAACAATAAGTCCACCAATGCACCTGCCATTAAAGGGTGTAAAGTATTTGCGGTTTTTAAAGTATTAATTTTCTCGTAAACCTTGGCTTCATTGGCTCACATAGCCCACTGCATAAGTAGGCAGACACGCTAACTGCATTATAAAGTAAATACTCGAACGGTGTCTTAGGTAGCACAAGCTTCTTGACACATTCTGACATATTGACTTTCTAAAAACATTGTTATACCTGAGAACTTGCAGATTTGGAATAATAAAATCGTCTTCATACATAATTATTTCGTAACCTTGTTAAACTAACTCAGTTTATTGTTATTTGAATAAATTGTATGCTGTTGGAATCTTGTTATTGTTGTGTTTTGTATGAATAGTGACATTTAATAATACTTTAAACTATGTACATATAAAGCGGTACCCATATGGCCTTACGTTCGCTGCAAGCGCTTATCTGTTTGATACACATCAAACTTTCAAAATTGTTTTACTTTTATTGAAAAATCTGTAATAATACTTACATCATGAATATAAGACACTTAGACTTTGCTTATTTTTAATTAAAACTTTATGACTTCATGGGCTTTTGATAATGCCGCTATCATCATTAAATTTTCTGTGGCACTATTAAAACTTAAATTGTCTCTAACATAAGTTATATAACAATAATAACAAAACTAATGTAATCAACAGAAGTCTAATAAATTGTTATGTTTTTGTAGATATGTATCTATTTGGAGATCCATTGAACCGACAAACGTTCAGAGGATCTTTTGTAGTATCCACATGGGATTCGAGTGACGAAATGCTATCAGACTCGAAAAATGGTACCCGTGAGATGGAAATGAGACAAGTCCTTTATAACACATACAGCACTCCGAGTTACATTCTTGTTTCGTCTCAGCTGAAATCCTAGCTTTAGACAGGTAAGCATTTCAGATATAGAATATATTATAATAGTGTTTTAAAAAAATTCAGACTTCTATTATATCTTATTTAAAATTCACATGGTGTAACAATATTCCCCGCCGTCACTGACGAAAATATTGTGACGCAAAAAGAAAAAAAAGGCTACTGTAATTGCAAATTACGAGGAAACTACGTTACATGAAACGCTACTGTCATAGATTTACGTAATAAGTTCGTTTTAGTAATGGTCACGTTTTAGCGCCGCAGTTTATTTCCCATTTACTGCAATTTGTTGTCAAGACTTCAGGTTTCATTGCCTATTATGTTTATATTAAGTACTTCTGCAGTCGTAAAAAAAAAGTCAACTTTAGTAGAAATTTAAACGGTGGCATTGAACTTTAATAACATTGTACTTCAGAACTTGGACAGTAATAACAGCTGTAGTGGGAGAAAGTCTGCTTTCTAGTGGTCTTACGCGTTCAGATCGAGCGTGATAGAGGGCCGTTTGGAACAAAAATTAATATTCGTAAAGAAAAAAAACACGCTTGAAAATCATTTTCGCTGATTAATATAAAGCAATGTGTTGAAATTGATGCAATACATTTAAAATGACATGAAGAGAGTTTTGTGTAATTGAAACACTTATTATGTGATTTTCCTTGAACATGATGAGAGTTTTTATACATAATAACTGTAAAATTTTGAATTTTCCCTAATTATCTGATTCTGAAAGTAAACATTTATAAAATTAATATAGTTAATGCAAAGTATAAAATCGTAATAGGAAAATTATAGTCAAGTTCTTCAAATATTATGACCAAAGTGACATACAAACAAAATAATCACGCTCACATTATTTATAATCCACAAACAATCATACATATATGATGACTAGTCCTAACACGAAAGTAAGGGCCAACATGACCTTGAATTCATATTGTATGTACCATAGAAAGTTCAAAGCTTAGAAACCGAAGCACGCATAACTTTCCCGAGCCGCATAGTATATCACCGTGGTTAATGCAAACGGATCACAACGCTTCCCTGACCCACTTTAATATGATATTATCATATTGTATTTAACATAAGTAAACCTCTATTAGTATATTGATATATCAATGTCGTTAATATTTAAGTTTTATTACTTTTCAACTGTGACGAGAGAAACTGACAAAATAATTGTAGAAAACGAAATCCAAATAATTAACTATTATATTAAACTTTTTATTTAAACATAGTGTTTTCTGAACTACATGTATATGTTATAGACGGAGAATAAGCTAAAATTTAAGCTGCTGATTATAACTGTTTTATAAACAAAGGTTTTAAAATAGAATAAATGGTTTAAAATACTAAAATCAACTAAAAAGAGATTCGTAAAATGCTAAGGAAAACTGATGTAGGGATAGGAGTTATATAAAATATAATTATTAATTATTTCTATTACCGTACACTACACATTTACGATAGTAATGTTGTATTACGCATATTATTTCAAAAGACTATAGTAATATAACATAATAAGAGTAGTCTCCCACTACTAGATTACATACATATAGCTTTAAATTTTTAATTTGAATCATGAACATAATTTATTGAACATTAAAAATATATGATTTTTTTTAAATAATATACTTTTTTCTTATTATTTTAATGCTTTTTATAAAACCTGTAATGTATTTAGTTTTAGTGTTTCGTCAGGAATATTTAATATTATCGAGAGATGTTATAAAAGCATAATTTTATTGTTTTCAATTTTAGCGTGTCAGAAGGGACTCGGGTTCACTTCGAAGTTTCCTTCGAGCCTATCTTCACAGCAGTCAGCACGCCAGAAGTAGCCGCCGTCATAGAACGGGAGCTTGAAACGCCTTTCTTTCAAAATATAGGAGTTTTAGCTGAAACTTTACATATTGAGGTAACAAAAAATATTTCAGAAATCTTCTATACATATTAATTTAAGCAACGTAACTTAATAAGCTAATTAAATTTGTGTTTCTTTAGCAGTTTATGAATTTCCGTATTAGTATTTTTTAATTCAGATATAAAAACTTATATAACATCATGCATTTGTTTAAGTTCAAAGACACTTTTATACATTTATTAGTCACGTACAAGCCAGAGCCACTTTCACAATGCTGTAATTAATCTCATCAGGAAGGTGTTTGACATAACTCGTTTTGTAAAACTTTATCGCTATTAATTCGCCCGGCTGAGGGCTTGTCATACCGGTTCGAACTTTTTACAATGAATTAGAATGTAGATCCAAATTAGACGAACTTAATACAACTCTGCGAACTGCTATAATTGATTGTGTAATAACTTTTTTTCATGTATCTTTCAATTAAGGAAATATATTTCTAGACTTACCTGCATAAAAGGAGAACTGAGAAGTAGAGAAAGTTTATTTGAAAAAGACTACATTAAATTTATATTCTTTCAGGAAAGCTCGATTATATCTTCTCAAGCATTAAAAGAGGGTGATATAACAAGTACAGAGGCACCTACCACAGAGGAAATAACATTAGAAATAGAAGAAGAGTTCCGGGAATGCAGTCCACTAAGCCTGCCTCTGTGTTCTCACCTACCCTATAACACGACTTCATATCCAAACCTAGTTGGACACACGTCTAAGGAAGTTCTACTTAGAGATCTTGTCGCATTCAGAGAACTCCTAGATGCGGAATGTTCCAATCTAGCGCAAGTAAGTATATTACTTTTATTTTTATTTCCAGTTGGTAACACTTTTTATGATGAGCGCTTGTCTTCTTCGTTGATTGCAATTTAAATCTGTGTACAATATAGTTATTTTTTATTTCATTTTATAAATTGCGTCATACTTTATCGAATATATTAAAACTATTCTGAGATTTCCAACATTTAGAATTATTATAAGGTCGTTTCATTTAAAAACATTCATAGATTGATAGATTCATAAAACGAATAAATAACCTTTCAAATTGTTAAATTTCTTTCAACTATCATATTCTAAATTATTATATTGATATTATTTTCGTTCATTATTTATACAAAATCAAAAATACTTTAATATCGTAACGAAATCAGAGCTCAATATATTTTATTTATCATGATACGAATAAAAAAGAGTAATCATATCGTCTTTTCTCTTTAACTTCATATACTGTTCGGAACCTTTTAATACGCGGATTGATGAATGCAATTGCTAAACTTGTGGATTTAAACTGATAAAAAATATATTCGATTTTACCAATTAAATCTATATATCATTTTTAAACTTGTCTAAAAGTTTTAAACTTGTCACTTTTGACAGTTTTTTAATGTACTATCATCTGTCATTCCAGGATTTCGTATGTCAAATGTTACAACCGCGATGCGAGGACGATCACGTGATCCGTCCTTGTCGGGCGTATTGTCGCGCCTTCCACGCAGGTTGCGGGTCACGGCTGCCCGACCGACTAAGGCCACACTTCGACTGTTCGAGATTTCCCGGACTACTTCGGACCAGGATCATGCCTTCCTGAACCAGGTTTGTTTTTATTTTCCTAGTTATAGTAGAGATATTAGGAAAAAAATCATTATGTAGACATATAAATCACCTTGAAATAGTGTTTGGTATTTTAAAATAACTGTTTTATTTGCCGTTCGTGACTACAAGATAAAAAAAAATTCGAGATTCTACTCTGAAGAAAAAATGTTTCTGTTTCTTTTTTGTCCAATTAAATATTTAAATCTGTTTAATTCCTTTACCTCATATGGAAAACTACCTAAATGGAAAGGAGTTTTACACTTTTAAAACTTTTTTTTTTGAGATTTGTTAAGACTAAAATGCCTTGACCGAATTAAACATTCGTATTTGCATGAAAATATTCAGCAAAAACCTTAAATTTAAATTAAATTATAATAATCGTTTCATCCCTACATTATAAATGCGAAAAACTCTGTCTGTCTGTCTGTCTGTCTGTCTGTCTGTCCCTTCTGCTATCTTTACGCCTAAATATTGAACTGATTTTAATGAAATTACAGAGACTTTCTACCTAGAAAGAACATAGGATAGTTTTCAAAGACTTTTGAAAGGTTTCTTGGAAATGCTTACAACCGAACTCCACGCGGCGAAGCTGGTTTCTGTTTCCAAATATATATATTATGATGAATGTACGACAAAGTAATTAAAATGTATTGTTATATATCATTTACTGATCATATGCAGATTGCTTGGGTGGTCTTCAACGCTGGCTCTATCTCGGCGTGCGTGTGATGCTGTCCCGGACTGTGCTGATGCTGCGGACGAGAGATCTTGTTCTCACTGCTCGTCAGCTGGCCCGGGCTCTTTACGCTGCGCCCTGCAGCCTCGCTGTCTTCCACAGCACCTGCGATGTGATGGAACCCCGGACTGCGCTGACGGCAGCGATGAAACCGGCTGTTGTGAGAATAATAACTTTTATTATACTGTCTACAGTTTTTTATATAACATTAGATTTGGTTATAATTCTTTTTAGACCTTTTTACTGATATATCTGCCTTCTGATATACGCATAAATAAAAATAATTGCTTTTAGTGAAGAAAGGCCTATACGTTGAAACTTAATACTTCTTTACAAAACCGTAGTTCAACATTTAAGTCTCTATATACAGTGTGGGTAACCCGTTCGTTGTCGTCATGGCGTCGTGAGACTCGTGAGACTACGCTGGGCGCTGTTCGTCACCGTGCAGGGTACGCGGTGTGGTCGGGGAGAGGGCGTGTGGGCAAGATCTGCGCGGAGCCCTACGAACACGACCGGAAGGCGCTCATGAACGTGGCAACCTCACTATGCACCGCTCTAACTTTTAAGTGAGGATTGTTTATTACTCAAATACCACCTTATTATAGGTACATTAATTTTAACACAACATTAAATTCATCTAGCAGGATTTTAACCTGTGCTTTATTGTATAAATTATATATACCACATCCCTACTTTCAGTATGATTAACAATTACATAAGTAAAAATACAGGATCTCTGTTTAAATTATCTTTTATAATGAACTCTCTCGACATTAACAGATCTGCAGTATCAGCTGAAGCAGTGCCTGACGCTGAGGAAGGTTCTGATGAAATAAACGAAAATAGACAAATGAAATCCCAAAAAAATGAACCGGAATACGTTGAAATAGTCGACCCTGCTGCAGCTGAGATTTCGTTTGTCAAGAGCGATTGTCCTCAGAGGAAGGTCATCAAGATCATCTGTGATCAACTCGGTTAGCTATGACAATATAAAACTTTAAGATCGTTTATTGTATGTCACGGTCAAAATACGAGTTTATTTATTTGTGATCTTGGTGATATTTTTTTTTTCTATTACATTTCTTTGTCCAATCTAATTATTAGCACTATAATATACAGAATGTGGAATACCTTCCGCACGAGGCGCGGGCGCTACACTGGGTGTGCAGCATCTCCCACGATCAGCCCGGCCCGGCGACTGGCCCTGGCACGCGGCTCTACTGCGAACGCACGTGCATGCATGTGACGCACTCCTCGTGCATGCTGCCTGGCTCGTCACTACTGCATCTTGCTTCCAAGTATACCATAAACCTACTTAGTATAGCTCTTAATCCCATAAACAAAACTTTCTTCTAGAAGTTGTTACATTATAACCTAATAATTAAATGAGAATTTAAATTCAAGGGTCAACCGAAAGCGGAATGGATTGCTAGATTGGGAACTGTACGCATTCAAAGCACTTCACCCTGGCAACAGGAGAGGAGGATTGTAGGCATGGTGAAGTCACCGGTCGAAGGCAGTATGCTGGCGATGGTACGATTAGAAGAGCCAGTTGAAATCACTGACTTCGTCCGTCCCGCTTGCTTGCCCGTCGATGGCTTCAAAACGAGTGAACATAGCGTCTGTAATACGCTGGGATGGACGAGAAATAGGGATCAATTGCAAAGAGTTCACGTTGTACCCACTACTATGAACACATGCGAGAACGTTAGCATAGCAACTGGCAATGGTATATGCGCAGAACCATTATATGATCAAGACGATTGTGACGTAAGTCCAAAGAAAATATTTGTCATTTTAGTATTGTCAATAAGTATTGAAATTATTTATATTTTTTTATCCTAGGAAGAAGAATATGCAGGCAGTGCAATGATGTGCTTTGACGAGAAATCGAAACACTGGTCTGTGATAGGAGTCAGCAGTTGGAGAATAGCGTGCTCAAAGATTGGATTAGGAAGACCCAGGATATACGACGCCGTCACATCACACATCGACTGGATTCGAAGAACAATTGCTAACTCTCAAGATGACTTCCATATCAGAGTTTAAGTTGGATGTGAAGTGTACTCCAAGGTCAAATTATATAGAATTATGTCAAAACCTTGTAAACTATGTAACTATTAGTATAAGTTTAAATTAAAAACCATGCCATGAACAAGCACAGAATAACTATATTTTCTTTAAATATAAACAAAAATTCTTATATTGTTATGTTTTCTGTGTCTATTGAGTGATCTCTCTTACTTCGGGAGTTGTCTCCTAACTCACCAAAATTATGTACCTACAGCAAACAAAACATGTTTTTGTTAATTTTTCTATTAGTCATGTTTTAAGGATGAGAAAGTTTTAAAATTGTAATAATAATAGTTTTGTTAAATTATTAATTTATAAAGGTTAAGTAAAGGTAAAATGTATTCATTAAGATAAGTCATTCCATATGAATAGAAATATACTTTTGTTATTTTACAATATGTATGACGTATGTATGTATGTTAATAACAATTAGTGATGTATGTAATACTTTGTAAATTAAATGTAAATATGTTTCAAAGTAAAATACCAAAATAATAAATTATTTTTAGTACATACTAGTTTATTATTATGGCTTTGCTTATTTTTAAAATTTATTTGTAAATATCCGCCTTTTCGAGTGGAAAGTATAAATCCAAGAGAACCTTTCAAAAGTCTGGGATAATAAATCCTATGTTCTTTTTTAGTCAACTCTATACTAGAATTTCATTATCAGTTATGGTTTTGCTTATTTTAGCAGACAGACAGACTACCAGAGTTACTTTCGCATTTATAATATTAGTAGGGATATTTGAAATTCATTTCACATTGACAATCCCATATTAATATTATTAAAATAGCTATTTTTATTTAAATGTTTACATAGTGTTACTTAAAACTCTGTAGTAGAAGGGGTGATGTCTTATGACTAGGGCCCGGATTAATATGTAAAATGTACATATTTTTAATTTACGCGATTCGGTCTAGAATGTGTTTTTTACATGGATTGTCATATTTAGACTGTGAAAAACCAAGTTTTATTTTCCATATTTCAAAGTGAAGTCCATATTTTACAAAAAAAATGTCACAATTATCCATATATTCGCAAAAATACATAAAATTTACGGTCCCGCCACTAATGTTTTAGATAAAAAGTAAAGGATTTAATACGCTAAAAAAAATTAACAAAATTCTGTGTGGAAGTTTCGAGGGCTGTAGACATGGCGTACACAATTAATGAATTAAGGATGTTTAAGTAGGTATGCAATATGCATGCATCACGTCATGTGACGTGGAGAGATCATTCAGCAAATATTAGGCTATATTTCGACCAAATGGTCAGTTTTCATTGTGATAATTTAAAGAAGCACGTCATTGTGTATTGCAACCAATTTGATAAGGCTAGTGTTATGGAAGTTGAATAAAACTGTTATTTGTTGTTGAAATAAATATTACGCTATTTTTTTTATCGTTTTTTAAATGTAACTATAACAATGTACGTCACGACTCACGAGTGACCCTTTTCTTTTGATTTTTTAATACATATTATTTATCCGGGCCCTACTTATGTCATAAAATATTAATTCTTCTAATTGATACATTTATTGTTTCAATGTTTTGATTACTAATTCATAAGTAGTTTAACTAAACATTCAAAATTTAGACTGACAGATTTAAATAATTCAAGATTACTAGTTTTTATACTATTATTTGTAATAAAAACACTTAGTGTTGTTCAACATACCATATTTTTATCATTTTAAACTCTAATAATTGATAAAAAGACAGTCTAAAAATGTTGGAAATTAATAAAAAATATATTTACATGATCATATATAATTTATTTACACTAAATTTCTACAGAAAATAACAGTAACAATTTATTTTAAAACACCTTCCTCTTTTAGTTCTTTTTTAATCTGTTCTTGCACATTCTCCGGCAATAATTTCAACTCATTATTTATGTACTTGTGTAGATCCTCTAAGGGCTTATAATGAAGATGAACAACTTGAGACCCGGCCAACATTGCTAGCAGAGCTGCCGTCGAGAAAGATAAATACTGGCCCCAAGTAACACCCGCTGGCATTTTAAACAACTGAGTATTTCTTTATTTTTTCTTCAACAATATCCTTTGCTTGACGCTTCTTAAAAGTATTATAAAAGCTTATTTCACCTACTTTCCAGTTTATCATCGAATATTCTAATGCTGCTCCCAATACAAAGAACATAGGGAGGAATCTATACATTCCAAATATTCTCTTGCCTGGCCATTTGTCAACGACTTTCTGAATCCAGCCAATTCTCATTTCAAGGAAATCTTGTGCATAACTTATAATTTAATTAATTGATAAATGTGATTGTCCGTCACATATATATTTTTATTACCTTATTTATTAAAAACATTTATGTAACCTCAAATATAAATTTCATAACAGACAGTAATAAAGTTTAATTGTCAAAGTGTTTTTTTTTGTTCTTGATTCTAGTATATTGTATAGTACGCCACATTTTTGTTTCAAAACATAATTCTTAGTCGATTAAAGTTGTTCAAATTTAAATTAATGCTTACAACAAATTATTGTAAATTTGAATGAATAAAATGATTTATCTGGAACATTAAATGAGATCATATTAAAAATTATAGTCTAAAAGTGAATGTTTTTTTTTTTTATTAAATTCATGTTACAATTTATTTCCTTTTGTATTGATAACTCAGATGATAGAGCTAAAAAAATGTAACTAGAATATGTTCTGTGTTTATCACAAAACTATACCTTATTTCTTGGAAATAAATTTAATCCTTGCCTTACATATTGTCACCTTTTTAAATAAAATATTTCCTCACACATTTTTCCATCATGCCGCTTATGCATTTCTACTTTTCATATCATCATTACCATAGATATATGTTTTATGATGTCATATTTTTTCCAATCTCTTATAATACTTTTTTTGTAGTTTTTTTTTAAACATATGACTATATTTTAAAAATTTCAAAAACTAGGGGAAAGGTATTTAGCTCAATCCAGAGCAGAAAATTTATCAGAGATACAATAGAATTGTCAATAAATGAATTGTCAAATTTGACAATATTTGTATATTACTAATCATATATGATATATCATACCTTTTTATGTAGGAATCATATAGATATTTACTTTATTATATTTTACAAGTAAAATAATAAATAATGCTAGTAAAACATATCTTTCTTTGGGAATAGGAAATAACTTTTTCTATAAGCAAAAGCAGTTACTTATTTATTTAGAGATTTCAATGGTAATGAAAAGTGTAAAGAAAAAATACGATAAAAGATTCTTTGAATGTGTAACTCCTGTAAAATTAACAGAGTGTCAAAATTTAAATTTACATACAGAATCTTGGGGATTGATAAGTAACTATTATTTAGAATCGGTGAAAATAAATTGTTATAAGCCAAATGAAGTTACATCTGCCGCTATCCTCAAAATTGCAGATATATCTGGACAAACAACCTGTGTTGTAAAAGGGAAAACCATTGGTTTACTATTTGGACTATCTAGTGAAGAATGGATGGAAATGGAGAGTTTATGTAGTTATGGTCAGCAACTTTTTTATAGAAACTTTAAAGATGGTCTTAGTAAAAATTTTAGATGTGAACAAAAACTATTTTACAATTTTTGTATGAGTAATCAAAAAGAAGAGCCACTCATAGCTATTTTTTATCGAGCCATAAATACCAGAAATAAAGACAAAGATGACTATTTGATCAATATTTTACAATTGAGGAAAACCGAACCATTTATTACTAGATTTATATTTAAGTGAATTAAATAAATGAAATTAATAATATGTTATTACATGTTTTAATTTACTCTCTTACATTATAAATAATATAAACAGAGTTGTAGTGCCTGTTTGTTCTGGCTAAGCACTCAAATATTTGGAGCAATTTTATTAGATTTTTTATTTTAAGATAACTGATGTAAGAAAAAGTAACTAATGTTACAGATTATTCATTTATTTTATAAATATATATTACTATAACAATAAAAAAAATCTTGCAGATAAAGTCCAGACCCAATGAATTCAATATAAAATTTGTGGTAGTGTAAATTACACATGCATTTAAAAACATCACTAAAGACAATAATAATATTGAAATATCCTTCAGTGTCAGAAGTTTACATTAATATTTTAATCAAGTCCTTAAGTTCCTAAGGATAGGTATATAGAGACAATGTTTAAACATTGATATATATATATATATTTAAATTATTTAATTACTAAATGTATAAGTTTTGTCATGTAACAGAAGGGCTGCAATGTTTCAATCTCTTTAAAGTAATAAATGAGGGAGTAAAATTTATATCATTGATTTGAAGATCAAGGTTAAATATGTTTGTATATTTTTGCAATTTAAAAAACCACAAAATTTCCTGTTATTTATAAATTATATGTGAAAAACCAATTTTAAATATGTGATTCATCAAACAGGTTCTAAGAGTGAATTTCATCAAAAAGTTTTATATTGGGAAAACTCTACAATTCATTTGACTGACTTTTTTTGAACAAGCTTTCCTTCACGAACATTATTATTTAAAGGATTCGATTGTATTTACATATCTGAAATCTGTTATAAGACTTGTTTCAACACCAAGAGCGTAGGTAGTGACCTGTGCCTGTGCTGCTTAAAACCTAGAGTGGGCGTTGACATCGAAATCAGTGCCTACAGTATTTTTGCAAAACGAAATAAAGTTATTTTGTTATTTAAAGTTGCGTAGAATAAGAGACGGATTGTAACGGCAGTAGGCTCAGCGCCAGCGCTGAGAGCGAACGTGATCGTGAGAGCGTTAATGAAGTGCGCGAGTCAATATAACGAGTGTAGCTGCAGCGATCGAGTAAACAGAGAAACATGGAAGTGGCCGGTCAATGGCGTCGAGAGTGGGCTGGTACAGCGGAATATGGGAAGGTAACGAGGACTTAAAGTCGTATATTGTCATAAAACTGTTGATATGAAACATTTATATACTATATATACAAACTTACATTAGCATAAATAACCTAAAGCTACAGAAGTATACGAAGTTGGTTCATTATTGTTTTCATATTGCCTAGTTTTATACTATATAGTTTCCCCTGTAACAGAGTTCATAGATCTTTCCAAAAATCTCAACTCCATTCAATCCAATTCATGACAGAGATTATGGCATTTAGGTTTGTGAGCGGTCATTGCCAAAATTATAAACTTGTCATTTCCTTATATAGAGTAAAAACTCGACGCTGCTCAGCCTGAGCAAGTTATTTGTCGAACAAAAATGAATCATACGCTATGGTACTTTTAAGTTCCCGGCATGTGGGAAATGCTTTTAAGTTTTAACCTTTGTTTAATAAAAAAAGTGGATACATAAACGTTTTAAAGGTCTTTTTCATATTAATAATTCTACTAACTCATTGGTTTTATTGCTGTTAGGTATCACACGATCAAAACGTTGCGTAGCTTCTTAGTACTTGAATTAAATTTTAATGTTATTATTTCACTAAAAGAATAAAAAACTCTTCATGTGTAAGTACTATTCCACGTATATTCTATTTCTGAAACAAACAGTTACAGTTATGCTGTATAAGTTTTTTTTTAAATAAATGTTGATGTTGTTTATTCGTTTTAAATCTTGCTCACCTCATGTCAGATCGCGGCACTATGAATATAAAATACTTATTAATATATCAATGATTACTAAGATGTTCACTAGTATATATTCAATAAGTGATATAAATTATTAAATACAAAATGTGTTGTACGATTTACTCATAAATATTTATTTCATCTATTACCCAATTTTTTATGTGACACGGTTCGGAACATTAGGCGTAAACCATTCCATTGTATAGAGCTTTTAATTTTTTATTAAAACATTTTAACCAATTATACGATATTCTTATCGTATAATTCTACTATACTTAGCATATAATTTGATTTATTTAAGTATAGTCTATAGTTATTTATTTCCTACTGTGGGTGTACGAGGACTACGTCATAGTTACACGAAATGGACAAACAAAAAAACTTCGAATACTTAATGAATTTAGTTTTATACGAAATTGTAGATTGTTCCAACTAAGGACTGATGTAATTCTGTTATAGTTCTTACAAAACTGACAGTCATAAACGCATTTAGAAAGTAAAAGCATTAGATCCTTAATATGCATTGTAATAATAGATGAAAATAATTCTAATTTTCTAACAATAAAGATGATTTTAGAATAAGGATTGTGTCTCACACATAAAAAATACGAGACCTAAAAAAACTAAAAATCTGTATTTATTTCTAGGTAAATAGGTATTTAATTTTTATATCAAATGCTAAGGTAATATTTAAAAACTTTCTAGAAAAATAAAACATATTCAAATTGTATCGTAAATTTTTCATAAACCGTTAAAATACACATAAATGTCCATGGTTCCTTTGACCATTAATTACAAAAAGGTTTGCAAAATAAATTAGAGACTTTTAAAATAATACACGCAAAATATCGGAACCTTTGGTGCTTAAAGCATACAAGAAATATTGTATTATAAATAAATAATACCATCGTGATCATTCACTTGTTTAAGGTTAAGTATATAAAGACCTTCATATAAGAAATTTTTAGAATAAGTTTTAGTCAGATATCATTTATATATTTGATTATTTTTTTTCATAATTAGTTATAGCATTTTTACACACAATCAGAGGCGCAGACATTTATATAGTATTTAAGAAATGCTCATCGATTCTATGTAATAACTATATGATTTTTTAAAATTGTTATAAAAAGAAATCATAGTTGTAAAAGATAATACATATTTACAGAAGTTTGAGAAAAAATAGTACTTAATAAATACAGTCTCATAGTAAACATTTGCCTGTAAGTTAAGTTTTACCTTTTTTCAACATAATGATTACCTATCTATGATAATTTAATCTTTTGACGATTGGAAAGAAACAATTATCACTACATGGAAGTAGAATTTCAAAGTTTGATATTTTATGTCATGTAGGCAATTACGTAATAATAGTAAATTACGTGATTTCCATAAACTTATAGTGAAAGTAAAAAAGTCGTACTTCTAATATTAAATTTATAAGTATTAATTTAATATAGTTAGCTTCAGCTCTAACTCTTAGGGTTTTTTTTTATAAATCAAAAATATATCACTTTAATTTTCACGCACGGCAATTTCATGGTAAATCTATAGAACTATAAGTTTCGTTAAAATGATTACTCATATAGAAACAGAATACAAAAAAGACTTTTTAAATTAAGCATGTAGCGTAAATCCGGGGAAAGCGACGTAAAATTGTTGACAATTAATCAGTTTTTTTCAATGACATTACTCCTTTATTCTTAATACATGTCAATAAACAATAAAAGGTGTGAATTTATTTATTTAAAAAGCACAAAATACAAGGAATACTTGAGATTTTATTTGCATGAGAGAAAGTTTCGTACGTGAGGAAGGTGACAACTTAACTCTTTTCTTAAACATTAGAAAATTATTGGTTTGTTTAGAATTCACTTCCTGGAGGTACTGTCTGGGCTTTCTACAAGCGGACTTCAGTGAAAAATGTAAATTATTAGATGATATACATATGTAAATCTTATTAGTTATTGCATTGTTAAAAAATATGTTAGTATTAGACACTAAAATCGTCTGTTTTTTAAACTTAATCTTCTTATGTTGGCCAAACTTATAATTTGATAATTTTGCTTACGTAATAACATGTTTTATATAAATATCAAAACTTTGTGTTTAAAAGGTATTTTAGAAAATTTAACTTTGGAGATCGAAAGATGTCATCTTTTTATATTTTCCCAACGACATACGACATTTAATCTCAGTAACTTGATAGGTAGTATCTACATTATTTGGTAATGTTTTAATTTAAATACAACAGTTCCTTAGATCTTTGGCTCAATCAGGTCACAAATAATAACAAAGAATTAATAATAAATATACCTATGAATAATTTTATCACTTACGACTTTATATTATGCAGACAAAATGATGAGCAAAAACTCATTGAATTCACATCACATGTTATTATCTACTTAAAAATCTTGAAATGTTTTAATACTTGTTATATTCTTTAAGAATTTATTTTATTCTTAAATCATTCAATATTATGAAAAAAGGTTCTTTTTTTGAGTTTGATTTTTTAATAATAGATACATTTCGTACCAAGTTTTTTTTATTGAAAACCGTTTTTATATAAAAAGTTTTCAGTGTATTCTGTATGCTTACTGGTATAAAATTAATGCTTATAGATATTAAAGTAGATTATTCAATGAGAAACGGGAAACACTTTGTATTATATGTGACGATTCAAACTTGAGTTAAGCATACTAAACAGAAAATGCCATAGGCGTTAGTGGTACCTTATTTTATGCAAATCTAAAGTGTCATTTTATTTTATTTGTATTTTTGTTTCCTAGTATGTTTTTTTTAAAATTGGAACTATAATTACATCGCCTGAATTTTTTGTTTAAGAACTTGATTTTTCTTAATACATTTGCTACATATGATGTCGGTTTTATTTTAATATAACATTGTCTTAATAACAAGCGCGAGTAAATGTTTTAGAAATATTAATTTATCCCACGTTGTTTATTATACGTAGTGATGTCCCTTTTAGTATTGAATGCAAGTATCGATATGAACTCATGAAGGTTAAGATATTTACATATCAAAAACGTGATATATGGTCACTTACTTCATTTCCGAATATACGAAATGTTTTTTGTTTACGCACTGTTTATGTTTATATTTTTACTTTTTTTATTCCCGTTAATTATTTAGTGTTTATAGAGAGTAATAATAATAATAAATAGGGGGTTTTATGAAAACTTAGGGTGGGATTGTATTGGATGGGATCGTAGAATCTGCAAAGACGATATCTATAAATGATAATTTTTCTTAGAAACCTGTACACAAGTAGTAAGTTTAAAACTAACATTACTAATAAAAAAATAACTTACCTATACCTGCAATGGAGAGCAAGCTCCTTATTTGTATGACTTTTTTACAAGACTTGAGTAGTGACAAGACATAGTTTGAGTCATGTTAAGGCTAATAACATACGTACTACATATAAGCACGTATCGCTACTTATTTCATTTAGAACGACATTTGCAACTGTTATATCGTAGAGCTTAGAACAAGGAATTGTACGTAAAATATGGTCTGGATATCATAACTCCGTAAATCATTACATTTCTTAATAGCATGCCTTACTAACAGTTTTCTTCTTCTTCCTGGCAATTTCCCGGCTTTAGCCAGGGTCTGCCTTCATACTTAAACTCCTCCATTTTGCACTGTCTTTGGCATCCTCGCTGGTTTAAGTCCGTTGGCTCTCATGTCCTGCTTCAAAGTCAAAGGCCTTCTGCAGATCTAGGAATGCGACATGCAGAGCTCTCCTTTTTCCCCTGTATGCCTCCATCGGGGTTCTAATGGCAAAAAAGGCACCCAAAGTGCCCGATCCAGGCTGAAATCAATATTGACCCTCCGAGACAGTACACTCTCGGCGGAGCCTGAGGTCGATCATGCGCTCAAAGAGTTTCATGGTGTGACTCATGATCTTAACGCTTCTATAACTAACGCAATCTTGAACACTGCCCCTGCCTTACTAACAGTATGTAAGAAAAGTTAGAGTAGTCTCTGTTTTATTTTTTCTCTAAACTTGTTAAAATTCTTAAATCGATGATATTAATTAGAATTCATGAGCTTCTGGTCATCATGAGCCGAAATGTTTCTCGTTTTACACCTTAAAGTTGTCGTAAATAAGGAATGTTACATCTATGCTTAATAATATTTTTTCTTTTTAAAATAATTGTATTAATAATTATTATTATTGTACATAAATAAATAGTATGAAAAATGAGAGTAATACTCTACTTCATCTTCTTCTTCTTCCTGGCAATTTCCCAGCTTTAGCCAGGGTCTGCCAAATAGTATAGTAATACTCTACATGTGCCATTATTTTTTGCACTTAATAAGTAACATTTATTTTCAGTATCTCTTTAAAATTTCAATACGCTTTTGGCCTTTTAATATATATATCTTTTAATATATCATTGGAAATGCAAAAGGTGAGCACATTATCGAGTGTCTGTTTCATTTTTTGTTCTTGTTCTGATGTTTGTTTGAGTTTAAACCTATAATTTATTTATAATTAACGAATTCCGGACACGTCATCAGTAATCAAATTATGTTTTTGTATACATTCTCAGCACGTTGTACCTAGTATTTAGCATTAAATCGTCATACAATGAACTTAACACGTTTTTATTATAAGTTTAATATACAAACAAACATATACAAACTTTGCTTGAAGGTTTTGTTGATTAAGCGCATGTCATTTTCGTGTGTGCAATATTCCGGAAATCCTGTGCAAAGGCCACTTCGAGGTTTCGTTATAAATTTTATTCTTATATTTTATACAATAACAATAATTGTTGATATTTATAATTTCAATTATTTGTAGTATTTCATTTCTGTATGTACATATACATATATATATAAAAGAAAAAACCTATTTAAATATTCCAAGGATTGTAAGTCATTAAAACATAAATGAATTAGGCCTGCCATAAAATAGTAATAAATTATGATAAAGTTATAGATAGTTAAAAGCTTTGTTACTAACATCTACCTACAAAATTTAAACAAATTTGTCACCAGAAGGTATACGTGGGTGTGGCAACATTTTATAGTGATCTAATCCATCTCTCTTGACATGCATAAATTTTCCTAAATGGTTAACGATATAAAACAGATCAAAGATGATCTATAAATAACAAACGTCATGTTCTCAGAATATAATATATTCATGTTTTATTCCGGTACAGAATCGGTGTTTCCCGCGCTTTTCTTTATATTTTATAACAGTCACTTAATTATGCTAAAATCGTTAACTCACTAGAGTCAACGACCATCTATCGAGGGATCATCGGCACTTTTCACATCCGTTAAAGCGAGCCGATTATAAATTTACAGTTGTTAATAAACGCCATTACTGTGACCGTTATGGTTTTGCAATGAAATATAGGTATTCTTACGGGTAATCTGTGGGTTGATGTCGACCTTAGTTTAAGTTTCAGCGTGCATACTAATGACGTCATTATTTCACTGATATCTACATCACCTTGATCCATTAGCAAAACCGGTAACAGGACTTGATGTTTAGAGCAATTAACACGATCTCCGACTCTAAAACATCATATTAATCATTGCGGTGATATTTTTTAAACTGTCTTTATATCTTATACATAAACTATTCTATTTAAAATCTATTATTTCGATATAACATTATTATACATTATAAAAATCAGTCCTAAACACAGATATGTTTGTATGTTTGAACGAATTTCTGTCATTCCCCTTTGCGTTCGAATTCATCAATTGTAACAATATAGCGCTATGTTGATACTTGTTACAAATGAAGGCCACAATCACCACAATGAAAGTGTGTGGTAAACATGACAATACAGACAGGCTTGTGTTATAACATTTACTTTTGTTCATATTTTGAATTACGATACTAGAGCTTAACTCTTTTGATGCGGTAGCTTTAACCCTCTTTGTATCTTTATCTTTTCATCTCATGATAAATTATAATTCAATAGTTACTTGATATATAGTATTTATATCTACAAGACTAATGTATTCTGGCTTACGATTGCCGCCCACAAGTCTAGCTATGATGAAGTAATGAAAAAACCCACGACAATATAGCTTTTTTACTTTTTTGATTTTTTTTTATTTTTATGCTGCTTTTTATGTCAAAATACGTAAACGTCGTCCGTATTTGTCTGAAATTTTAGCGTTTCGCGTGGTATTATGTTAAATTTCAGTTTTTGTCCTAATAATTTTATTTGTTAGTAAAAATGTCATTTCGAAAGATTGTACAGTATCATAGATGCGGCCCAACTAACTAAGAGACGGTGAAACAAAAACTGTAAAATGTACTTTTTTCCTATCGTGCATATAACTCAGTCAAATGGTATAGTATCTGTTAATATAAATAAAAATAGAGATTAATTAGAGTATGTGAATATCAAATGTTTATCAAAAGGGCGCCTTTTGATCCCATAAGGTAAAGCTAAGTGAAATGTAGGTGGGACGAATTGCAAGTGCGTTGTGCAAACCGATCATATTTAGATACACGATCAAATTACTTGCGGCTTTCAATATCACTTTACTCGAAGGAATATTTAAATTAAGATGTTTATTTTATTTCATATTATACTTAAATAATATGATTTTACTTATAGATTTTGCTTTTTGTTTTTTCACTGAGAAATATATTTTAATCAACGTATTGTTTCGAAGTAAATGTTTATACTGCGATGGAATTTATTACTAATAAAGAAATGTTTGTAGGTTATCGAAGGTGGTGTGACGAGACGTGTAGCCCGAGCCATGGAAGTATTGAACGCTAGCGCTCCTGGGGCTAGCGTGCGGGTCATGCGCGCCGCCTACCATTCGTCATCCGGTCCTGGAGCACCCACTGCCTCCTATTTGATGCACTCTTCCAGACAAGTAATGCTTCCATACTTTACATGATGCTGATAAAGAATTCCACTAACAATCTCATAATCTACAGGTCCTATCATCGGGTTATAATTTCCTAGAACCACCGTCACTGCCAACAAAACCACTGGAAATATCCTCAACGCCGCTGTATTCATCACCCGACAGTGAAACGGAAAATTATAAAGTAACAGAACCAGATGACTTTGAAATATCTGAACCTTCGAAATGGAGGAGATCCACCGGGGCAAGTTCTATTCGGATGCCCAGCGAAGAATCTTCATCGGCAGATACCGCGAGTATAATTGATCTCGATTCAAGGTCTAGTAGTAGAAGTCCTTTCAGAAGAAGTTTTAATGGAAAACATGACGTTAAGGGAATCAATGGGAACACGAGGATTTCCCCATTACTTGATCGCACCTACAACATTGAGTACGCTTAAATATACATCTTTATTAAATGCCAGTGATGAATGGAATAACAGAAGAAAAAGTTACAGCTTCGAGGACACGTCACCAATGAAAAAGATCAATGACGTTATCAACTTCAGTATAGATTCATCAACTGACAGTGGAATCTGCAAGTCAACAGAATTATTTAATGATTCTAATAATTCTACGATCCTTAAAAGTAATGAACATTTTGAACATACATCCGAAATAAAACAAGACTTTAAAAACTGGCTTACGAAAAATAGACGGAATACGTATAAAGAAATCAAAATGTCGCCACCGAAAAGTGTCCATATTGATAGAGATGACAGTAATATAACACTGGGATCTACTGGAAAAGTGACAATAACTCTGCCTGTAGACGTAACGTACTCGGAGCAGTATGAGAATCAATCTAAATCAAGCGATGAAAATGACCGTAAAACTAAAAAAGTCGAGTTTTGCAAGACAGAGCTACATTTCACAGCAGACACAGGTACCGTTAATATTATTGCAACGGACGAAAAACCGCCACCTTCTAACGATTTTAGAAGAAGGAAAAGTGCTTTCGTACCATTAAATGAGAAAGTGACAGACCGATAACACTATTTGGCATTAAACCTGAAATTTCTGAAATTGATACTAACTATGGCATTTCGAATCATAGCTTAGGCGATAATGACGAGAATACAGCAGCTACAAAAGGTATTCTCAAAAACAAAATTCCGAAGCCCAAACCATATCTTTTGGGTGAGAACATGGCATTTGGGACTTCAAATAATCAAAAGACTGACGATTTTGAGAAATCTGGCACAGTGCTAAGTGCAGTTTCTTTGATAAATAGACAGTTGCAGGCTGAGAGGCGATACAGTAACGACACAACCTCCAGCGTTGCAAGCGATCTGGATTTGAGCCCTCATATAAATAAACCATACAGGACACCAACTAAAGGTAATAATATATTTTACATTTAAAATACAAATATTAGACAATAATTAGAGAAATTAAGCACTTTGATATCGAATAAAATTTCTCGCGGATCGTTTTTACACAGAATACTTAATAATAGTTACCAATTAACTTAATACATTAATCTATTTCATTTTTAGATCCGCAACTACGAGGCAGCTCGAATCAAAAATTTTCTACACGTAGTTTGGAATCATCAATTCAGTATGATTCGAAAATAAGTTCAAAACCATCATCTATATCACCAACGCCGAGCAGGAGTCAAATAAGAGAACTTCGTGGCAGTGAATTAGCCTACTTTGGCATTTCGAAAGACCAAAATAATACATTTGACCATAACCAAGATAATTTACAAGAAGAAATACTACATTCTGTAAAATTAGTTCAAAAAATAACAAACAGTGTTTGCAATAGCGAAGCAGAGTCTGACGATGGGCACGATTATCAGAATGTTTCTACAAGTTATGATCTTAAAAAGCAACCCATTCCCACCCCCAAACCAAGGACTAAATACAGTGATGTGAATGGAAAAATTACAGAAAACAGAGTATTACGGTCTATTACAGAACAAGAAATAGATTTAGAAGTGTCATCCAAAATAAACAAAAATAATCTTAATAATCCAAAAGAAAGCATACATCCACCTCGAGATAAAAACAGAAACACGGTCAATAAAGAGAACATTGTTATGCAAAAGAGTACGAGGAAAACTACTTCAGAAAATTCTTCTTTCCTAAAGTATGTAAACATATATTTTTGTACCTTTTTTTCTACATTACAATATTATTTTTTTTAATTTATATTTTATTTTGTATTTTCACAGAAAAGATAATCATTCTTTGAAGAGAGACAAAGAGACGAATAATAACATTAATAAATATGGACATCTTAAGTTAGAGAGAAAAACGTCACGAAAAGAAACTAAAAAGCCGGAGTCACCGATATACGTTAATGTGGATACAAAAAAACATCCCCCTGAAAGAGTAAGGAAACCATCACAGGATTTGAACGCCAAGCAAAAAATTAAAAGTGAGAAACGAGAATCTGCTAATTCCAGAAAAGACGAGAAAGAACGTATATATTCAATAAAACCGACTGAGCCTGTTGACAAAAACAAAGAAAACCATTACAAAGAGAATAAAGAAAAATACGAAGGTAAACGAGATCAACAGACGCCATTACTAAAAAAACGTGCACAAAAACGAACCGAGAAACTTTGTACTCCAGAAAACCCTCCTAAAGATTCTGTCAGGCAATCTTTATCTACGGAAAAAAAAGCTTCACCAAGAATAGATGACCTAAACTATAAATCAACTAACAACGGCTCTTTAAATAAAAATTATATCCGCAGTACCACCAATAATTCTGCAGAAAACGGAAGCTTATCAAGAAATGAAAAGAAATTGAAAAACGATTACTCTAAAAGTGACACGATAAAAATTCCAAAAATTACCACGGTCCATAAACAAATTCTAAGCGACAACACATCAAGCAGCAAGAAAACGTCAAAATCTCATCGTGACACATTGAATTCTCAACAATCATTACAATCGAATCAAAACAAATCGAGTAACGTAAAGATCGATAAATCAATAAAACCTCATCGTAGCAAATACGTTATAAATTACGATGATAAAAATGGAACAGTGTCATCTGTTTGCAAAATTAAAACTGGTCCCGGTACGTATAAAAGAAAAATTATCCCTATAGAAAGTAAAGATCACGAACCAACTAAAGGTTTAAACAGAATAGCCCTGCGTAAGTAAACGTGTGCATGTTATAATACTCATACTAAAAGCGATAGAAACGTTAAACCCGAAAATATTTCAGTAAACCTACCCGACCGTCAATGGATACAAGACAAGGCATACAGAAAAAAATGGAAGTCGACGCATGATCAAAGATCTTGCCAACTGCTGTAATGTATTTGTGTTTTAAGTGTTGTGCCCACGAGTCGTTATATATATATGTATTAATAGTAAGTAAGATAATGATCTCACAACTGAACTTGTATTGGGTGTGATATACAATGTGCCGTCTAACACTGCTGTCGCAATTAATACAATTAAAATATTCCATAACTACAAAAAAGTTTTATTTAATTACACAGTTGTCAATGGATCTTTATCGCACTGGCTGACTATAACATCAACTTGGTTGTCCAAATAGCTTTTAAGATACGTAGAGAATATTTTGAGAAAACCTCTCTCTGAGTCCGAATGGTTTGTTAGTATTACAGATATTCCTCTTTGGGCAGCGTCAAGAACGTCATGATGGAGCATTTCACCTGGAATAAAAATTTTACATGATCAAAAAAATTACATTACTATTTTTTGGTATATTAAAAATGATTTTATATACCCGTCAGAAATAAATCAGCGTGCGCCACTTTTTTCAGCACTGAACCTCCTGATCCTGCGCATAGAGCAACCGTCGTTATATTGTCAGAGAGTGTTCTTCCTTTTCCAAGTGCCAAACGAACATGTTTCAATCCAGTGACGTTTTTCACTCTAGTTATAGCTTCAGACAACTTGAATCCCTCATTGATTTTAAGAGTGCTTAAAAATTATTACCAAAATTAGTGATTACATATTATAGTTGCGACTAGCAGATACCGACGTCTATATTGTTAGATAAATTAACAAAATTTTTTAAATTAGCAAAACACTGAACACGCAGGGTTTGCAGAAATCGTTGATTGATTAAAATAAAAACTTGGAAAATTTTAATCTATCCAGTATTTTTGAGGTGTTACGCAAAAGACCAGATCTCTTATATTTATATACATGTGTCATATCTTTAAAAGTCTGAATATGAATATTTTATATAAAGATCCACAGATACGAATAAATATATATTATCTGTTATCAATGTTTTGAAAAGGTTTTTGACGCAACACTATTTAGTCGCTTATGTGCAGACTAGTTAACTAAAGATATATAATTAACGTAGATCTTTCTTTATAACAATCAAACATATTTTTACCGTCCCGCGCCAGTAAACGGATCTTCACCAGTTATCGTAGGGATTGATTCGGTAAAAGGAAATGCGCTCGCCAACCAATCGTTTACACCTCCATAGACAGAATCCCAGCTCGTATGGGGAGAAAATAATGCAATTCTGTTCTCAAGCAACAACGATACTATACGTTCCTTCCATGACCTACAAAAATATTCACATATTAAAAGAGGAAATATATGTTAGTCAATTAAGCAAGTTCTTATACTAACTTTTGAACAACAGATTTCATAGGTGCAAAGATTGGTGGATGATATGATATTATCATTTCACAGTTTTGCTCCTTAGCTTCAAGTGCAACGTCTTCTGTTAAATCATTTGTTAATAAAATTTTGGTAATGTTCCTGAAAATATAAGTAGATATCATTATTTTATATGACATATACACAAAAGGATAATAAAATATTAAAGGAAAGTATTATTGTGATAATAAAGTATGATATTTTCATAATATGGAATTCTTATTAATATTTGTAACAAATAAATAGAAAATTATATATATTTAATGTATTTATGTGGCAATTCTTACCGATTAAAAAAGAAATAATGAATACATACCTAGGTGAATATGGTTCCACTAATAAACCAGTATTGTCCCAATCCTCTGAAAGCTTTAGTGGAGCAAACTTCTCTAAAGCACTCAATACTGCACTAAGCTTTACACCAGTTTCTTCACCGCTAGACATCTTAGGTGTTACTGTAGTAATTTTTCTCAAAAAACTGGTTTTTGGTACAAATTGTCTTCCAATAATTGTAAGAAGCATTAGATAGTAACTGAAAAGATAGAGAACTGAGAATTGAATTTATCAGATTGTAAAACTTTAATAGTTTGTCTATAGAAATAGTATCAAAATGAGAGTATACACAGAATTGTAGTAAACCATTTATTACATATAAAATAATAAACATTATGTACAAAATATCATCAATTATATTGAAGTCCTATTAACAAATAAAATGAATAACAATCTTAAATCTATTCCATGATAAATTTCCATATTCTTATTTCACCGTCGTCACTACATGACAACAGTTCACCATTGCCGGAAGGATTCCACTGCACACAATTAACATCTTGAGAGTGGGCATTAAGTTTTGTGCAAATAAGATCAAAAGATGGTGCATTTGGATCAGAATCGTCTGCTTCTTTGAATATTCTCAAAATGTCATCGCCACATGCAGTAGCGAGTAATCCAGTTGTATGACACCAAGATATGTCATATATGCATCTAGTGTGGTAACCTGATAACGTACACACACACTTCCATGTTGCATCTTCACCATCAACTATTACACCCTCTTGGTTGTCAGGACCATAACTTTGCCAGATTTTCACAGTCTTATCATCACTGCATGTGGCTAATCTTTTACCAGTCTTATCGAAAGCCAAACTCCAAACTGTAGAATCATGTGAATGCAAAGTCGCTATGCAGGTCCAATCACTATCTAACTGATCCTCTTTGTATACCTTCACAGTATTATCATATGAAGAAGAAGCCAGAATGTCTGAGGTTGGATGCCATACAACCTATAATAAATAAGAACATTGTAAATACAAGTTTTTCTTAATCATATGGTTTCTGAAGTAGTGTTGTTTGTACAAACTTTTTTAACATCTTGGTTATGTGAGTTCAGCACTGCCTCGCAGACATATTCATCATCACCAGCCACTTCCCAAACCCAAACCGATTTGTCTCTTCCACAAGTAGCTAATAAATTTCCTGATGGAGACCAAGAAACACTCTTGACTTCATTCTCATGTCCCTCGAGGGTTGCATTGCATTCAAATTGACCTAATAACAGGTTTACAATTTACATCTTATTAATTTTATCTTGACATTTACACATAACATAACCATCTCTTTTGAATACACACCACTCTTTTTGTCCCAAATAGCTGTTGTTCCATCAAAACTTGCTGAGGCTAAGAAATTTCCACACGGAGACCAGGCAACTTCTCTTATAGTGCGTTGGTGGCCATCCACTAATACAGTTTTTGTAACCCATTTATCTCCTTCTTTACTCCATAGTTTAATAATTTTATCTTCTCCACAAGACGAAAACATGTTACCAAGAGGATGCCAAGATACATTCCAAACTATACCTTTATGGCCAATTAAATTTTGTTGTAATTCCAACTTTGCCATGTTTTATTTTTATTGAAGTTCTTCACTAAAATTACAACTTTAAATCTTAACACGTAAATATAAAAGTATACTGTATCCGTAAAAACAATTACTTTTGGTTGAAATAATGTGGAGTAAATTATATATTTCTAAAATGAAATTTTCTGTCCGGTCTTTGCAAGTTTTCTAGGATATCGCCTAATTTAAAATCTATACTATTTTTTTTTTTCTTACGATATCAAATTTTATTACTTACATTATTCAATCTGTTTTAGGTCTTTCTTCCACAACTTTTTGTAGAATGACGAAGTTCTTACAAACTTAAATCGAAAATGGTTCAATTATTAATGTTCAGTCTTCCCGTCTCTTGTCAATTGTCACTTATGTCATATGTAATTTTGATCACAATATAAGATTTATAGAAATTTTTAATTTCAGAAAAACTTCTTTATATTGTAAAAGTAATAATATTTTTTTACTTAGAACTAAAAATTTTATTTATATTTCTTTTAATTAATGGTGTTAAGTATATTGTATGAAATTTCAAATATTTACATGGTATTCTTTTTAAAAATTAATCACGATCATTATATTTTATTAATTGCAAGAAAACTTACAAACAGTATTAGAGAAAACAAATGCAATATTTACTCGGAAAACCATAAAAGACAATAGTACCTGTATTTGATTTAAAAGAAAAGAAGTAATATGGTGATAAGTTTGAACATTAATATTTATATTTTTATATTTCATTTACGAATCTGAACCCTATTTTTGGTTAATAATAAGTAGGTACTTCCTCAAAAGCAGAATCACAGATGACTTTAATTTTTATTACTCAAGTTGACACGGGAACGTCAAAGAGAGCTACTTTCCATATTATAATCTGCAGTCTACTTTGTATTTAATGTTTTATAAATTAATTTTTTTATTCTTTGCTACCAATAGCGTTTAAGCGCAAAATTTTATATTCCCCAATACTTACTAAGTTTTAAGTTTATTTTCAAACCGTTTAAACACGGTAACCTCAAACAATACACAATATATTTAGTGTTAATGCAATGGATAACAGTAATAAAATAGTGCCACCACATTTAAATGCTGAAGTTTATCGAACTGATACGACTGGAACAAGCACGCAATCATTTTTAGACTACATCCGTATACACAATGGTAATTTATTTCTTAATATCTTGTTAATTTTCATTTAAAATGACATTTGAAAAATAAAAATGTATAAACATTAATTTTCACCTGTTTTTTATAAAGCAACAAAGTAATTTATACATTTTTTTTTAATTTTAGATGGAACAATATTGGTTGGTTGTTCAGAACTAACTGGAAGGTACTGGAATGGTGGTGCTTATATTTTTGACAAGGCTAAAGAAGGTAAAAATGTTAATAGTGGAACGAAAAAATGTATTTACCTCACCAGCGGTACTGCTGATGGGTGCTTTATTGAGAGTTCCAATAAGGTATTTTATTTTCAATGGTATAATTTTATTGACTTTTCAAGTAATTATTAATGAAATTAAATATGTATATGAGTATAAGAGATATTGGTGCTAAATACATATGAATATGGTAAGCAAAAGACATAGAATAAGGATGTTTTTAGATTTTATTATGTGAAGATAGTGGAGCAGTTAGTATATGGAATAACAAAGATGATGCATGGAAACAATGGAGTGAAGAACTGTCTGTAGCTGAACATGATGGTGGTGTGATGGCAGTGGACTGTCTTAGTCCTGGCAAAGAATATGTCACTGTAGGAGCAGATGGCAATGTGAAGGTAGTTCATAAATTTGTAATGATGGGCTGTTCATTATAAACATCGTCCAGGATAGTGCAAATCTATATAACTTCTATTGGATAAAAACTAATTGTAAAAAAAATACCTTAAAAAAATTCTTTACTTCCAATGTAAATACACACATTTATCCAAATGTAGTTACGTTGATTTGCACTACCAACAACAATATATTTTTAATAACTTATAGTAATAACTAGCTAATGTTAATAATTCAATCATGGTATATTTCAGGTTTGGGATATTATTGATCTGATTTGCATGAGGAACTATATAGCAGCACACAATCGGTCAATTTATGCTGTTTCAACACGGCCGTCTTCACTTACAAGCTTTGCTACAGGTTCCTTAGACTATTATGTAACACTCTGGGATGAAAATGTTGCAAACCCTGTATTAGGTGATTAATTTATGTATATATTTTATTTGAAGTTGTTCCTCCAACATAAATACTTTTATGTTTATCATAAAAAAACTAACTTTTTACCATGAAAATATTTTTTAGATCTTTTAAAAAATGATTGTGGCATTCGCTGCTTACAATGGTATGATGAAGATCACATACTTTTTGGTGATGAAGCTGGAATTTTAAGTTTGATTGATGTAAGAAATCCTGAAAATAAAATAAAACTCGCCGACTTTCCCGCAGCCATCCACAAAATTAATATACAGACAGAGTAAGACATTTATTAATTTCAACATTTTATATTAATATGTATAAAATTTACTTTAAACAATATCAATATTATAAAGTTCTAGCTTTCAATTATTTCATCTCTTTTCAGATGTAATCGAGTTTCTGTGTGTTGTGATAATAAAATTGTATCAGTCTTTGACATCACCGACGATCTTAAATTAAATCTGATTTATAATAACAGAAATTTACATAGCCATTTTGTCAGGGGAATGGCTTGGGATATAGATGAGAAAAGTGTCTTACACACAGTCGGCTGGGATGGAGAAATTAAGACACACAATGTAACATGATCTAAGAATAAAGTTAATAAAAAGTGAAAATCATTATTTTGTTTTTATTATCCTGAATTCCATCAGCAAAATATTGTTATAAACTTGTGTTAACTTTTATATATAATAAATTAGTTGATTTTTGTTTTATTTTGCGTACTAATTTGTAAATAGGAATTAATTTCAGTAAGTTGATAATTGTGATGATCGAAAGTCGTCCCTCTTTATCTCTCACATTTTAAATAGTGTTTTTTATTACTTTTAATTTCTGTTTAATATATTATGGTGGTTGACATTCCCTCTTTACCTACATAATGTTACTATTAACTAATATAATATTTAACCCTTTGGTTCTAATCCCTATGTGTTATTTTTGTTAATTTTTTTTTAAATGTAACTTTTTTAATAATTTTGTATTATGTGTTGGTGAGTTTATTACGAGATACGATGCGACCTATGTGCAAAAATCAATCCATAAAATTTAATAGCAAAGTGAAAATAAAATAAATAATAATAATGAAAATAAAATAATAAAAATAAAATAAAATAAGCCTGCCAAGCGTGGCGATTATGGCAAGAACCCTCCAACATGTACAACACGACCACAAACCGGCCCCTAGTCCCCGGCGGCTCCGCTGTTCCTGGTCATCGTGGTAGCGACCAAGGTAACGGCGGGGCAAGGGGTGCTAATATCCGCTGGATGCGGGTAGCACAAGACCGGTCGTCGGGGAGATCCTTGGGGGAGGCCTATGTCCTGCAGTGGACGTCTTTTGGCTGATGATGATGATGATGTGAAAATAAAAAAATAAAAATTCATGAAGCAATTTTAACAATTATTCAAATTAGTTTCTAGTAACTACAACCGCTTGATGTCAGCGTTTTTGGTCCATTTAAAAGTAAACTAAATGTAGCATTCAATGACTGGCACATTAGAAATATTGGAAAAACTTTATCTATATGTAACATTGCAGAACTTTCAAAATCTACGTTTTTGGAGTCTTTTACACCCAGAAACATCACAAGTGGTTTTTCGAAGCCAGATATTTGGCCATTTAATAGACCTGTATTCGGGGATTTCATTGAGAGATCTCAAGAGAAAGAAAATGATCAAGTATTAGAGAGACAGGAAGTAGATTTTATAGAACCGGAAACAGGTCAAAACGATGAAAACTGCAACAGAGACAAAACGCAAACAGACCTTTTAGATACATCTGGAAATATTGTTCAAATACCTCTCAACATTTCACCGCTTCCAAAGGTATGACCAAGTTTCCAGCCTAACAATAATACAATATCTCCAACAACTGTACGAACATATCCAAAAAAGGCTTTAAATGAAAAAAAACACTTAAAAAAGGAAGAGAACAAAGAAAATCCTGGGTTTATACTGACATGTACCGGAAAAAAAGAAAGGAAAAAGAAAAAAAAAATTTCATAAAACAAAAAGGGCAGTAAGAAAAAATCATTTCTAGATTCCAGTATGAGTTCTTTTACTGATGGCGATATGAAGTAGAAGTGAAGAAGAGTTTGACATTCCTGATCTTAGAAAAAAATCCTATTTTGAAAAAAAGTCTGTATATTTTTGTCATTTCTAAATACAGTTTGACTGATCTTAGAAAAAATCCTAGGTCTTATATTATTGTTTTTCCTGATGTAAAAGACCAAGCAAGCGTTGATTTTAGAAATGTTGTTTTGCACTTGCCTAAACCAAACTTTACAAAAGGCACAGCTCGAACATCGTCGATGTATACTTTTCCAGTTAATCTAAGTTCATATAATGTGCAATAAATTTAGCAATAGAAGCGTCCTTAATAATATTAAATACCGAAGTGTAAGATTTTGTTAGTGTTAGTTTTTTTACGATTGTTTTTGTTTGTTTTTCTGAGTTTTATTTGTTTAATAAAAGGGCAGTCTTGGCAATCCTGTTCTGGATAATTGTGATACTCATAATTGTTAATTTGGCTAAGCTACAAGTATTTTGAAAAACTGATTACAATATTTTCACAATAATAAAGTAATATTTTAATGAAAGCATTATAATTTCAACCAATTTCATAAAACCTCCGTTTAGTATCAAAGTGCCCCATGTGATGTATCTAAGGCGGGAGCGGCAGGATCTTACGCGTATAATCAAATGATTCGAATAATTCGCTGCCCGCTAGTTGCTGCCCGTTTTCGAGGCCGAGGCCTAAGCGCCACATCTTAAACGATTAGAATGATTCATATTATAATATGTTACAAATCCATTTGTATCTAAACGCTTTTTATGAATTGAATTAGAAATTAAATATATACATATAGGCTATAGCTAAATGTTATTTGACTTGAAAATTTTTATGTATCAACATATACATATTCCCCCTAAATCATTTTCAATTTTTTTTATGGATTCATTAGAAGTAGAATTAAAGTTTAATATCGAGAAGTTACTCTTGACTATCTGTTACTTCAAATATTGTAACAATGGGGCTTCTGATACATTCATCAGATTAAAGGCAGACCCTTAACGCATTATCTATTCTAAGTTGATCTTCTGTGGGTGGTTGGTTTCGTATCATGGATCAGGTATATGATTTTATTAAAAAACATGCCCAAATTGTCTTTTATTCGCATTCTTTTTTAATAAGGACATTTAAAAAAAAACACAAAATAATGCCCAAATGAGTATGTATTCATGTTTATTGTTTAAATATATAATCAGAAGCGAGAGTAGTGATAAAGTGCGGTCAGTTTGCAGGAGAAGGCCGACGCTCGGGGGACACGCCTGGCGATGAACCTCGGCGTACCTGTGGGCTCTTTAGACGTACCATCGTATCTAAATGACGGAACCTAGTAGGATTTGAAATTTATTAGTTTTAATATTGTTATGTTACATATTATATTGTGTGCCTATTTTATATGTACCAAGTAGTACTAATAGTGTTTTTTTTTTCAAAATTTCATTAAAAAGGTTAGTCTGGTCAAATAAAGTTTCAGAAGACCCCATTATCCTACGTGTGCTTCAAAAGTTAGTCGGGGTCAAAGGTCAAAATTTGCGGTAAATTTTATCAAAAAAAGGGATCGGACCAAAATTATACATTTCAAAATTGTCTACACAAATGGTCCTAATGATTGTTTTCCTAAAAATGTCATGTCTAAGATTCACACATATTCCAAGCCACCTGTGAGGTAGTGTTTTAGGTTCGGATTTTTGATACATAGTTGATGAACAGCAGTTGATGTTAGCGGATAAACGTACAAAAATATAATCAAACTGACTGCAAATTCTACTTCTCAATATAATATTCTACAATCATTGTATCACGCATTAAATCCATTTAGATAAAGCGGAAGAGTTTGTTTGTTTGTTTGTTTGTTTGTTTGTTTGTTTGCTAACCAAACTATTCGAGAATAATTTTTTTGTATTGGATAGTGTCACGATGAAGGCTTTAATAAAAAACGTACGACTAATAGGAGCAAAGATATAGTGGTTTCAAAAAACGAGCAAAATTTGTATGAGACGTTTCGAACCAAATAGCGAATGAACAAAAAACTGAAAGACAGCTGTAATTTAGATTTCACAAAAACGGTTTTTATGGTGTATTTGGTCGAAATAATTTGTTTAAGTTGGACAGCATCTTTATGTTAGCTGATATTCGTACAAATAAAAAAAAAATCTACAATAAAACTGAATTGCAAATGATTTTTGAATAATTAAATAATAAACTCATCACCTGAAGAGACATTAGCGTCGATTAAATTTATCATTCCACGATCAACCACAAATGTTTTATTTCAGTCAAAAGCAAATCAAAGCATTTTTCCAAACTAAAATAACACAAAAATAATCTAAATGGTAGACGTTGTTATAAGAACGTATATTCACTTGAATTGAACCTTCAGCACTAAAAGGAACAAGTATTCGAATAAGACCAACGGACTATAGAATAGTAATATGGTTTTCAAAGCCACGTGGGTAGAGAGTTACAGTCACTGTTAGGGACTGACGGTTTTAAATTAATGTTTTCAGGATACTATCCTATATATAAAAGAGATACACATAGGTATCTATATTTATCTTAAGTTCTGATATGATATACGTGGCTTAGACTTTGTGCATACCATATATGTATAACGTGACTTCTTAAAATCGTTATTTCTCTAATATATGGTAATTCGAAGGAAAAAATCAAAAGGACCATTTATTTACCATTACAACTTTAGTTTGAGTTTTTTTGTTAAAACTTACCGTTTTCGATAAAAGTTCTCGAATTTTGACTTTTGATCCCTAATAATTTTTGAATCACATTTACGATCGATGGGGTTTTTTTAAATTTAATTAGTAAACGTAAAACCCAGCTCTCCACCAACATTTGGATCTTTCGGAATTTTTCTTATTCGACCACTATTTCGAAGGTAAAAGGTCCAAGTTTAATGTTAAAAAAAGACTATTTTCTTACCTCAATGGCAAATCATTAGAATCATGGTCAACGCTTTGGAAGAAGAAAGCAAGTGGCCAACTTATCCACGAAGATTGTTTCCTGTTGAACAATTGAATAAGAATAAATAGGTATTATGTGTATGTAAACATCATATAATAATTTAATTTCTTCAAACTTTATATAATAGAACTGAAGTTAAATCTAAAAACAATTAGTAGCAGCTTCCATTTCAAATTAATTCCTTTCCTTTCACTCTATAGACTTTATAAAAAAGAAAAGTGTCTAGCCTAAAGCGACTCTATTATTAGACTCAGTTTGAAATCTTAATTGATGATTTTTTCCCGTAATGAGAATAAGATTCTTTTATAATGAAAGGGGAAGTAGGTTCTGAAAATCATTAGTTTTGTTTAACATATAGTTACAAATATGTGATAGGAATAATGTTATTATTCAGTATTGAGTAAATTAGTGTCTAAACTTATGGCTTACGGTGTATTCGGATCGGTTTCCGATGGTGTATCAGGGGTGGCGGGTGCTGGTGGGGTTGTGGGGCTGGTTGGGATTGGCGGCGGGGTCTTGTTAATGGCAGGATTGTAGATCTTCGGGTCGCTCACCATACGTACGAAGAATGAACGCTTATGAGCGAGAGCTTGCAGATGCTTGCGTGCCCGTTCCTCATTCAAATCCTAAGAATTATCAATTTTTTTTTAACTATTATGCATAAGTAACTGGTATTTCACGTGCTAGTCGACTTACCCTTTCCTTATCGGGACCTTCGTATAATTCTGCTGCGAAGTCAGTTATGGTATCCCAAGCATATTCTACAATGATATAGGAAGTTTGATATTAATTTTTACACTTTACTTAAGAGCTATAACCTATGTTTAAAAAAAATAACAGTAAAAAAGACAATATTATCAAAATTAATTTACCAATATCTTCACGGGTAGCGTGTTGGTGAACAACACAGAAACGAATCACGTATCGATCACGAAAAGAAGAGGGCACCATGTGGAGCTTGCCAGATGCATTGATGTTAGTAAGCAGTTTCTTGTTCAACTCATCAACTTGTTGCTCATTTTCTTCGCGACTCCCTACCAAGCGAAAGCATACTAATCCCAACTGAAAACCAATTATAGCTATTTATATTTAGGTATACATATTTTAAAAGATAGCTTAAACAAGTATTACCTACCTTAACTTGGTTGCAAACTTCGAATCTCTTGTCCTTTTTAACAAGTTGTTCAAAGTACTTAGCGAGTTCGCAATGTCGCCGTATATATTTCTGCAGACCACTGATTCCATAACTCCTCAACATGAACCACAACTTCAGTGATCTGAAGCGACGACTGAGCGGTATTCCCCAGTGGCGGTAATCGATTGCGGTACCGTCATAACAATGTTGTAAATACAACGGATCGACAACTAAAGCGGATGTCAATAAGTATCGGTTTGTGACCCACATTAAAGAACAATCAAAGTTAGTGAGCATCATTTTATTTGAATTAGTATTAAATGAGTCAGCATATTCAATTCCTGCCAGGTGATATTTATGTTCAGGACATATAAATGAGCTGCCAGCGTAAGCAGCGTCTACATGCAGCCAAACGCTAGGAAATTTTCGTACTACTGGTCCAATTTCGGGTAAATTATCAAATGCACAAGTCCCTGTTGTTCCTAGGGTTGCTGCAACGAAAAATGGGACTAGCCCCGCTTCTTCATCTTCCTCCATTGCCTGATTGATGTATAAAAAAGTTGATTAGATATTATTATAAATTCGTTGCCTAAAAGGTATATGAAGTCTATGGTTTTAAATTCCAACGAAATTTTAAAACGTTTTTATTAAAGTACTTTTTTAAAATAGGAGTGAATGCCGAGTTTTCATTATTCGAAGCATGGAAAGTGGTATACAATGCGGTATTGCCTCTCCAGTCTTGCTCTCTCCAGTATCTCCGGAATCCACTGCCGATTCATTAAACGCCGACGGCGGCATGGCCTCTCAATATAACGCGATTTATATGAACCTCATCGTGACCTAGTTCGTTAATCCAACCTTACTTTTAAATTATTATTAATTAGCATTTTCTTCTTTTTAATTTAGTTTTAAGTTACCCTGTTTGTGTAAATATGCTAACGCACACCTCTTTATATTTTTATTACATACTAAAATAAATTTTCACAAAAATAAGGAAAAAAGATAAAACAACTTTCATTGTACTTGTCTTCGTGTCCGTAAGTCTTTCCATTTTTTTAATTAAATCGAACCTAAACTATCAGATTTTTTTTCCTAATTTTAAAAGTAATATTTTAAAATCGTTTTTTAAATAAATTTTAAATATATATTATCCGTATTATACATTTACTACTCACTTCTCTTAATGTGTCCCCTCTAAGTGATCCGTGTTCATCCGGCTGTAGAATACGCATTTTAACAAAACTTATCATAGCAGCTTTCTCAACACAAGAGTGTGCTTCTTTGGAACAATATGCAATTAACTTTGAAAGTAACAGCCCCTCATCGACGGTCGGGAATTGATGCTTCAATCGCTTGATCCCTGCAGCCCTTGCGGCTAGCATGCACACAAGTACACACTCGCTGGCTGATCCCTAAGACATATGTAGAATATGATAATAACGAGCATTAAAATAAGTTTTGGCCACTTGTTCATCGTATTAATGAGGTGCCTCACCTGAATAACGCCACCGCCTTTGCTACCTTCCTCAAGTTGCAGAAAAGCGGGAGGTAACCCAATAGCTTTTCCTAAAGTAATTCAATCAATGTATGACAACGTAAAAACAGTTTTCTCTTGAATTTTAAGTGAATAATTTAGACGCAAAATGAGATACTGATTAATAACATTACATATATGAAATAGATACTGAATATGTACAATCAATAATGTTATTAGTTTAAAGAATTCACTTTCCTTACCATATATTTGGTTTTCCTTTTGTATTTGGTTATTTCTTAATTTATGAAAAGTTTCAAACAAATGACTCTATAAACATAAAAATCTCTCTTTATGGAAGGGTTTTTAGCAAAATAAAGTACTTATGGTATTAAAATGTCTACTGGTTTCAGATCAATATGTTCTTCTTGAATTATCTACGGAAGGGATATTTTAAATGACTTCTGAATTTTATATATTAACTACAGGTACAGAGGAATGATCAAATTTTTGTAACAGTTATATTTTAAATAGTTTGTTTATTAAATATTTTATATTAAACGTATTTTTTTAACTCCAAAAATAATACTTTAATATAAGTATTTCTCTTTTATGATCCCTATCCTTTATTAAAAGTATCCATAAGTATAAAAAACATATTAAAATTTAAGTTCTTTAAATGAAAAGAATTCTCATTATATAGATAGATAACTATATAGTAAAAAAATATATATGCTTTATAAATTCGAATATTAATTATGACTATAAAGAAACGGCAGCAACTTTTTTAGGAGAGAAATTACTAAGAATCTTGTCGTTTTATGTATTATGAAATGTCTTTTCACACCTAAGTACGTAAGATATCTTATTACCTAGATTTACCGTAATATAGTAACCAAATTAAATTGTTACCCCACTCACCCATCCAATCCAACATTATAATTTCTAATTCCGTGCAAGCCGGACTCGCGGCCTAGAACAAATAAGTTACTATGTAAATTTTATTAAATAATAACCAGAATGAACTAAATATTATAACAATTTTGAAAACCATTGTAAATTAATTGACAGAATTTTATCTTTACTATAAAAATGTTATTTTGCAAGTGATTTTCGTCTTTTTTTTAATCAAAAAGTTTAAGATTTATTAAAACTAAATAAAAATAGCATTAATTATATATTTGAGCTAATGATATATTTATTCCTTCCAAAACCAAGCATCCGCAACTGAAAAACAGAAATTGACATTTTTATTTCGCACTTTTTTTGTTAGCAACGGGAGATAGAATTGCCTTTTCTTCGACTGAAATACTGAAAATATTTGACTGGTGTTGGCAGTTTTAACGATTTACTTTAATAAGTAGATAAACAAAAGTCTGTAACTGAAACAATGTCAAACAACATATATGTTATTAATCGTTTATTTTCAAGTTAGGTAATTATTATATTTCTCAGTTGTTAAACAAATCTAACTTTGCAATTTTTTTGACTTCTTAAATAAAACGATCCTTTAATCAACATATTTCTCTCGAAATAACATTGTTAATATCCGTTTTTTAAGGTAAAGGTAAGATTCAGGTAAAATTTATTAAAAATATATAAATTTAAACTCTCCCGTGGCACAATCACTAGTTGCCACCATTGAAAGTTCAGTAGTTTTGTGTAAAATAGTTTTTGTATGTAGTTAGTACTTGTTCGAATAATGAGACTAATTCTATTGTAAAGTTTTAATGGAGTTTTTTATCAATTTTACTGATATTATTGTTTCTTTTAATCACATTACTTTTCAAATGTAAGTGGCATGCATTATGCCATAAAATGTTTGTTCTTTGTTCAATTATACATTTGTTTATCGATAACATTGATTTATTTAATAGCTTTTAACTACGGCTTCAATCACCTAAATGGATCATTATTTAACACTATGTTTTACGTTGATTTAAAGAATTTTCTAAATCTTAGAATTATAGCATGTAATAAGTTTTATTATCGAAAAAAGCAACTTGCATTTCTTTTGTTCCTTTTATTAGATTTTCGATGATCCCTATTTAACCCTTTATATCGTTCTGTACCCTATCTACTTTTACTCTATATTCCTTAAAAAATCAGAAAATCACCAGTCACTTAATACTTAAACATTCGTATAACCAAAAAACTTAAGATATTGTATTGGTATAACATAGAAAATGCAATTTTTGTTAATTATTCTAATTTCTAACTACAACTTTGTTACAAATTTTTATTCTCCAATCTCGTGTGAGATAAAAAATGCGAAATTTTATTTTTTCATAATATGCCTTAATTGGCTTAGATCGTTAAATTTTTTCACTGGTAAGTTATTTAAATAATTTCAAAGGGGTCGAAACAGAAGTGTACCTTATTTAGAATAAAGAATGCGTTTTTTCCAAGCGATATCCTTGCGAATGGAAACATTTAAAACATTAAAGTAAAAAGTTAAAACAGTGAAGTAAATAATGTAATGTAAAATCTTAATTTGGCAATTTATCTTACGTTTCGTTACGTTATTAATCTTACGTTTGGCACATTCTTATTTATCTGAGTAAAATTTATTAATTTCACATTAATTTCCTATAAATTCAAACAATCGAAACCATTGTGGAGAATGTTATTTTTTATTTCTCATTTTACATTTAACGTTTTGGTATAGTATAGTAATTTGATTTTTTAAATATTTTTTTATCATTTCTCAACTTACCTACAAGCTAAAAGTTTTATTTGAGTTTTGAGCAAATAAGGTTTGATATAAACATTTTCACGATATATGTATTTTGCCAAGTAGAAACAAATATTTCTACTACTCAGTAAACTGAATAAATCAGGCACCCTTTTATACTTATATAATAAACAAAGAAAATTGATGACTATGGCCATTAAGTACTTAAAATTTACTAAGTAATTCTTTAAATAATAAAATGTGTTTCTTGTAGTGTAAGTTTAGTTAAGTTACCCTTCTTAGCTCATGATCAGTGATATATTCAAAACCGACTTCTAAATTACGTGCAGAAGATATAAAAATTTGCCATTTTTATCGAATTTCTATAAATAATTAGAAAACAAAGATAAGAACTATTAATGTATATAAGATATAAAGACGACGATTTACCTATTTTTAAAAAAAAATTAAAATATTATAATAGAATATAATTTATACGAGTTTTTTATCTAATGAAAATAGTAAATACTATAATTACTTAAAAAATATCTAGTTTTACGATTGCAAATTCATTAAGCGAGAAAAACTGTACTAAACAATAAAACAACTAAACGGGTTTAAATTTATAAAATTGGTACAGATCAAAAGGAATAGTTCACCCATGAGAATCCGATGCAGCCGATGCCAGCGGAGAGCATGTCACCAAGTATTGAGGGGTAGCCATTGCCCGATGGGAAGTATGCATGGAACCGAGGGTGCTGCCAATGCGTGACGCCCGGCATGATCTTATTCTCCACATCTTTCATCACGTCACTAAAATTTTCAGGAAGGAAAGGGGCTTCCGTCGGTAATTCAGTGCGGAGGTAGCCGGGCTCGACCGACGGAGTGACCCTCCGCTTCGACAGGGTCGTCATGTAGGTGCAGATGTAGTCAACCATTTCTTTACCCCGTACACGGAACTCCTCGACGTCCATGGTTGTATTGGCGATACAAGTTGTACGGTGGAGCAGTAGATGTCAACTACTCGGCGTTCGCTGGCTGACTCGACCACCACGCCAGCACTTCTATACTGGAGAGGCGGGCGGCGCGGGGATGGCCGTATGTTAAGCGCCATGTTGTTTAGGATGAGGACACACTGCGTTAATATATTATTTTTATTATTATTATTTTTTATTTATAGTTATAAAAACCTGTCATTTTAAAATCTTTAAAGCCATACTCCTTAAACCTAATGACTTTTTTTTATAAATCATATGATTGAATGTACTATAAGTTTAGTCTTAGTCTTCATATTATACAGTCCGAATCTTTATTGGGTTCATACATAGAAATCAAATAAAAGATTCTAGAATATATTACATTAGGGTTTGTTTTCGCGTGTTCTTAGCCAATCCGCCCTTGAAGCCACTTCATTGAGTCAGCTGAAAGGGCGGCCTATAATAATACGTATGCACTTTCTTTGTAATCAAATTCTTTTTTTGGACCGAAATTTTTGACAATTTAATCATAATTGTAAGGAATATAAAATGTTTATCGTATCAATTTATTTACCTAATAAGTACTTAACATAAATTAATGTATTGTTATATTTTATCTTTCAATAAAATAACTTTCAGATAATTCAAACGATAATTATAAAATATTAACAAAAGAACCGAATTTCTTTAAATAAAACAATACAAAATGTTAAATAATGAATAAATATTTTAGAGGTTCGCCATTAAACGATCATTTTGTCTCCCAAAGTTTGAAAAATGAATATTCATTCTTTTTGACTCTGAGACAGCCATTTGCTTTTATTATCTATTTAAAATTAAACATTTATGCTGGTTTTTAATGAAATGCTAAATATTGACATTATTTTTTTTTGATATCTTTTCAATTTCGCCTAATTTTAAATAATATGTAGTTAAAAATTACGTTTATCAACCCACTCATTATGAGTATGTAATATATCGATACAAACTAAATATACCTATATTGCGGGAGATATTTTACTTTACAATATTTTTTGCATATTTTGGATCAATTTATTAGTTAAACATTTTTGAAAAGAGTTAAAAACTAATATAAAATATTTTTGCCTAAACTTTGCCGTGAAGATTGGACAACAATGAAATTGTCCCGTGATTCATTTCAGGCATAAAAACCTTGATATTAAATGACTCCTTTATAATGAATTTCGTATTCAATTATATACTTCTACCTGTAACCTACCTTACATATACAGATAATAAAGGGCATATTTGACTTTTTTAATTGTCTGATTTAATTCTTTAGACTACTTATTTCATAAAGTTTACACATTTAAACTACTGTTGATTCTTTTAACCAAACATACTAAGATTTTTTTTTACATTAACCATATTTATAATATTTATTAAAAATAAAACATAAAACGATCCATGTGAAATAAAAAGAATAAAATTAACGATAATAAAGATCGTCTGTGAGGGCGGCGGGTGTCATCGGAGGCACGCCGGGAAGTCGCCTCTCTGGAACGCGCATTCCGCCCCGTTCCTGAATACCAATGCCATATTATTATGTGTGATCTCCAGTATTATCCACTATATAAGTATACTAAATCCATTGACATCTTAAATTCATTTCACAGAGCACGTACGCACTCGAATTATTGAATGAGAACGTTTTAAATTCGGTCCGCATGTGTTTCTAAAGAAATGTGTCTGTAAATTTCAAAAATCAGCAAATATTGCAAATATTTATAAAATTTTAATATTCATGTCACCGTAAGTACTCCAGCTTTCTGTAATAAGAATACGTGTCGTAAATTTTCTAGTTTCTCTCCTATCAATTACAAGTACTTAATGAGAATTATGAATTTAACTTGCTCTTGCTTAAAATTGTACATCATACTAGCTGCGTTAAGTTTTAATATTTAAGGTTTCTTTATATTTTCAATTTATTTATTTGCTTCGTATTTTGTTTTCATATTTATATGTTAAAGCGTATATTATTTGTTGTACGAGATCGTTTCCTAGTAAACGTTCGTCGGTATCAACTGTAAATAATTTAGGCTGGTACATAATCTAATAACAAGCTGCGAGCTCCCGAACTGCATACCGAGACAATTATAGAGCCCAAACTCACTTAGCTCTGTAAGTGATATATAGACGCTGACAGCATAATTTATTTGACATATATGTACATATATATAATACGAGTCTCTTTAAATAAAATATACTTTGACTTGACAATTATTAAGTGCAATGTATAATAAAAACAAGAAAAAAAGGATCTGGAAATGAAAATAGGAATCATAAAGAGCTCCTTCGAAGTTTTTCTCGAAATAAAAGACGAGGAAAAATAGTGAGGAGAAAACTCGTTGAAATCTAATTTCGCGTTACCATAACAGCAGCACTTGAATCCGATGAGCTATCTGCGACAGACGCCCGATCATATCAATTTCTTAATTGAAGCGTGATTTTCTCGTTTCATATCGACCGAGATTCGCTTCCTACGCTTTTTAATTGACAGAAAATAATCTTAGATCGATCTACATGCATACAGTTCCGCCTATATCTTCCTTCAGTTTTTAAAAGTTTAAATAAAACAAGTAGAAAAAGTTTAAACTAAACTATATATCACACTTATTTTGAGAATTTCGGTACCTATTTTAGAGGCCATCATTTATTTGACAGAACTGAAAATGCACTGAAAAACCCTGAAAACACCTAACAGAAACCGATTGAAAGAGATTAAACAGTTTAAAGGAGAATTGTAATCTTATATTAAAATGTAAACAAATTTTTGTACTTTAACCATTAAAAATTGCTTGGTATCAAATAATAATCTCTCATAAGGAGACCAGATCTGTCCGTAAAACATTCTAGAATCTAGATGGATCTCTGAAGGACTTATAAATCGGGTTTCATCTATTATAGTTGTCATTCTTTTATATTTTTCCTTTGTATGTAAATTCGAAACTTTATTTCAGTAAGCTGAACATCTTTTAAAAATATTAATCTGAATTTGAAATTGAAGTCAGTGACAGTCTACTTGTCGAGATGAGACGAGTTTTTTGAAGTTAAATAAATGTGACACGTGAAAAAAATGTGATCAAATTATTTTTATTTAATAAAATATGAGCAAAAGGTATATATATAAATACACATATAACTTAAGTAATAACAATGTTATCTCAGTAATTTCCTAACAACGGGTTCATATAGGCATAAAATATAAATATAATACACATATTACTTAAAATAATAAAAATGTTATCTCAATAATTTCCATTTAATTCAATTGTCGTAAAAGTTATATGTAAGATAATATTATACGTTTTCTTCTGTACTTTTTGCTTATCATTATTTTAATATAAAACTTTTTTGATCTGTTCTACCAGTTTTGATCCTTTGAAACGGCTACGTAACTACGAAATCCACCGATAAAGCAATAAATATCCTTTTCATCGATGGATTTTACACAATTGACCGATCACGCAACCCATTAGAGTATACTGTTTGAAATTCTCAATATTTATTTTATAGAATCACTTTAAATTTTTATTTTAATACAAACAACAAAAAATCACGTGAATAATCACTGCTTTTAATTTGTGAAATAATAAACTTCAGCAGTAATTATTAATATGTACGTAAATCTTTATTGAACTATTCTTATAATTTGTGCTGGGAGCACAGTTTTAACTGATTATTTAGGTAGTAGGTGAAAATTAAAATTAAATACCAAAATATAGAGTAAAGGAAATTAGTGTGCTGAATAAAAGTTTACTAGAAAAAGCCAAAAAAAATTGATTATTATTATAACACTTTTTATATTTGTACTCATTGATAGTTTTAAAAAATTCGGTGAGAAAGCCATTTATCTTGTATTTCAGTAATTCTTATTATAAGGCCATGAGGTGCGATTAAGGGTGACAATCTAAATAATACTATATCATTTAGAAAATATACATTTGAGGAGCAGAATTAAAAGTGACTGATTTAAAGAAATTATTTTCTATATTTAATGTACCGTACACGATACCTGAATTAATGACAAACCTTTCGACCTACATGTCATGAATGCAACAGCAGTGAAAATATTTCTAAATGTTAAAAGTTGACGGAAAGTTTATTCGTAATATTTGGATCGTGGTGCCGATGAATATTTTTATATTTTTTATTTTTGTCAGATCCTACGGAAGTTATTTTCTTTAATTATTTTGTGTTTTTTCCAAAATCTGGCCTTATAAAACATAGGTAAACTTTTGTGTAATCTACCACGTAAGTAAACTCATTGTGTAAAGTTATAAAATAGTTTTCTAAAATGTATTTTTAAAGAAAAAAAAATCTTCTGATAATGATAACGCTATTTTAATCAATTCCTTATATTGTTTAAGTTATAAAATAAAATGGTGCTTTAAAACTGCCAATAACATTTACTTGTCACGTTTACATTCTTGGTAATTGGCTCAAACATATATCATTGCTAGAGATGTGTTTAATTATTTTGAGAGACTTGAAAAATATAAGAACAAATAGAAAATATTGGCATGACTCTCAAATTTAAGATTTAAAAAAGACATGTCAAATATCAGAAATTCGATTTTTATGCTACAGAATATAAAATATCGATTCAATATTAATTTATCAAAAACCAAATAGTAGTTCCTACATACGTATTTTCATGATTGCTTATAAATTAGATAACAATAACATATTCAATTTAATTAATTTGACATGATTTTTCAAAGTAAATAGATATTTTTTAACACATTTAGTATTGTGCTCGTATTATTGCATTGAAAATGTTTTTGGGGCACACTCTTTCTTTTGAGCCAAGTGCAGTCTACTTGAAATACGCCCGACAATAGTCTAACTAGGTGAGATCGAACTTAGTCTTTACTCTCAATCTATCACCCAGCTTCATTCCTACAAAACCCTGTATAACCTTGGTACTTTAATATATTTCAATTGTTGTTAGTATTTATGTAAAAAACCTTTCAATAAAAATGTGATATTTCAATTAAAATTTTCCTAACCTCTGTAAATATAACAAAACATTTTTAATTTCTAATATTTTTTAACGTACTTCGCATTTTTATTATGAACCAGAAGCCATTTTAAATACGGATCATACATAGAAGCTCGAGATCAATTGATGACAAAGTAGCGAATGGTCTTGAAAAGACTTCTCAGGTATAAGGGCTCGTTAAGACTTAAGATCTATAATTTATTAATATTAGCGTGAAGGTATGAACTAGGTATAAAATAAATGAATATGTATGTACTATGAAATATCTTTATATTACGACTGTTTGCACACCTAAATTAGGTATTGTATGGCCAATTATTTTGAAAAGCAGAATAATAACCTGTTTTAAAACAATCACTATAAATTGTAAAAAGAGGAGTTTAAATAAATTTTTTGGCACATTTTATTCATTAAATATTAATTTATTTAAAATGAAAGGAAACATGATTTTTAAAGCCATTATAAATCAAAAAACTTCTGTCTCTATTTTTAATTCTTTTACGGATTACCCCAAGACGAGGTTACATTGTCTTCGTATGCCGTAAGGTCATGAATTGAATACGGTCCTTCGTTGCACTTTGGTCCACTACAGGAGAAATTATCATATTCACAGTAGTCCCCCATGATAGTCTGAAAATAGATTTTAAATTAAACTCAAATTATGTCCACGTAATGAATGTCTTTAACCAGAATATATTTAATAATACCTAAAAAATTATTTGAATGGTTTTCGTTCTCATATTTCTCATTAAAGGTTTGTTCTTTAAGTGTGCTTATTTATGGCTTCATAATGTAAAAACCTACAAAATTTATATGTATAAAATATGTATTCATTCCTTATTCTAATTTAATTCTCATCAAATCAAACGATTTCCCTGAATCTTGAAAATGTATAGGAGATCAAATCAAATAATTATAAAGGACATTTATGTAAATGAAAAATATACTAAAGCATTTTCATATTATAATGTATTAACGCGACATTTTTATATATCTTAACATCAATTATCTCACCTTGCTTGGATTTTCGGGATCGGGTTGTTCGTCACAAAAACATCGTCCACAAACACACGAGCCCCGCCCGGAACATTCGGGTCCAGTGCTCTCGGGAGGCTGGCAATCACTCATGATCTTATCCCCCGAACACGCACATTCAGCATTATCTTCGAAACTCACTGAAAGACAGAAATGAAGAAGTCTTCCGGTGATGTATGGCTACAATCTTCCTGATTGGATGTGATTATTGTTAAAGATTATCAGAATCCAGTGTTCTGAACGATGGTAGTAGGGAAAATATAAAAGGAATTGATTACAATGAAGAATCTACTCATTCAATAGCTCTTATATTACTTGCTTTCTTTCTATTCAAAATAGTGACAAACTTATTGGACATGTTTGTAATTTAAATCGCTTCTGTTACTTTTTGAAAGTTTTAAAAAAGAAAGAAAAGTCACTATTATGACATGAGAAATTAGTGATATAACTTACTTCCATAATCCGTGTGATTAATTCTTTGTTTTTCACAATAATTTTCATATAAAGGCAAATGTGCTGAAAAACACATTTCGTCCTCAGGACACCAGGAACATTGTGGTAAACGAAGACAGTCGAAGCAAGATTGTTTGATGTGGCATACCCATCTCTCATTTATACTATAAACATCTAGTTTTCTGGCTAATACTGCAGTAATAAATAAACTAAGATAAATAAGTTGATGGCGATACATGTTCATTTAAACGGAATTAATAACAAGAATTAATTCACTGTTTACTTCGTTATATTAAACGAAACTGTTAGCCCTGACTTAATTGTAGCCTTTATCAAATTTGATAACCTCTATAGTTCAACTTAATTACGCAAACCCAAGTACCTTCCGTTTTAGAATTTACAAACACAAGTTAATATACCCATCACTATCACATCTTATACAGCTATGGCAAAAATAGATGCTTTGTAGAGATAGTTATTAATAGTATAAGGTCGGAAGTTTATTTTAAATTGAATTCTTTACCTCGACTTGGACGAACAATGAAACAAGAGCTATTACAAATATTTATGCTAATTGTTTTATTATTTTTAATTACAAATTGATACCTGTACGTCAGAAATTTAAAAATTCAAATCTTGCAATATAATTTACACGTTTGAAATAGGTACAATGTATTATCTATTTCTACAATATTCTGATGGATAAAAAAAAAGAAAATGCCTTCGATTTAAACTAAGTACATGCGACTCCATCAAAATCAAGTGCCCTATTTTTTTGAACATATAAATTTGGATTTTTATTTTAAACTTTTTTTTTCATCACGTTAACATATTACATAAAATTTATAATTATCATAAACGTCTTGTTTTCTTGTTTACACCAAAGTGTAAACAAGACAATATATCATAGAACATCATATAAAGAACAAACTTTGATCATATTTATATGACATTAAACATTTCTGAAGGCATATAAAATAACAATTAAGAGACATAGAAGTATATTTTTATACAGAGTAGGTCGTAGCCGAAGATGAAAAATCGAAATCAAATTTTTGTAAAATTGGTCAAGTGCACTTGAGGATACGATGTTCTAATTTCAAAGAAACCGCAACGATGTTCTAAATTTAAAATCGAGCTTGTTTATGATTCTAGAAGTATGTTTTATAGTTATGTTATAGCTGTTATAATAAAAAGATTAGACATCTTCCACTTAAATAAGTATACCTATTGGCACGTGTCTTCACTTTTTTCGTCTGGTTGCCCATTTCCAGATAACTAAAACGAGCAAGTTATTTGCAAAACTAGAAAACTTCCATTCAGCTTTCCTTCCAAAAATCCTCCTAGCAAATTAGAGAAAACTTGTGAAAGCATAGTTCTCTTAATTTAAAGAAGAAATAATTCCGAACGAACTATTGCTTTTCAATCCACGAAACTTTTATCCGACAAGGTGCAACGACTAGTAGAGCATGAACTTTGAGATTTATATTCTTATAATACGCGGAGGCTTGGCTATGGCTTCGGATTTTTTTTAATATCAGAGGTGGCAAACGAGCAGACGGCCCACTTGTTGGAAAGTAGTCACCGTCGCCCATAGACGACTGCAACATAAGAGATGTTGTGGATGGTTTCTCAGCCTTGGTTGTTGAGGAAAGAGGAAAGGGTTGGAATAAGGAAATTGCAGAGATGGGTTGGAATAAAGAAAAGGCAACCAGCTCTCTCACTTATCGAAGGAAACGCAACCATTAAAGTGTATTTGTACTTCCCCGTTTGAGCCAACCCATGTTCGAATTGAAGTAACTTAACCACCGTAAGACTCGAACGATTAAATTTTTCAGTTTTTTTTATCAATATCAACTATACGTACATATATATAGCAGCCAAAGTCATCAAATATGACCTTCTAAGTTTTTTAACCGCATCCATCTTATTTCCTGTTTTGACTTTTTCCCATGCTTCTTTTAAAAGCGTCTTGATTATTTTTCAATATCATACGGCGGCGAAGTATTACAGTTGACTCAGGGACTGCATAAAATTGAATTTGAGACCAGATCACCTCTATCACGTTGTACTGGTAGAGCATGTATCTTATAAATAGAGATCATGCATAAAATTTTGTGCAACATATGTGTATGTGTGCAATGAATTTAAGTAAATAAGTAAAAGATATTAAACTTTACATTACTTCGTAAAAGTACGAATATTCAAAATTATGTTATAAATAAAACAGGATAAAATATATATGTGTGTTTTATGTCTATTTTAATATAAATCAGTAGTACTAAATAAAGTAACACTTTGTCGATGTTAAATTATGTATTTAGGAATAAGCTTACATACATAGTTAAGTACAGAAATTCATCAAAATGATTATGATATAGACAGATGTTTCTTTTATTGGTATATTAAAGTTTATTTAAATGTTACTGCTTCTCAGGCAAATTAGAATATGTTAGATTTAAAACTATACAGTTAAAAAGTAAAGAAAATAAAAAATCTTGCGATCTATAAATAACAAGGAATTATTGCTTCTAAGATAGATAGTAGGAACTATAAATTACATATTTATTTTATTGTATAGAGAGTTAATAACATAAAATTACACAATATCAAGTTACTTATTTCTTTTAAACAATCATTTTCAGAGTACGTTATACATAGTATCATATATTCACATTTAAGTTTCTTTGTTCTGACAAAAGAAACATAAAAAAAAAACTTTTTTATGTAAGTCAAGAATGTTAAAGAATTGATATTATTTTTGTTCAACGAGTTTCGTTGGAAGAGATAAGACTTTCACGTGTACTCATTTGAATGAAAGTAAGCTTTTCAGATATTACCCGTTTTTTATTATTTTGTAACTGCATAATCCCAGCGTTTCCGTGGCTGTAAAAAAACCAGAATGTCGGGATTATATATTTATAAATAATAATAATCCTTTCATATTCGAAAAGACGTGTTGCAATTAAATGAGCTATTAGTTTTGAGTGGTGACTTTCATAAAAATTCTTGATATCCTGCTTCCCCTGCTCTCATCCCAAGTTATTCGTGGTCAAACTAATAGGTATATCTTCCAGTACCATCAATTTCTGTTACCTGTCATCATGTCACTCACACCTTTTTCTCTCATATATCCTTCTTATTACATTTCAGGCATATTTTCTTTGACCGTTCTCTTTTCAATCCACAAAATTTTATATACATTTGTATCTTCTCTTTTCAAAAAAAACATGTCGTGGCACGGACAATCAATTCAAGCTTAGTTTGTCATAATTTTATTTTGAGCAATGGCTTTATTCGCACTTAAAAATATTAAACCATTATTATCTGTGTTCCAAAAAGTCACTTATGACATTTCAACTGACATTTTGTCTTGTTGCTAGATGTCAAATCTCAATATAATTATGGTTCTTGGTTATCAAAGGAAAACATTCCGCAGTACAGACAAAAATAACTAATTATATATGTATTTACCGGAAGGGTTCGATGGATAACTATTATAAAGGTAAAAATGTCGAAGAGGAATTGGAGCGATCCAAAATACCAATTAATGGTATTCCAGAAAACTTTCTATGGATGCAGGTACTAACACAAATTCCAACCGCTCTTCTAGACTACAACATAAAATTTAAAATATGTATTATATAAAATCTATAAAATAGGTAAAAGGCGGCAGCAAGATGCAGAATTTGATATCACACGCAGCTGGTATTCTTGAGGATAAGGCAGCTACAGTGGTTGTATGGACTGGAGTTGGGGTAGCTATTGCTAAAGCCATATCGTGTGCTGAGATCATTAAGCGCCAATTTTCAATTCCCCATCAGATAACGAAACTTGCATATAAAAGGTTAATACTTAATACAACCACCACACTCTTGATATAAAACCGTTTCTGTAAACTCCTTTTCATATTTTAGTGTTGAAGAATATTGGGAGCCAAAAGTTGATGGCCTTGAAACTATTGTAGTGAAAAGACAAATACCAGTTATACATATACTTTTGTCAATGGAAGAGCTTGTTGATTGTAATCAACTTGGGTAAGTTTTTGCATATTTTCCTGCAAAGCTTATAACTACTATGCTATTAATATATAATATTGTTATTAAAATATGTTGTACTTGTAATAATATTTTATTTATTTGTTTCAGCTATCAAAGTGCAGTAGGTAAGAAATTTTGGAAAAAAGAAACTCAGACTTCAAAACAACAACAATCAAATTACAAATCCAAAAAACCTTTTAAAAATAAAAAAAACTGAAGTTAATGCCTAAATTAAGAATGCTTATTGTTAAACTTAAATCTTTTTTCAAATATATCTATAAGTATTTTACTAAATGTAAATTCAGTATTTTCTAAAAACTTCCTGTTTTATGTTTACTACCCCTTATGTAAATTTAGGGCAGAAAAAAATCAATCATATATAGATGATGCATTTATATTTATGGTTTAAAGTTAATTTCAAACATTTGATTTGTACTGTTAATTATATAAAATGACATGGGAAGAAAATAGAAAATCAGTCAGTTAGTTATACAGTCAAATTTATTTCATTTCTCAGTGTCTGATTTACAGAATACAGCAAAAAGTATAAAAAACTGGAACATTACTTTAATATGAACACCTAATAACAGTTTAAGATATTTTCTTATTAAATGTTTTAATTTATAGATCCTTCCTTAATATGCCTCATCTTTTATCTAGACAAAAGGACATACTAGAAAATTTCACCATAGACATGCTACCATTTTCAAAATTATAAACAAATGAAAACAGAGTGTAAATATTTAGCCATATATACAGGTTAAATCACAAACACAATTTAAAAATAGTCCATGGTAGGAATAAAAGGGGTAATCAATTTAAAATAACACTTTGATGAATTTATTTAAAATAAGACTATAATAAATTATGTGTCACTGACTGACAACACATGAATTTTAAAAAGTATAAAAACTTTTTTGAAGTTAAGTATCATAGTCCGGACACATGGTACCTGTGTAGGTATTGTACAGATATTAATTTTGATATATCAATAATAAATACTTAAACAACATTCTCTCAATGTCATCTAATTACATCCTAAGCTTCAGATTCTCCGGGTTGCTGAGCAATCGGAGTTTCATCTTCAAGTTTTGGCAGTATAAGTATCTCTTTAGATATAATCGAGTATTTCGTTACAAAATATGTAAACCGTTTACACAAATGGGTCTCCTTTTCGAATGCATCAAATATTGCTCTGTGATGGAAATAAGCATGAGAAAATATTCTATACACTCTTCTGCATACAGAGCCCAGTTTTGCTACAGAAGACTCTTTTATACTGACTCTGAAAAATAAAGTATTTAAATTAATTTATATCACTTCTGTAAATGGTAATAATCTATTAACATAAATAAATGGGAAAAATAGGATGGAAACTAAAGTAATACATAAGTTTTTGCCAATCTATTTAAACATTTTTGAGTCCAAATAGTAAAAGTAAAGTTACATAGTATACCGGGTGACTGGTGAATTACTATCAATATTTAAGGAGCATACTCGGTACATGATTCTCATTCGAATTATGTAAAAAAAATAGGTACTTAATTTTTGACCAAATTTCCGTATAAATAAATAGTGTGTACACGTTCCAAGTGTTCCAAGAGTGGACGCGTGCGGCGACGTGCTGATACAACAACACGCCGCCGCGCGCGAGTGTGTGTGTGTGTGTATACCTAATCTGTAGGGTGTTCATACGATGCGTAATTAATTACATAACTTTTGGTTAACCTTACTCAGAAGTTTATTAATATTTATGTTATATTAATTTTTATTTTGTCAAATATCACGTCCTCAAATATCGATAGTAATTCACCAGTCACCCTGTATATATTATAATACAATATTAAAAATAATAATACCTGCTTGGAAAATATTTATTGCTGTTTAATAAACATGCAGCACCGTCAAGTGTGTGTCTTGTATAGTCAATAGCTGGACACTCTTTTGGTGTTTTGTGAGCAGCACACAAAAATATCCACTGTTCCGTTGCTGTCATTTGAGTGCATATTTCGGGTTTGCACTCGCTTTGTAATCTTACTGCCAATCCGTTTAGCTCCATACAAAATTGTCTAACAAGATAATAATATTTATTAATTGTAAGTCTAATAAGGTGAAAATAAAACTTAATATAGTTTTCATACCTCAAATGTTCGTATTTCCAAACACCGTCATCCTGTGCCTCGGGTATTTTAAGAATCGCTTCCAAATTCGCAGGATCTCGTCTTATTGTTTGTTGTATAAATTGTTGTACAGCCAAAGTACTATCCATCTCTTCGAAAGGTTCATCGGGCCACCGACGAAAATCCTGTCATAACATAAACGTGGGAATAAATATTATATACAATGTTTTTTCATCATAATACTTTTCTTAATTTACCTTCGCTGAAGAACCAGGGCGATTACGCCTGAGTATCACCCCAGAACGCCATTGTTCCTCGGCCATTTTAGTCATAGTTAATCGATTTAAGTTCACTGGGCACTTTAATAAATACTGGATTAATAAGCTTTGTAGTATAGAAGAATAATCTTGCTATATACTTTATTTAAATTGAAATAATAAAATGTCTACACTATTTTGAAATTAGGGCAAACGGCGATCGACAGACAACTTGCCGTTTACAATAAACTTTTGACAATGTCAAATGTAATTTTATAAGAGCAGATAAAAAATCAAACTAAAATCAATTTTGAAATAAAGTATTATATATATAACAACTGTGCTGAAATTTAAGTCTATAAATAATTCTTATAATTGTAAAATAAAACTATATGAAACAATTTATATAAAAAAAAAATACATTCAGAAATGGTGCCTTTTTTTATTTAAAAACGAAGCAGTCAGTTCTTTAACTATGTATCTTATTTCATTAAAATCATATACTTTGCATGTTATATTTATTAAAAGTAATAAACTGTTATTAATCTGAGTCTAAGTTGTACGTTTTCTAATTATAACATAATATATTTGAAGAGCCCATGAAGTGACAACTTTGATTTCACTTCTTAGTTGCAAATTTTGACAAACAACAATAATATGTCAACAATGGATCTTGGAAGTTATTATTCTTATGGAAGTGAAAAAAATAATAATTAAATTACGTTGCTGTTTGAAGGAAATAACAATTGAGCTTTTCAAAGAAACAAGTTAGGAAATAGAGGCAAGGATGTTTATTATTTTGATATGTTTTGTATTTATTTGTAATAAGGATTTTGTAAATAGTGTAGTTATAAATGACATGACAACCAGTTCCTTTGGAGATAACAATGAAGGACTAATTGCAGCTTTTGGAGATTTTAATTCAGACGAATTGACTGACGCTTTTATAATTAATGGTTCAAGTGTGCAGGTACTTCTTGCTCATGACAAAGAACCATTTCTGCGTCCATCACTGTATTCATGTAACTTTGATAATTTGAATATAACCAGCATTGTACCTGGTGACTTTGATGGAGATGCTTACATGGACATACTTTTGACTACACAAATTCAAAACATTTCATCTAACATTCAAGAAGTAAGGATTTTATGGGGTGGTATGTCTACACTTAATTGTTCTGATGCTGACCTAATAAAGGCCATAAGTATTGGCCAGCCATTAGTATTGGATTATAATCGGGATATGATTTTAGATTTATTTGGAATAAATTCTCAAAATCAAAGAGTATTTTGGGTGTTTGATAAATCTAGGTTAACTCCAGAAGAAGTTCCCATGATTGGAGATAGCTTTAAAAAAATTAAGCTTCCCCATTCCCATTCATTTCTAGATGTTAATGATGACAATGCTGCAGATCTTTTAGTCACAACTGAATTAGATGTAGAAATCTGGTTGAATGAAGAGATAAGTGGATTCAAATATAATAATAGCATTGACTTGCTTGTTGGACATCCAACAATATATGGCCAGGCATTGTTTATTGATGTGGCCCTTTCAGGACAATTCTTTTTAGTTATACCTGTTTGCTATGATTTAGACTGCATCAACAGCACAATTCTAATTTACGACAATGAACAGTGGCATGATCTTCAAGTAGATTTTAATGATGGAAAGGGCACTTTGTGGAGGTTTGTACCTCCTAGAAATGAGACTTACCTTGACACTATTACTATGCGCAGTGGAGACTATAATATGGATGGATATCCTGATATTTTAATGACTCTAAGTCCTGTTAATGGTAAAGACACAAGAGCCTTTCTTTTGCATAATGTAGTATGTAATAAAGAGGGTTGCAAATTTCATAGAACTTTTGAGGTTCAATGGGAGAGATTCAGTACATTTGGGAACAATGTAGTAATGGCTACATTTTATGATTTTTATATGGATGGTGTCCTTGATGTTATTTATGTTCAAAGAAATATGACTACAGGGAAACATTTTCTAAGAGCTTTTAGAAATGAATTAGAATATGATACAAATTTTATAAAAGTAATAGTTGTTACTGGTCTTAGCAATAAGAAAATACCTACTATTAATGGAACTTTGATCACCAGAAAGGTGACTTTTGGTGAGTAAGAATATTTTACTTCACACTAATTGTTAAAATGTATATTTGTTCTTGTTTAAGAATTTTCTTGTTCAGTGTAAGTTTTAATGTATGTATGTCGGTTTTTTTTCAGGCACAAATTTACCAGGGCCTAAGATTGGATACAATACTTGGTCACAGGAAGGCAATTATCGGACTGGTGTATGTGCACAACTTCCACAATCTGCATATTTTGCTTTACAACTACCATATTCTATTTTCGGCCTAGATCGGACTCCAAATTTTGTTGATACATTAACAGTTGGTCTCTTAGGTTTTTCGAAAAGCTGGACTCAAATTATACCAAATTCTCAGATAGTTTTGATACCCGCTCCTCCAAGTGACCCTTCCCAATGGCGTGCCCAACTTTTTGTAACACCAAGTAAAGTTATTCTTAAAAGTGTATTTGTCCTAACCGCTATTATTATTGTAATAATTGGATGTGTTCTTTACTTGCATTGGAAAGAGAGGAATGACCGTCAAGATATTATAGAAATTGATGAAAAAACATATGTTAAAATTTAGACTATTTTAAATTCCATATTAATTATTGTATATTGTTGACTGTGATTATTAAGTCTATTACGGCATACTATTTGTGTTATTTGGTGAAAATTTAACAACCATATTTAAAGTAAAAACTGTTTATATTTGACTGTGAAATATATATTAAAACTTGGCTAGATTCTAAATAGATCTGAACAATAATGATTGATTTTGTGGTTAAGTTTTAGTTGTTGTATATATTCAAAATTGTATTGACTGTTATAAAAATTTTAAGAGAAATTGAGGGTGAGGTAAGTGTAATTAAAGGTTTCTTTAAATAAAAGTTGCAATTTATAAAATAGTTGTTTAGTAATGTAAGATTATTATAACAATAATAAAAATACAGGTTTTTCATACTAAAACGAGTTTTTTTTTATATTAGTAGTGTCTTAAATTTATAGGTTCACTCGTTGTTGATATACAAAAATCCTTTTATTAGTGCTTTGATTTGTGTTTCTGCTTCTTTTCTTTTTTCTTTTCTAGCTTCTCCAATTTCCTGAAAAATTAAGATGAATGATTATATGAAACAGTTTAATTAACGGTTTATAAGTTAGAGGCGATATTTTTCCCACCATGATTTTATTTTTTTTAAACTGATATTTCGTCCACTGGTTGTATTTTTTTATTCAGGCAAATTTTATGATTGTCAATAGACAGTTTGACAAATATATATTTATAGCCCAAGAGCCAGGGCCAGCCAGGCATTCGTTAATTTACAAAAGCTGAAAGTTTTTCTATAGATGTACCCAATACAGGTAGTCACGATCCCCACCTATGAAATTTGGGTCGCGGTGGCTTTGGCAGGTAACACGTTCTAAAGGTGTATAAAATGTTCTTTCACTTTCCTCTTAGTACAAAATTCAGTTTTGATATATTTTCATCGTAATAATATTAGAAATCACGCTGTAAATTGCCCGGCACTTAGTAAGGTGGGAAACCCAGACAGGCACCCCTAAATTATAAGTAATTTTATTTGTACTTTCGTTATAGTACATATATAAGCTGTTTTTTATGTATGTTACTGAGGAAAGTATTAAATTATATTTGCTCAGTAGCCAGGCAGTTTCGATGGTGCTTTTACATAGCCAGGCACACTGAAAGTCTTCCGTAAGTGCGAGAGGAAGGAACATATCCTCGATGAAGTTGCGAATAGATATGTTCATGTTTACATTTAGTTACTTAGAAGACAAATTTGGTTACTTAGGACAAATTTTTCTCGTTAAATGCTTTTTCAAATGTAAACGTACAGACGGTAGGCTCTTCGGTTTCTGAACAATACTTTTTTTATGTGTTATATAGATCAGTCATTGAGTGAAAAGATGGTTCTAAATATAATTTGTTGCCGATATTATATACTAGATATTATAAAAAGTAAAAGTAATAATAAGCATACTAAAAATATCTTTTTCGTTAAATTTCTTATTGACAAATTACTTATGCCCTCCCATAATACATAATTTATTTTTTTTAATATTGTGATTCTAATTTGAATAAACATTGAAATGTAGAATTTTTCAAAACAGTTTTAATTAAACTGTTAGATTTTTGATGTAATAACTTATTGAAAAGAAAATTTTCTGCATAACTTGTCTAAAATTAATACTTCTTTCTTCAATAATTTTATGTAACGATAAATTTGTTAAATTATAAAATAGTTCACACAAAATACATTGCTAAATGACAGCTGATACGCAGTAGAAGCTCGCAATAGACCGAGAGCACTAACTCACTCACACTCGCTCAGATATATGTTCCTCGCTCTCGCACTTACGGAAGACTTTCATTGTGCCTGGCCATGTAAAAGCACCATCGAAACTGCCTGGCTACTGAGTAAATATAATTTAATACTTTCCTCAGTGACATAGATAAAAAACAGCTTATATATGTACTATAACGAAAGTACAAATAAAATTACTTATAATTTAGGGGTGCCTGGCTGGGTTTCCCACCTTACTAAGTGCCGGGCAATTTACAGCGTGATTTCTAATATTATTACGATGAAAATATATCAAAACTGAATTTTGTACTAAGAGGAAAGTGAAAGAACATTTTATACACCTTTAGAACGTGTTACCTGCCAAAGCCACCGCGACCGAAATTTCATAGGTGGGGATCGTGACTACCTGTATTGGGTACATCTATAGCAAAACTTTCAGCTTTTGTAAATCAATGAATTCCTGGCTGACCCTGGCTCTTGCTCTATTATACATACATATGTTTTTACTTCTATTATATACCCTTAACCGTCATCAATTTTTTTTTCTACTGTCCACTCCTTATGACCGTTAAAGGGTTAAGTGTAATATGTAATAATGGTATTAAAACTTACTTCAACAACTTTTTCTTCTGCTTCTTAGTTAACTGGCTGATCAAATCAGTCTCACTGAATGATGGGTCATTATCAACTATCTTTCCAGCGGAAAGTGGCATTGCCGCTGCTTTCATAACAAGTCCCGTGTCCCTCATTTGTTGCATAAGGGTCGGTACATCTGGTTTCTCTTCTTCAGTTTCAGGAGCTGATGCTGATGCTTGTAATGCTCTAGCTTCACTCATTGAGAGAGAATACATTGAACATTCCTTGTCTGTAAAAATTTTATTTTGTTAAAGAAATTCTGAAATTATTGTGTATGGGAACAAGAACTAAAGAAACTGTATATATGTTCCTTTAAGAATTGGATGGAATATATTATAAAAGTAAAGATTATAAGAATATGACATAATTATGAACTCAAAGGTTTAAAAAATATTGCTTTACCTGTGTTAATGTGGCCCCACTTGTGACATTTTATACATCTTACATTCCTCACTAGAATTCCAAATGGCTGATCTCGGATTTCATTATCACCTTTACAATAGCTTTCTCTGGGTGCGTTGTATTTCCGTTGCCATTCAAACTTATATTCGGGCTCATTATCTTCACGTTCTCTCTCTTTTTTAACACCCGGTGGAGGTTCATACATAAAGTTTAGACTTAGTTTGTCTTTACTGTCCTTGCTCAGAAGGGCTCTGGAAATGAGAAGCATATTGAAACATTAGCAATGTGGTATGCATATAAATATTGAATAAATATATTGATTTGACATACTTATTTTCATGAAGTTCTTGTTCTTTCTCATACTGCACTCTTAACTCTTCCTGTTTCTTTTTGTAAGCATCAGTCTTTTGTTCAGCCATCCATACCTGTGAAAACAATGATTCCATCAAATCAATTGAATAGTTTTTGTGAGAATTCTAGAAACTTGTATTTTACTAGCCAGCTACTTGGACATTATTGTATTCTATAATATTTATGAGACCTTCGCCGTTATATTGCTCTTAAAATTTTTCGTTGCCAAAAAGAATTGACTACGTTCTATGAGCAAGGCCAGTGATAAAATTTATCTATTTCATATTATTGCTTAAAGTCCATAAATTTTAGAAACCCATGTTTGAATTTTGACAACCCCATTTCGTAACTGGTTTATATGTGTTGCATTGAACACTGTTTGTAGAGTTTTAAACCATCTGTAGATTATTCAGTGCGTAGAACATTTTTTTAGCAACAAAAATTATTCTCTGTTGTTCTGATAAAGAGATCTTATTTTGCTTTTGTATGTTAATAATATTTTACTTACTCTTTTCAAGTTGTCCCTGGACGCAGGGTGAAAAAACTTCTTACACATGTAATTATTGAAACCTTTCCCCATCTTGAATTTATTTGGTCAAAAGACGTGTGACTTTTTGGTTTTCTAAAGTATAATCTTTGACAATACAATTATCTTAAACGTATAAACCTCTCAGACTCGAGTTATACTTATGTAAATATAATTATTTGTATCGTTAAAAACACCTGTAAATGAGCTATTTTGTGAAATCAGTATAGCAAATATATTACTCAGAGAAATTCTATATTATTATTCTCAGTAGCGAACATCAAAGTCTACTGTCTACAGACTACGCAGTACTCAGTACAGATTATAATGAAGGACAACAGAGTTTAAATATCGAAGACAAATTACGTCACTTGATGTTTTGAAGTCAATTTCGTTCTTCGTGAAGGTAAACACCTAGCTTCCTACTTGTAGTCTTGTGATAGTTTCAAAAAAGCTTCTTTATCCTTATATTGTATTATTACGTTTCATCAGATAATATATCCAAAAACAGAACCTTGTAATCGAAATATATAGTAATCCTAATAAGAACTATTGTATAAAATAGGCAATATTTTAAAAATTAAAATTAAAATAAATATTAACAGAATAAAAATATATATACTGAGGTTTTCATTGGTCTATTATGTTTGTTTTTCACAGATAACAAATATGGAATAATGACGGCAATCTGTGGTTTTATTCCGTATTGGCAAATGGCAACAGTACATTTTTGCGTTCAGCGTTGCTCACGTTGAATTTATTGTGGGTATTGCGCTGTGCAGTTTGTCGTGTTGTTTGTAGTGGTACCTTTGAATATATAATTCACCAGCTTAGAAATTCTACTTTCAACTTTCTAGTGTTAAAGTAAACAAATTTTCATCTCTAACACTTATCTCAACATTCCGTGTTTGTTACTTGTTATTTGCTAACTAAACTAAATATTCTGTAAGGTTTGCTTTTGAATGTGAACCACTTGAAATCAATTTATCATTTAAGATGTTATTTATTATATTTGTTTTGTATTTTTGTTGTATGTAATAATGATGTTAGTTAGGTGCATCAAATATTCATAGTTTAGTAGTCCGTGTAGTAGTGGTTAATCCGGATTCGCGATCCACATTTACTCATTGTCATCGTTGTGTTGCTTTATGTTTTAACACATTCATACTGTTTTATCATGTTGGGAGTATTTTTAGAACTCGACTGTGGTATTGAGCCTGATGTCTTTGTAAACATATGATTGTAAATACTTGCGCTGTTTTTATTATGACTAAATATAATAGTTTGTGATTTATTGTTTGAATGAACAGTTTTACCTGAAAGTGATGATAAAACCTGATACTTATGAAGTGGAAAGTTTTCAAGAAGTGTAATTGCATATTTATGGTAAGTAAAAATATTGAAAAATAATAATAACTTGTAACATTAAATTTGATTGTTTATGCAAACATCATTACAATATCACTCACAGTTCTATCACCAAATTTTATTACTCTTATAAGGAATTTGTAAAATATATGTTTTCTTATCTAGAATTATATTAAAACATTCCCTTCAAACATATTAAATAGAATGACATAACTTATTACAATAAATGTATATGGGTCATTTAGTTTACTATAATTCTAAGTTGGAAATCAAGTACATACAGTAAATTTATTTTAATTAATTGCATTGTTGACATCGGTTTATATAACAGCTATGTGCAAATGGAGGATATATGAAATTTTAATAAAATGTCGTTTTTACTTACATTTACTTTAATGATTAGCACCAAGAATATCTTTCATGTTAGACATTTTTATGAAGTGATCATATTATCTTATTGTTAGTAGAAATTAATTGATAAGGATAATTTAAGTATACTTTATGCAAAACTCGGGAACACTCTTTATCTTGTTAAAACTTAGATATTATAAGATATTCAAAATATAACTTAGTTCATACAAAATGTTCTTATTATGGTTAGGTAAATAAGTTGCGAAAAAGTTTAAAACTAAATAATCTTATATTAAAAAAATGTTATCTTCTCTTTATAAACTTGACCCATATATCTTTTATATTAAAAAGTTTTGATATATAATTTATTATGTACACATATATATCACCAATTGAATAGTAATAGGTGTATTGTTGAAAATTGATATCTTTTTGAAAACACCTCTTTTGTTATATAATCTTCTATTAAACTTGTGCATAATCAAATTAAAACTACAAATGACTATAAGCTGGCAGAACTAGAATGTCCTTTGAAGGTCATTGGAGTAAATGAAACATTTTAGGTGTGTTTAGAAAAAAAATCAAGTATTTAATTTATGTCATATTTATTATTATCTTCAGAGATATCAAATGACTTTGTTTCATTTAAAACATCTTATTCAAATGTTGTAGATACATTTGGAATTTATTATATATGAAAGTTACCATTTCTCTTTTCCTATGAATAGTGACATACTTTTTAAAAATAATTGATATCTTGTATGCGTGTATGATTATGTGTGTGTGTTGTATGTGTTGAATAATATTTTTGATTTATATATATTGATTGAAAATTTATGTAATATCACATAATTTATACATTTAACTTCTAATATATAAATGACAATACTAACCAGCCATCTATTTTATTCTATAATTCAGGCAAAGAAAAAAAAGTTTATTAAATAACTAATCTAAAGGCCGCCAATAAGAATATATTGAAGTATAAAGCTTTTTAAATTCAGTTTGCTTAAAAAAAATATTTAATTGGATGTAATAATGAAAACACCATGATCGACAATCAGATTGTGTAATAATGAGAATATATTTGCATGGGTTTTCTTTCTGTATATAAAATTATTGAAACAATTTTGCTGGTCCCTATTTTTAAGTTTCTTTAAATGAAATAGATGACATGTCCGTCTGCTTCTCTAGGGACTAGGCAATAGGATGATATACCTATGTATATAAACTCAGTTTACTATTGTTGAAATATATGTTTTTGTATTTTCATAGTACTTTTTAAAGATACAAAACAAGGTATAAGTGTCTAACATATTGACAAAAGTATTAAGATATTTCATATTATACAGTTACAATATTGATAACATCAGCCATATATATTGAAAGATCCATAAATGTTTGAGCATAATTCAACATTATCATGTGATAAGCGGGGAGATAATCCATTTGGATATTGCTTTCAATAACACAATATAGTGTTAGTATACCGTCGGCTTACGGGGGTCGATTTTTATTATCTTGTAGGGCGGGTGTGGTAGGGAGTGGCTGACAAACAACGACTGGATGAGATCGATATAAAGAACTATTCCGTTTGTGACACGTTCCAAACATCCAAATAATATAGTATCCTATTTGCATGTGCAGTCAATTTGTAACGAATTCAACGTTCGCAATAGTTATAGATAACTACCTGACCAAACTAATCCCGAAAGACGTTTATGAGGAATTATACAAAGTATATCATATATGTATGTACATGTCTTTTTAAACATTTTAATGTTTGAATTTATAGGCGATTTGCAGCATAAAACATAGATGATGTAAAAAAATACATACTCAATATCAATACGAACTTTCGATTACAAAATTTCCATTCCATTGGATCTAAACAAGTCGTACCTTTTCGGTATTTATAGCAGATATCGTGAACATAAATTGAATGTAACGAAAAATTGCTCCTTTTTATTTCGGAGAAATTTTCTTAAATCGCATAAGTAGTAATTTCATTGGAATTTTTTTTTTGAAAAATAAGTCTAGATAAGAAAAACGATTTATGAAACATGCCAAATATTATATATCTATTTTAAATATTAAATTTTAATTTAGGAAAATTAAGATATATACGAATGTGAGAATCTCAACTTATATTTCAAAAGAAATAAATAATAATGTTGAACATATGTGCATAATGTGCATAAAATTATGCAAGTGATGTCAACCAATCAATCCACTCTGTATACAAAACTACTTTCTTCTAGTTCTAATATTATGTACTACAGACGCGAAAAGATGTTTGTAACTTTTTACAACTACGTTCTCTTTGAAACTTTATCTTTGAGTTATCTTCGGTAAGCCAAACAACCTCCTTTGTAGTCCTTAATTCAGATTTAATTTAAAAATCGTGTTCCAAAGGGAAATAAAAAGAAAACTTAGAAAAGTAAAGATCGAAAATTCTAACTCGTACTCGGCGAAAGCGATTTTTCATGATACTAAAGCAAAGTAGAATATGTATCGTAATAACATATGGATTGAAACTAGTAAAGTACCAGCAAGTTATAAGGAAGTAGTATGTGTTTAATAATAGTTTTCTATTAATAAATTAACAATTTCATATTAATATTAAACGTAACCAAATTTCTGAGGAAATCGTTAATAATTATTTAACTTTCATTTGCTACACATTAACCTTAGGTCAAATGAAATATGTTAGTATTAAGTGTCAGGAAAGTGTTATTTATTACGCGAATGCAACGGTAGGGTTAAGATTTTTCATATGTTTCTAAGATTTATGTTTATTGATATATTTACATCTTTATAGAGGTGTTTCTGATAATCACGTGGATGTTAGAGATATCATTATTATATTTGATAAGTTCCAAAGGTTAAAGTTCTCAAAAATAGTCTGAAATGTTTAGTTGAATAAAAATTGGATAGGTAACATTTTGTATCAAATATAACTTCAAAGATTGTCCCTTACACTTTACCCGCTGCGATTTAATATTTCGGCATCCTGAGAGAGTGGACTTGACAGGTTTATTTTTAGAGTAGTTCTTACAAAGCCTACTTCATTGTCTTTTTTTTTCATTCAAGCAGAGTAATGGTTCTGATTCAATATGCGTAATCTGCAGAAAAAACTGCATTCCATATGTTTTATGTATATTTCAAAAATTTCATATGTAAAACGTGTTATTACCGTCTAAAGTTTTAATGCATCAGAATGTTGTGTGATGTTTAAATAACTGGTGATAAAGAGTTAACTAGAATATAAATGTATTTTTGAAACATGAGTTTATAACGAAATATGAAGAAGCTTATACTATTTTATAATATGGTATACATTTGACTTAGTTTTTTACAGTCCGCCTATGAGATATAGACATAGTAATGAACCGTTCTGTTTTAAATAATTTGTTGGAAAAGATAAGTCAGAGAACCGAATTTATAATTGCAAGCTTCATTTCCCAGATAGGTATTTTTATATATGGTTATCGTTTAACCGGGGATTTTACAAAAACCGCAACCTTTGATCGCATCCAAGAAAATTATATGAATTTTATGTGTTTTGGTACACTTATGTCTTTTTTTGGTTGCACATGATAGGGATTTTTCAGTTTTATTAAAAAATCCCTAATATAAATTATTATAAAATGTCTTTGAAAGCGATGCAATGTGTTTTTTGAAATGGCTATTAGATTCACCAGTACTTGTCCCGAGTAGATTGAAAATTTTATAATTTTACAATTTCGTATGTAATATCTTTTTAACGAAAGGTTATCGGATTCTTTCTAATTTAAAACATACTCCGTAAGAATTTATAATATTTTCTTAAGAGTATAATCAATGATTTGTAAAGTTTTGTTGTATGAATTATTTCTATGAGGGTTGAATTAAAATTGTACAATACTAGCTTTCCGCCCTCAGCGTATAGACTATAGACTATAGACTGACTATAGGCCAGGCTACATGTAAAATTCTCTCCGTGACTTTATAAATTAGGTATATACAGGGTGACTGGTGAATTACTATCGATATTTGAGGACGTGATATTTGACGATCATATATGACAAAATAAAAATTAATATAACATAAATATTAATAAACTTCTTAGTAAAGTTGACCAAAAGTTATGTAATTAATTACGCATCGTGTGAACACCCTACAGATTAGGTATACACTGACACTCACACATACGCGTGTCGTGACGTGGTGTTGTGTCAGCACGCCGCCGCACGCGTCCACACTTGAACACTTGGAACGTGTCAACACTTTACTTATTCAGGGTGACTGGTGAATTACTATCGATATTTGAGGACGTGATATTTGACGATCATATATGACAAAATAAAAATTAATGTAACATAAATATTAATAAACTACTAAGTAAAGTTAACCAAAAGTTATGTAATTAATTACGCATCGTGTGAGCACCCTACAGACTAGGTATACACTCACACTCACACATACGCGTGTCGTGACGTAGTGTTGTATCAGCACGCCGCCGCACGCGTCCACACTTTAACACTTGGAACGTGTCAACACTTTATTTATTTATACGGAAATTTTGTCAAAAATTAAGTGCCTATTTTTTTTACATAATTCGAATGAGAATCATGTACCGAGTATTCTCCTTAAATATTGATAGTAATTCACCAGTCACCCTGTTTATACGGAAATTTTGTCAAAAATTAAGTGCCTATTTTTTTTACATAATTCGAATCAGAATCATGTACCGAGTATTCTCCTTAAATATTGATAGTAATTTACCAGTCACCCTGTATAATTCACTACATTAAGTTAAAGTTCCAACAATTTTACACGAATGTTCTTAAGAACATGTTTTTCACCAGTTAAGACTTTAACCCATTTGGCGCCTCTGTACCCGATTGTGTACACCTAATCAATTGAAGGTAGATAATCACTTTACTAACCTATATTTGTTTTTATCGTCTCATAATTAAAAATGATAGTTTGAGCATAAAAAAAATTACAATTTATGTGGGTATATTCATAAAATCTGTCACAGTAAGGCTATGAACTTCGCGATGTAATCGTTTGTCGAGGTAAGTTCGCTGATACATTATTTTTTTATATTACATAACCTAAATTTCAGATATATTTATGTTTCTTGTAGTCAACATCCTTATTCGTAAAATCAATAATAAAAGAGTATCTTACAACAAGTATTTACAAAGAAATCGTACTTGAAATACAACTGTACTCGATTGCGTACAGCGGCCGAATCCATATAACGATTGCGCTTATTGTTCTAGTATTTCGTTGCCATGAATTCGAAATATTCTAGCGTTTCTAACTGTTACAAAGGATCAGAGTCAATGCTGTTTTGGATGAGAGTGACAGTGAAGGGGATTACGACTGTTATACAGCCAGATCTCAGCATCCTTACAGATGAAGAGGAAGGTTTCGACGAAGACATGGTTACCGCATCTTTGCCGCGGGATGTGCCTGGCAATATTGAGTTTCTTAGAGCTAACGAGGACAACATTTTAAGTGACGATAATAGGAGGAATCATTAGCTGAAAAAGAAATGAAAAGGCGAAAGCAGCTATGTCAGCCTGTATGGCGTAAATGTTCCCCTACATAATCTTCGGCGACTGAAGAAAGAACTGATATGCAAGAAAGACAGGAGGCAGAAAAAGAATAACTCGGAGAACTTAGTCCCGTACAGATATATGAATAAATGTTTGATGAAGAAGTTAATTACGAATACAATTGAATATGCTAATCAAAATAGCAGACATACTTTTCAACTGGACTCCAATGATTTGAATAGGTTCATAGGTATATTGATACTTTTTGGTTATCATAAAGTATCCAGGGAAGATTTGTTGGTTTATGTCAAAATAGCCAAACATATACCTACTAAAATATGGGGGGAGTCGATGAATTATACCAATCGATTGCACTGTATAAGATTGCTGTTCACGAAAAAAGTGGCGGTGGGTTCATGCAACATTACAAGGTTTAGCTCAAAATAGTGTAGAGCACTATCCGAAAAGGTTACAAAATCATTGCGATGTGTTGTTTGTCAAACAAGAGTTCGTTGGCATGCATAAAGTGTGTAAAAACATTATGTTTTGAAAACCAACGTTTTGAAAAATTTCACCTATAATAAGCCGCTGTACTCAATTGTGTACACCCTTCTCCTGAAAAGCCTGATTTTCTTTTTCAAAATATTATTTTATTTTATGTTTATTTGACCCATAGCCAACAAGAAAATAAATGTTTTGTAAAAATACTACTGCTGTTTTAATTTTGGCGGTTAATGGGTTAATATTAAATTATTATTCAAAACCATATTTCCAAATGATAAAATAAAATATTTTAATTACTTTTTATTGACGTTATTAATATTAAGTACAGTCACAAAATTATATCTGTGTCTATAAAAATTGTGATAAACATTTCATACGCGTAATACTGTACACGTTTCACCTGTTTAGACTTTAGAGACAGATAACTGAAAAATATTATACATATATAAAATATGTATAATTTACACACAGAAGTAGTACACGTAGTATAAAAACGCTTCTGAATTTTGTCGTAGATGTTTTAATTCCGCAAAAAAGTTAATCCCGCCGCATTACCTTTTTATTGAAACCTAAAAATATCTCGCGAACGTTATCTGTGTGACGTTATCTCAAGGCGAGATCTGTGTCGTCGGTGGCTTGTGTGAGTGGTGCATCCTTCCTCCGCCCGCGCCATACATACAACCACTACCCTGACCATCGGAAACCTGATAAACTACGCTTAAAAATTAACGAAACACTAAAAACCTAAATGACATTTGATAAAAGCCTATTTTAATAACATCACAGAACACGTGTAAAGATGTCGCAATGTCTGAGATGGAAAATTGCTTTTATAAGTCGCTGCTACTTATAGAAATCAAGTCAGTCCAGTCCCATTTACCAGTAGTTTAATGTGAAACAGGGCTCTTAGAACTATGATTCGTATTTAACATTTCTATCTCTGTATACATATATTATGGTTGTATTGATAATTTTGTTCGCTGTATTTTTTGCGTTTTATACGCGTGTTAGGGAGTTAATATTCCACTGTCTTGGCTGTTGTCATTCTGTCAAAATAACTTTACGTCAATTGCTTTAATCGGTCTCCGGCTGTGAGCCAATTATTTAGTTAGACAGCGGGGAAGTAATTCCGACATTTGAGGGCGGAAAACTCGCCGCAGGAAGACTTCCTCTTATTGAGACTCAAATGTACGCCTTTGTGAATATGTTGCGATAATCATATCCCTTTAGCTGTTATCGTTACTGATAGTGTTTCAGAGAAGTTCTGTTTAAAATTCATTTGAAATATAAAAAAAATGGATAATATTATTCACTACAATATATTCAATATTTTTTTCAACGATAATATATGAAAAACGATATATTATGAAAATGTTTTTTATAGGACTCCTGTCATATCTGGTCCGATCTTATTGAGTTTACCTTGGCCGTTTGGAGGTCAAATGGCAATTGTTAAAACTGTTAAACTGACATTCGTCAAGATTTTGCAATGTGCTTAACATGAATCGTCAGACTTTGTTAAGGATTTTCCTTAGTAATATGTCATTGGTCATCATTATCGTAAAGTCTATTTTTAAAATGTTAAGTCGTGACTGCTTATATATATATATAATTTTATATAATACAACTTCCGCGTCAGCGATAGAATTTGTTTATTTCGTAATTGTTGACAATGATTACTGATTAGGGTCTATAAATAGAAATTTATATATACTTATTGATAATTGTTAAATGTTATGAAGGTACATGCTCATGTATTGAGAATAGCCAAAACTACCATGAAAACAATTAAAAAAAAAAACAGAATTGTACCTTTCACTGTGTTTCAATTATAATTAATACTAAAATTTTATTACTATGCTTAACACAAGTTCGTACGTCGCACTACATACGAAGCGTTTCTCGTTTAAAACTCAATAATCTACGTTAACACGATAATGTGCGTATATTATGAATGATAAACAGTTAACCTGAATGCAGTTTGAATGTACAAACTCGATGAAAGTTTTTGACACAACCATTCGTTACTCGTAGTATCAGTGAAGTTGTCATTAATAAACAAATTAAGATATAACTTTTGTGTTATAATAGTCGGTAGTGGCGCGGTGAGGGCGACGGCATGTGGCACGGCGCGCGGGTGCTCCTACTCGCGGCGCTGGGGCTGCTGGCCGTTCCTTCGGTCGCCGTCCCCTTGAAGAAGTACAACATTACAGTCGGCTACCTGCCCTCCATCAAGGGCGAGCAGAGAGACAGGCAGGGTCTCGCTATATCTGGCGCTCTGTCTATGGCGCTAGAAGACGTAAGTTGACATATAGCTAAGTACTCGTCTATTGTATGAGACGAAACTTCTCAGCATTCCATGGATTCACCGTGTGGGTGCCGGGTCCATCGCACATAAACATTATTTATATGAAGATTTATAATTTTTGTCCATGAATTCACTATAATTTGTTTGATATTTATCATTTATGAAGCTGTGATAATAGTATTTAGTTATGATATAACATTTAGTTGTGATATAAAAACAAATGTAGCAAAACCACTTTCTCTCGGTAACAATTTTCTAGTTTAATGTAACGTACATTATTGTCATTCTAATTAAGGTCGGCAAATATTTGAGAACTCTTTCACACTTGTAGAATAGTGACAAACTAGTTCTTGTTTATTTGGGCCCTAAACCAATATGCCCCGTTTGTCTTCTTCGTTATTGCTTTTTCTATATCAAGTTTATATACTTAGTCATTTTTATATACTTCTACTACTAATAATGATAATGACAATTACCTAGTTAAAACCAGACGCTAAATTTGTGAAGTAAATTCAACAGAATATTTACAAATCTATTATTAAAACCGAGTGACAATCTAGTAAAATGTCTAAATGAACTTTGTTAAATTTAAACGAATAATAAAGATTTTAAGTAATATTAATTATGAGATTACAGATTCCTTCATACGGACAGATTTTCAGTATACGAATGATATGACAAAAATAATTGGAGCAATAATAATCTCTCGCTAACTTAAACATTTCTTAATTCCCTTGGATTTAAAGAATCGTAATAAATTAGTCGTTATCCTCAGATCAACAACAGCACACAACTGCTTCCTGATGTTCGTCTGTTGTTGGAATGGAACGACACCAAGTGTGACGAGGTGACGGCCACTCGTCTGTTGACGCACATGAGCTGTTCAGGGGTCGTGGCTTTCTTCGGACCAGAGGGACGATGTCAGACTGAGGCCATCATAGCTCAGTCTAGAAACCTGCCAATGATCGCTTACGTAAGATTTTGTTTGGATTAGTCTTTTTCGACCATTTTAAAAAAGACGTGAGAATTCAGGCTAATTTTGTTCATTTTATTTCAGAAATGTTCTGACTATCAAACATCGAAGTTATCTACATTCGCAAGACTCGAACCGCCTGACACTCAGGTATATAACCCTTCTATTACATGTACTCTATTATATATGTACTCTATTTTATATAATTATGTAAGGAGTGAATTGTAATCATTTCAGGCTACGAAATCCGTGATATCTTTATTGAGGTACTATAGATGGAACAAATTTTCAATATTGTACGAAGAGTCGTGGGTGACTGTTGCTCTGACGCTGGAGAACCACGCGAAGAAGAACAATATGACAGTGAACCACCAGAGACCGGTCATTGATGGGTTCAAGTGTTGTGAAGAGAAGATGGCCTGCTGTGCTCCAGGGTTCTGGTACCAATTCATACAGGAGACCAAGAATAGGACTAGAAGTGAGTGATATTCCCCTAATAAAAAGGGCCTAATTAGTTGTGGTGTATTTATTTTATTTGTAATTCGCGAAACTGTCTTCTTATATAGATTTGTATACATATTTAAATAGAGAAGTGTCAGTCGTGGCCTAGTGGTTACAAGGCCCGCCTCTCATACACGAGGGCGCGGGTTCGATCCTGGCCAGGGCAAGTACCAATGTGATTTTTCCGAGTCATATGTACTTTCTAAGAGTATTTAGACATCACTGATTAATGCTGATTCCCCAAAGAGGGTTGATGTCAGGCAGGCGGCCGGTCGTAAAAACAATTAGCCAAAACTATTCACAACATGTAAGGCAGATCCTGGCTATAGCTGGGAAATTGCCAGGTAGAAGTAGAAGAAATAGAGTAGTATTTACACGAAAAAGTAACAACATCTTTAAGAATTTTTTGTTTTTGTAATTTTCAGTATATGTCTTCTTGGGATCGACTGCTGGTTTAATAGAAATGATGACGGCCATGGAGTCTCTGCAGCTGTTCGTGAAAGGAGAATACATGGTCATATTCGTAGACATGATGACATACAGTCCCAAGGACTCGCTGAAGTATTTGATAAGTAAGTTATTATTCGGGATTTTATAGGCTGTAATGCAACAGCATCCACTCTAGATATAAAAAAATGCATAAATAAATAGCCATGATTTAATTTCATCCATAATTATTAAGTGTTAAAAAACCCTAGAATAAGTCATTCAGTCGTCGAATTTAAGCCCATGGAGGACATTAATGTCATTAAGCTTCTAATATCGTTATTGTATATTATTTCTATCAAACGTAGAGCTTATCTTGCTAAAAGCTTAAGAGTACCAATCAAACGTCATCAGCCTATCAGAGCCCTCTGCTGAGCAAAAGTATTATAGTAAGAATACTAATCAAACACCACTGTACATTCCAGAGACCGAGGACCGTGGTTCAAAGCTAGTGTGTCACAATACTCCGGAGTTTCACAAGCGGGCGCAGTCATTACTCGTGGTGGTGTCTTCGGAGCCGGAGGGTAGCTATGAATACTTTACGAGTCGTGTGAGGATCTACAACAGTATGAAACCCTTCGAGTTCCCCCTACCAGCTGTCTTCACACATAGGTTCAATAAGGTGAGTTTCTTTGGTGGGAACTTGGCCATCGTTCATATTAAATAATCCTACTAATATTATAATTGCGAAAGTTTGTGAGTGACATACAGATATGTTTGTTACTTCTTCACGCTCAAACGGCTGAACCGATTTTGATAAAATTTTGTATACAGAAGCTGACGTCCAGAAATAACACACAGGAAAAATCCCGGAAATCCGCGGGTAACACCGCGGGTCGCAGCTAGTATACATATATATGTATAATTTAATATTGGAATTTTATACAGGGTGTATGAAAAACTATGTCAACCCTCTTAACTACGTTATCAGTATCGAAAATGTAACACAATAAAACAACTTACATTTACAAACTCTTCAATAAAAATAATAAAATTAAATATTAAATGATTATTATATGTAGAGTAACAAAATGTTTGTAAACCCTGGTATAACACGATGACACGCAATGACGTCATCACAGCTGCTGCGCTACTAGTGACGACCTTGAAGTTACTTTCACATTATTGAAAATATCGATATTTAAAAAATCATAACAATAAATAAATATTTAATATTCGTATTATTTCGATACTTATTTTGATATATCAAACATTAGTATTATGTTTGATTGTAAAACACCATTTTTAACAGAAATAGATTAGCGATTTATCCTAATATGTACAACATATGTAGTTAATTTACCTGAACAAGTTTCAAATTATAATATTTATTATTAATAAAAGTTATTTTAAATGAAATTATTTTAATGTGAAAAGCATAACTATTTATAGCAATATTGAAAATGTCGATAGAATATTTATCGATATAACAAATTTTTACACTTTCAAATCTCTATTCGAACAACTAACAGAATAGTAATAATAACGCCGGCGGCCCGTCGCCTGCGGTCAATGGTCACGCATGCGCCGTTGCGACTATGCCGTGTCTTGACCTTGTATGAGTCAGATGTTTGGAACATTTTTTCGAATAATGTCGATTTAAAACTTATTTAGCCTATGCACTGTAACTGACCTCTGCTTGATATTTTTTAAGTTATACTATTTTTTATAATAAGCTTATACTTATATGTATACATGCCTTCAAGGGTTGACACAGTTTTTCATACACCCTGTATAAAATGTATTAGTAATGGAGAAGTGTACCAGATTTTATTTCACTTATACTAATTGAACGTGATATTTCAGTATGTTTCCATCTACGCGGCGTATTTGTATGACTCAGTAAAACTGTACGCGACGGCACTACACCAAATCATAGAAGAGGAGACCACGTACAAGAATGAAACGCTTACTTATGAAAAATTACAAAGTATTGTTACAAACGGTACACATATTGTAGCAAAAATGATTTCAACCACACCATTCAATAGTAAGTTCTAATATCATGTAGATATTATATAATTTTTAAATATGTATTATAATGAAATAAGTTTCAATGCAACTGATATTTTCCAAAATACGACTTATATTTTATTATTTTTAAAATACTACGTACTCCTGACGTTTCGGTTACTTTGCAGCAATCGTGATAACGGATAGACGATCGTATGTAAACGAAAGTTATATACACCTAGTAGTTTGAAAAATATTAGTTTTATGAATACTCATGAAAGTCAGATCTAATTAATTAAGTTGTATATAACATACATATAAAATGTGGTCAATAAATAAAGTTTTTATCTGTGTAGGTGTATCCGGAATGTCCATCAGATTGGATGAACGTGCTGACTCCGAGGGTAACTTCTCATTGTTGGCTTTCAAACCAGCCAACTTTACGGACGACGAAATTAACTGCACACACAGCATGATACCAGTCGGACACTTTCAACAAAGCACTAAACTGTTTCCTGTAAGAACTCTTATACTATAAAGCTTTTATTAAAACAAGCCAAATTTCATTAAAACAGCTGAAACATTTCAAACAAATGTTTTTAGGAAGTAATTAAGTGATTGTCAATTAATGTGATGTAAATATTAAATTACGATTTTTAATTACAATCTATACTAATATTATAAAGCTGAAGAGTTTGTTTGTTTGTTTGTTTGAAAGCGCTAATCTCCGAAACTACTGGTACGAATTGAATACTTCTTTTTGTGTTGGATAGTCCAGTTATCGAGGAAGGCTATGGGCTATATAACATCACGCTACGACAAATAGGAGCAAAGATATAGTGGTAAATGTGTAAAAAACTGGAGAAATTATTTCATCTTTGAAGCCTTCCGTTGCGTGCGCCGTGAAAATATGTATTAAAGAATAATAGCTCTTTTAATGATCTAAAAAACAGTCCGCGACAGTATATGTATATCTTTTAAGATTAACTTACAAAAACCGTTTTTATGGTACCTAATTTGGTCGAAATAATTTGTTTAAGTTGTATCAACATAATAATATTAATCTTTATTCAAATAAACAAATAAATATGTTGTTGGTTAAGAGTACTTCATTGTGAATAAAAAAAACAAAGGTTTTATCCTGAAGATTGTACGGGAACTCGACCATTCCGAAAACCCCACAAGAACGGGAACTATGTGGGAAGAACCAAAAATCTGCCGGAAGTCACCATTCCACGCGGACGAAGTTGCGGCAAAAGCTAGTTGTTAATAAAATATTACATATTATATAATTACAATTCTTATAAAAGTGCTTGGAATATTCTTTAAATTTGACAATTTATATTTTATAAACAATTAATCTAAATATAAAAATGTTATACTTTTTTTTGTTGTAATATGTTTAAATAGATTTTTCATACATTAATTATTATCGTTCTCCCCACATTAGAGGTAAAATATGTGTATAATTCATTAATAATCGTTTACAGGAATATAAATTGAATTCCAAACTACCAATCGACTGGCCGGACAGCGTGAAGCCGGAAGATGAGCCCTCCTGCGGGTTTCTCAACGAGAAGTGTCCCAAAGACGATTCACAAATAACATCGTTAGTAGTGGCCGGGACACTGGGAGTGACTTTGTTCTGCGCCTTGGTGGTCACTATCAGTATATACAGGAAGTGGAAGATAGAGCAGGAGATCGAAGGGTTACTGTGGAAGATCGATCCACAAGATATAGACGGATACTTGGGCAGTGGACTCATCTGTTCACCGAGTAAGGTAAATATATTAATAAATGATAAATAATTTATTTAAACTAACAACCCTCAAGCCATCTATATAAGGAGCGCCATTACTGAGAATCGGACACTTTTTGTTCTTAACTATTGTCAAGGGAAGAAATTCTGCCCTAATTAGTCTCGAATATTAATAAATTGTCCATTGGCCGGCGAACGTTTGTTTTTAAAAATCATAACGTGTTTTTTATTTCTAACAATATTAATAATGATGTAATTGTAAACAGATTTTTCATCAACGAGCTTATTCTCTTCTCAGTAAATCACGACATACTCGATATACATTTCTTGGGAGTTCATGAAAACGAAGTTATCTATCATTTATGCTATTTTGGATCTATTGTGTAAATTTGAATGTCAGTTGATGTAATTTAAATTTCACCGATACTTAAATATAAATTGTGATTTTTTATTCATTTCTTTATTGTTAATTAATAAATAATATTATTACTGTATACATGTAGTGTCCGATTAATGATTCCGAATTTAAATGTTTTCAGTTAAGCGTAGCCAGCGGCATATCATACGAGAGCAAAGGTTGGACGCAAATCTTCGCGCCGACGGCACAGTATAGAGGGAATATGGTCAGGATAAAAGAACTGAAGTTTACTAAGAAAAAGGTTAGTAATGAACTATTATTTAAAAATTACGAAATCTTTATATTATAATTCTTCTGGGAGTGTGTATGTCACTGAACTTCTCTCAAACGACTGGACCGATTGTGATGAAATTTTTTGTGTGTGTTCAAGGGGATCTGGGAATGGTTTAGATTCACAATTTTGTCCGCTGGACAATGTTTTTTAATTAATTTTTAATTTATTAGTAGTTGTTGATACAAACGTTTTTTTTGACATTAGATTTGACAACTAACTAATATGTCAATCATTCTGTCGCACTTCAAAACACGGAGATTTATGGCCTTAATAGGTAAACTCTAAAAATATAAATAAAAACAGTAACCGAACATTTCTTGATTATAGGGCGATACGAAGTTCGCCAGGTCTTCTATTATGTTTATAAATTTTCTAACAGATTTTGATTTATAAATTTTCATAGGTCGTCATTTATTTCAAGTTCTATTAGTGTAGTGTTTGGTATATTGATGATTATGTATATATCTGTCGCAGGACATCTGTCGCGAGGTGATGAAGGAGATGCGCCTCCTTCGAGAGCTCCGTCACGACAACCTCAACTCATTCATCGGCGCTGTAGTGGAGCCGCTCAGGGTGTTGCTCATCACTGATTACTGCGCAAAGGGTAGCTTGTATGTATGTATTAAAATTTATATACCGACTTTATATCAAAAACTCCATTCACAACAAGAAGCTACTTACAAACATGAAATATTTTAACTAATGTAAAAAGAAAGTTTTTACTCCTCCTGAGTTTCTTTCGCCGGTTCTTCTCAGGTCAGGGTATTTTCTTTTCCGAACCGGTGGTAGTGTCTCAAGTGACCATCAATAAGAAAGTGTAATGCTTCTATATTGAATAAAGTTATTTGAGTTTGAGCTTGTTAAGCACAAATGCATATCAACAAGTTTAAAAATACATAATAGATTTCATTAATGATTGTCGTTGCATTTCATCAATTCTCAGACAGATTTAATATTTTTTAATGACAATTTTACTTTGAATAGAAAATAAATTTGTTACATTATAATATTTTGTATGTCATATTGTTTTTCTTTTCTAGGATATAATAGAGAATGAAGATATCAAGTTGGATAAGATGTTTATATCTTCATTGGTTCATGATCTCATTAAGGTAAAGTGTTTTATGGTTTTATTTTTTATTTTTAGAACTAACACTAAAATCATTAGGATATACCATTGTATAATATACATATTGTTCCATGTATGTTTCTTAGCTAGTCATCACTTAAGTCTTATTTTCGCAACCTTGAAGGGCTATCAACCTTCTAGTAAACAGTTATCAATTTATTTATAACATCTTTTGTTTCGTCAACTCATATGAATCATGTTGCATAAAAGAAAATTATTTTTGTTCAACAAGTAGGTTATATTAGTGTTGATTCATACAGTGTTCGATGTGTTTTCAGGGTATGATTTTTATTCATTCCTCGCCGTTAGTTTTCCACGGGAATCTCAAGTCCTCGAATTGCGTTGTTACTTCACGTTGGATGTTACAGGTATGAACTAAAAATATATATTTTTAGTAAGAGAAGATTACGAAATTTATTCTTTCTAAGAGATGCATGTGTTGAGTGATTAGTTATTTTTATGTTTCAGGTATCTGATTTTGGTTTGCATGAATTGCGATGTTGTGCTGAGAACGAATATATTGGGGAACATCAATACTATAGAGGTGAGTATATAAATAAATAAAAAAAATTGCTATATAAATAAATAATAAAAATTTATATCCCTACTAATATTATAAACGTGAAAGTTGTCTCTGTCTGTCTGTCTGTCACTCTTTCACAAATAAACCACTGAAATGATTTTAATGAAATTTGGTACAGATATAGAGTTGACCTTGAGAAAGAACATAGGATATATATTATCCCAGACTTTTGAAAGGTTCTCTTGGAAACGCTATATAACAGAACTCGCTGCGGGCGGAAAGCTAGTCTTTTACATAATTTCAAGATTTTTATCGTCTTTCAGGTCTGTTATGGAAGTCTCCGGAGCTTTTGAGACAACTGGGTGATCCCAATGGTACTGTGGGCTCGCAGAAAGGTGACGTGTACGCGTTTGGTATCATACTTTACGAAATAATCGCTAGAAGAGGACCTTTTGGATCGACGTCTTTAGAACCTAAAGGTAAATGGTTTTTTATTTGTGTATGAAAACACAAAGTCTTTAATTGAATACAGAATTAAAACAGAACAGGACCAATTAGGATTTTATTATAAAGTTATTGATTAGAAATTGACGCATTTCTCTTAATTTTATTCAGTGTTTAAGATTCTTTAAACATATGTATATATACTAGCTGACCCGGCAAACGTTGTTTTTCCATATAAAAAATAGGCGTTGGTGATAAAAAAATAAAGGTTTTTGGGTTGTATGTATTTTTAATACTACATTATAAAAAAATAAAAGCAAAAAATTAAAAAAAATAAAAATATTTAAGGGTGAAGAACCCTTATCATTTAGGGGTATGAAAAATAGATGTTGGCTGATGCTCAGACCTACTCAATATGCTCACAAAATTTCATAAAAATCGGTCCAGCCGTTTCGAAGGAGTTATCTCTTTAACACCGCGACACGAGAATTTTATATATAAGATTTCTTGTTATTCTGTATAGTATAATTGCCACTTGGGATTTAAGCCCTTATAATTAATTATATAAGATATTAATTCAAGTAACATTGTACACAGATATAGTGGAACGTGTGAAGCGCGGTCGTCGTGGCTGTGAGGAATCCTTCCGACCTGATACTCGTGCTCTGGACGTTGAGGAGTACGTGATAGGTTGTATGAGGGATTGCTGGGCCGAGGATCCTGTACTACGACCTGACTTCCCAGCGATACGCGCCCGGCTCAAGAGGATGAAGTCCGGCAAGTTAGTATATACATATATGATTATGTCACAAGGCTTCTAAAGCATCATATCTACATATATCAATATGTAAAAGCAAACAAATTAACTCAGTCTATGCCTCTGCCCTCTCACAAGGTTACTAAAGCTGCTATATTATGTAAAAGCAAACGTTATAACTCAGTCTATGCTTGCCATGGGAACTAAGAAAGTGAAGAAGCAACTTTTTGATTTGATATGGGCACAAGTATTTAATATTAATCTAACAATCTAAAATCTAAATCTTTTGAATTAAATATATATTTTTTAATTTACTTAATGAATAGTTATAATTTCTTTATGATATAATACACTACACATAAATGACGTAATATATTTCCTGTATTGAGTAGATGGTGATTACTTGGCATTTTTGTAGGTATTTATATATATAATGGCCCTTTTGTATTTTGTCACACATATTTTTTTTGTGTAATACAGCGTCCGTCATTAATATCTGATTTACTTTTCTCTCCATGTATTAAGACTATAATTTTAAAGCTACTAATAGGTAGTTACTTTTAACATAAGTTACCTTACATTTAAAATTAATATTTATGCCTTACCAATGCATATACATCGTTATTAACTTAGTAATAATGTACGTTTCAGGTCTAGGAACATAATGGATCAAATGATGGATATGATGGAGAAGTACGCGAATAATTTGGAAGAACTAGTCAATGAAAGGACCAGGCTGCTGTTTGAAGAAAAACAGAAGACGGAAGACTTACTGCACAGAATGTTGCCAGAGTGAGTCCATACACTTGTATGTTATGTGCCGCCATACATATTGTACTTAATATTAGACACGTCCACATTAAATTATTGTCGCCTGATTTAACATTTCGATGTGGCTTTATTAATATATTATGTGTATGTTTAATGTTTAACAAGCTCCCTATCATACGTTATGAAATCGCTAAATAGTAAATATGTAAACATTTTGGACATAGTCGAATCATCTATCCATGTTATTAAAAGGAATTTGATTAAAAATATCACAGATGTTGAAATAAGTGGTGAATGCTTATTAATTTGATATATTGCACGTTATAAATGTTCGGAGTATAAAAGATTTATATAATTTAATTAATACCAAGACCCGATAAATAATTCCTTTTTGCATGTACGGCGTTTGTTAAACGAGGTGATGTTATGTAACTAATGTAAGTATATCGATGTATATTAATGAAACACAACAGGGAGACGCAAATACAACAAGCCGCATCGCTTCCCGCCGACTGCAGCGGTGTGCACTGGTTTACATTCAGTCCAGATATATCGTTACATACTAGCTGCTCCCCGCAGCCTCGCGCGGACTCGGATGTTGATTTAACATTGAATTTAACAATAACCTGAGCTACCTCTCTGTATAGTTTCATACAAATTTTTTTGGTAGTTTTCTTTGTTGACCAATAAACATCCGTACATCAATTCCACACAAATTTTCCCATTTTATTGATAGTAAGATTAGAATTAATTCATTGGGCGTACTATTATAAATTTCTCCTGAAACATGACGCGATAAAAAATTTGGTTATATGACATAGAATGGTTCATTGATTGTGTTTAGTAATCGAGTTTAGTTTAACTAAGAATCCTAAACGGCTTTCAAAGAAGATCCTTGAAATAATCTGGAAAATTTTCTAATTTGACCTATATTCGAAACAATTTAAAGATTTTGAGTCGTTAAATTCATAAGGATTACGTTTGTACCATCGAAATGGACTAGATGTAAAGCAGTGGTACATGCTCTCGTGATGAAAGGAAAAAAAAAGATATAACTGTATTCACTTTGTTGTACTTGTGTTCTTTTCCAGATGTGGGGGTTGAATCCATTATAGAAATGTCGTGAAAATGTCTTGAGGTAATTAACTCTCTACTGGTGATAGTAGTTAATATGGTCTGTTCGCTGTAGGTGCGGGAACATCGCTTCGTCTCAGTGATGTGTCGCGGTTACTAACATTATAACATAGTGCTTGCTTTGAAACCGGTCATACACATTCCTTACCCGCAGTATGAGTTTCTATTGTCAACCTTGAAAAATACCTTTTTATACTACATTTCGTACTGAAAAACCTGAAATCGGTTTTTATTCAGGTTTACGAATGTAACTCCTACTAAAGGTACTGGTCGGTGTTGGACGCTTACATGCGATTTATCATAGTTATTTAGTTTGTAGTGGCAGTTCTGGTAATTAAATGTGACGGAGCATGTTTTAATATTATTATTTTCTATACGATTGATGTATATTTTCAGGTGTTTGTGTATTAAATATTTTGGCAATCGTAAGAATGCCAGTTATTACTGAAAACGATTTTATTAATTATGATTATTTTATGAGTTTTCTAGATTCTTAAGTACATGATATATTTTGCTTATTCTAATTCGATTGTAGTAGAATTATCATTTCGCATGATAAGTAGATAGTAGAATAGATTTTAACTTTTTTATATTCCTTTTATATTTTGTATTGTGTTTTGGCACATTTGCAGTATATAAAAAAGGCGATGCAAAATACGTATATAATTTTGTTCCAGGTCGGTCGCTCATCGGTTGACTACAGGCGAGGGTGTGGAGCCGGAGTCGTTTGACTCTGTCACTATATACTTCAGTGACATAGTCGGCTTCACGGCCATGTCCGCTGAGAGCACTCCGCTACAGGTCGTCAACTTCCTAAACGATCTGTACACGGTGTTTGACAGGATCATAAGAGGCTATGACGTGTATAAAGTTGAAACTATAGGGGATGCTTACATGGTGGTGAGTGAATACTTAAATATAATAATCAGTACGTTGATACAAAAATAATTTGGTATTTTTTGTTCCCTGCATAAACCTGGAACGTAAGAATTTCCATGTTTTTAGAGTAGTTTGGATGTGACGTTTTTTTTATGATAAAATTGCCAATTTCCAGGTATCTGGCCTTCCAATAAGAAATAACGATAGACACGTCGGTGAAATAGCATCAATGGCGTTGGAGCTCCTCAACGCCGTGAAAACTCACAAAATATCTCACAGACCGAACGAAATATTGAAATTAAGAATAGGAATACACACAGGTGCAGACTTCTTTATTATAAACAACTAGTAAACCTGGCGAACTCCGTTTCGCCACCAGAAGGCTTTTATATAACATTTCGTTTGGTGATTAAAAGATGAAGAATTTTTTGTTTTATATTTGAAAAGGAAAATTTTTATTTCTTTTCACAACAGTAATGAATTCATTTAGATTACAAAAATGAAGTGTTATTTAGTTGAACTTCTCTAAGTAAATGAAAGTGAATCCAAAGTAGATACCGAATCGAAGCGTTATCCGTGTCCGCAAATTATCCGTTTCATTGAAGTGCTCCTTTGTAAACCACATTTTTTGTTTTTTGGTCTAACTTTAACACAAATAAAGCGTATGGTTTCCAAACTCGTGAATATACAAAATATAACTGCCCATGTGAAAAACAATGATTTTCTAAATTTATCCCGCAAATACTAAATGGTTTTAAGAGTTCAAACTACAAACACATTACCTAAATATTTTTATTTTTATATAGTAGATTTCTTACAAATATCTAATTGTCATCCATACGTCATTACATATCTGTCATTATACGTCAATTGCATAGCTGTCAATTGTGTTATTCCACGTTTTATAGTGACTGACGTTTCATGTCAAGTCCCACGGGAATGCTGTCGAACGGGATAAAAAGTATCTTATTGCAATTTCCTGGTTCTAAACTGCCTGCCAATTTTCAGCTGAATCGGTTCAGCCGTTCTTGGGTTATAAGTGAAGTCACTAACACGACTTTCTTTTATATACATAGATTTAAAGATATTCATAACCTTATAAAAATACTAGCTGCGCCCCGCGGTGTTACCCGCGGATTTCCGGGTGTAAAGTAGCCTATGTGTTATTGATGGACGTAAGCTTCCTGTATACAAAATTTTATTAAAATCGGTTCAGCCGTTTGAGCGTGAAGAAGTAACAAACATAGACACACTAACAAACTTTCGCAATTATAATATTAGTAGGATTTAAAAGTCACGGATTTGTTTATCCAGTTTTCATTGACCTGTACTGTAATATCATCGTTGTTAATAATGGTGTATGTGTAGGCGCGGTGGTGGCTGGTGTGGTTGGTCTGACCATGCCTCGCTACTGTTTGTTCGGCGACACAGTGAACACGGCTTCCCGTATGGAGTCCAACGGGGAGCCTCTGCGCATACACATCTCCCCCAGCTGTAAGGTAGCTCTGGATAAACTGGGCGGGTACATCGTGGAGCCGCGAGGCACTATACCTATTAAGGGCAAGGGACAGGTGTGTTTATGGAACTATGTATATTCGATTTATATAAGGCTAAAGTATTGTGCCAAAATTAAATTATAATTATTTATTTTCGATTTGGTTAATTTATTGATAGTTTTGTTGCTTACAATGTTTATAGTAGATTGCTGTGATGTAATAATTTTTATTGGACTTTTCTTGAGTGTGCCCATTATTGAGGATATATAATTATTAATTTACTATAATGTGTTTAGTTGCAAACTTTCTGGCTGGTGGGCGCAACTGAGAAAGCTATTCAGAAGCGGCCGGTGGAGGGTGAGGAGCGACCTTTGTTCTGTCGACCGAGACGAAGTCCACGTTTGACTGATTCTAGACATCCCTCTATCTCTGGTATATTTTTTTATCAATACATATCAATTATTGTGCTACATAACGAGTTAGTTTTCCCTTGTTGATTTCTTTTTTTGGTGCATTTTGGTATTTGAATTACATTAATGTAAACGGCTTATGCATTTTTTTGCATGTCTGTTTGAAATGACGAAATGAATATTACGAATCATAATCGCACTCGTAACTATACATGAATAGAGTTCAAAATGAAACAACCCAATGCTCCTATTTATATTTTTGCTACAAAATAAATGCAAAAGCTTAGTCTTGCATCAATATAACGCCGTTGACTACGAATTTCTGTTTGATATTAATGTTCCATTAAAATGAACTGACCATTCGTTTGTCTTCGGCTGTTTTTTGCTATTCTGAGAGTATGCTAAGCGTTCATGTGTGGGTTGCGCAGAGCTGAAGCCGCTCGTACGACGCGCCGCGCTCGCCGCTCACGCCGCCAACACCAAGTACGTATGACGACACAGTTATTAACACGCTTTATGAATCATTCATGACCTGACTTTGATTTACTCCTGGCTTACTGCTCATTGATAACCGACTGATTGTATAGATTGCATTTCTTCTGAATTAGGGTTGAGTTAAATAACACAAATGAATGTTCTCAACGTTGTTTCTCAGGCGAGCATTGAGTTCCATCGCGTCGTCGACGGCGTGCGAGGGAGCGGGCGCCATGTGTCCGGAGTCGGGTCCGCTGTCCTGTGTGTCGGCGGGTGTGGGCGCCGCGCTGCGTCCCGCCCGCTCGCTGGACGTGCTCCCGGCCCGCGAGCGTCTCCGCCGGCACTACACGACCCGCTCGCTCGACGTGGACGTGGCCATCGCGACCGTCTCCGCGTCCCTGTACAACGGCGCCGCCCTCGTCCCTCCGGACGAGCCGCCGCGCGCCGACGAGGACAGCCCGCTGCTGCGGCAGGCGAGCCTCTGCAACAAGCTGGACCGCCCCAAGCGCAAGGTGCCCGACTCCGACTTCATAGAGTTCTACAAAAAGTGGCGCTCGCTCGAGAACGTCGCGGACTCGAAGGGGGCCAAGATCCCTCGTTTCGCGATCCGCTCGTGGCTGCGCGGCATCTTCGGCGGCGGGGGCGGCGCGCGCAGTACGTCCTCGTCCCTGCGCCGCGCGCCCCAGCTGGTCGACCGGGAGTCCGCCGTCTAGCGACCCCCCACCCACTATGTATATTGCGTTATATGTATATGATATGCCGTTGTAAATAATACGTGTAAGTAAAACGATGTTACCGTCAATTGTGAAATAAGAGTTTAATGTTATTAAATAATTTCTATCGAACGAGGTCTCTCAATAATACTGACATAGATCACATTACGCTAAAGATCGCCACTCCTCACTAAACGCAACACTAGAGTTCCGATCGGTGAACACGGCGAGGGTTTAACCGTCGGCAAGGAGCGGGACGGCGGCGGGGTCGCGGACAGGCACCACCAGCCGGATGTCCCCGGCCGCCTCGATGACGGGACACGACACGCTGGACGCGTGATCCCGCAGAGGAGCCTCCAGGAGAGCTGGCCGGCCACCCTCGCCAACCACCTACACATACAAATACAAAGTTTTTTTGATTGTATCAATAACCATAATAGAACGAAGTAGCCTCACTTTTAGAGTAACGTGGAGAAAAGGTGTCAAAAGTTTATTAGAATAAAGAATATGTTATCGTGTTTTTACTTTTTCACACAACGATCAAGTATAGACATCTGTATCTGTTCTGATATTTTTAACAAAGATGAGGATTTATATTTATGTAAAATTTAATAGTACCAAGAAGCAATGACCGAGATAGAGATGAAATAAAGTAATCTGTCATACCTCCATCAAATATTCATCACTCCTATGATGTAGGACGCTGTCCGTGTGCGATTCTAAATGACTGCCCGAAGCAAATCTAAGTTTCTTTGGAGATTCTAAACTGCAACATCTGTCAAGAAATTTATAATATTATTGATCAATTAGAGATTATATTTTATGTTTTAAATATTTTTATGTAGTAAATGTTTTTGTTATTTAGTTACAAGTCACCGAATAAATAAATATACATATTTATACTTAATTAAAATTTAGTTTCTACTTGACTGTAGCTGGTAACCCTATTGGCTTTGACAAGCGTCAGGGGTGTTCATTAAATCAGTCAGTGGAATTCGTGATAAGTGAACGCTGGCTATTGGTGATATGATGATTTCGCACAAATTTAGTACAGTCGTATCGAAGGCCAAGTACATAATCACACAGCCCCAATACTAACCGATGCAGGCTGCCCTGGTTGTTCCAGTTGCGCGCCTTGAGTGAGCTCCGCGTATGTTGTTGCGTTGCCTGTCTCCTTGCGTGAGGCTCCTCGCCACACACCCACCACGTCAGCTGGTCCCGCTTGCCCTTCATCGACACCACGCCTCGCTCCTCCAGAATGTACCCTCCCAGCTGATCCAATAAAGACTTGCACGCGCCGCTGCAGTGGATCTTTGAAGCTATAGAAAAAAAGTTTGAGATATTCTTAAAGTCGGGACACTATCTAGCTATTTGTGTATGCTTTAGTATAATTTTAACTTAACCCAAAAAAAAAAGAATTTCATAGGTACTGCATAAAACGTAATAACCGTCTTAATAATGTTATACATATATTCAAATGTAATATATTGTTTATATATGTTTGTGCTTTAATATTGGACAATGTTCTTTATGAAATTATTAGCAATTATGATGAGATGTTGAGAATAATAAACACGTCAAAGATAAATGTTGAGGAATTGATAACTTACGAACTCCAGTAGATTCGAACCGACTCGCTGTGTTAACGGTGTCGCCGAATAAACAATAGCGGGGCATCTTCAAACCGACTACACCAGCACAGACAGGACCTACACACAGTATATATTATGATATAGTAGAACTAATCACTCACATAGAAGTCAGTATACATAATAATATATATAGCAATTATTTTACATCGTTAATCCTTACATTAATTGTAAAAACTTATATTACAATAAATGCAAAGGTATAGTTATATAGATAGAGTTCTACAGCCAATGAAACAAAACATTGAAAAAGACTCAAATCTTATTAAATATTAAAGTATTGTTACCGGAATGTATTCCTATACGGAGCAGTAACCTCTGTTCTGGTCGATGTCTCACACGGAAGGATCTGGTAGCGGCGAGTAGCGCCAACGCCATGGACGCCACTTCGCCTGCGTGGCGGATGCCGTTACGAATTGGCAACCCTGACACCTGGAATGTATAAAAAAAAAGGTTTATAGACATATTGAAAAGGACAAGTCGAATTTTTCTTGTAATCTAGATTAGCTTTTTAAAGTAAAACTTCTTTACGTAAACTTGACTTGGGTGTAAGCTGGTGAATGCGTGACGAAAGCGTTACGAAAAGTGTGATCGGGTGAGGCGAATGAAAGTGAGAGGGAGATATAAGTTAGTGAAGATAGATAGAGTGCTACGATCTGTAGGGGCGAGGGAGAGAACACTTTTTCTCGCTTCCTTTTATAGCCGGTGCATGAAATATATGTATATTTATATTTCAGTCAGTTGATCTTTTTAGTTTTCTCTAGATATCTTTTTAATCTTTATTCGAAAACATGTGTCTTATTGCTCATATCATGTGCCTATTGTTTCGGTCTTACAATCAAACACAGTAATTACTGATGTATCCGTTGATGAATATTATGAAAATAATATATAAAAAGAAATATCTATAAAAATATTAATTCATCAATGATAACCCATAATGGATTCAAGTATTTGTACAAAATGTATATATTGTAACGCCATGCCATAAGTGCCATGCCATGCCAAGCCCAGCCAAGCCACCGCCTGAGCCAGGCGCAAGTATTGCCATGACAGTATGCCGCCGAAACTGTCTTAGCCAATCACAGAGCTTAGCCAATCATAGCGTTTGACCAATCAGCGAGAGCGTCAGTGGCGTCACCTCGTTTAATTTTGGAATTGCAGGGGGATTGAGAGAAGATACCCTGGAAGGAAAGGATCTCTCTCGTGACGGAGTGCTAGAGGAATCTCTGATAGTGTACCTACGGGATTGTGTGAAAAGTAATAAACGCCAGATTAAACTAAAGTGTGTATAATTATTGTCCTCCCGTTTCACTCAGAAGTGGGATATGAAGCGCAGTCGTCCTAACGAAGCTGGGTGTAGTGTCCGCCCTCCAGGATGGAGCGAAAATCAAGACGATAGTGACGAGGAAGAAAATAATTCACTTCCACCTGCAAGGAAAATATTGAAGTCATTGTTAGAAAATGAAGTCGAAAAAGCAATTTACAACCTTAATGACGACACTATTTCGTTCAACCACGTCAAGAGAGTCATCGTGCAGCATCCCTTATTCCCGAATTCGATCCCGATGGTGAAGATTGCACCGTAACTTCGTGGTTAAAGAAGATTGATCAATTAGGAGACATACATGGGTGGGACGAGAAAATCAAAGCTTTTTACCTGCAGGATAAATTACGTGGTCAAGCTCGCAAATGGTACAACAGACTTGAAAACTACGATTACTCCTGGGCCGAATGGAAACATATGCTGGTACGAGCCTTTCCAAAACATCGCGACTTTAGCCTACTATTAAACGAAATGATGCAAAGAAAGAAGCTACCAAACGAGACGATGACCAAATATTATCAAGACAAAATTGCTATGTGCTTCCGTTGCCATTTATCTGATAGTGCTAGTGTATCGTGTATCATCAGAGGCTTACCCGTATACCTACAACCGAATGCCCGAGCGTTTCAATGCCAACGTCCTGATGAGTTATATGAATCTTTCCTCTGTGCTCTTGATGATTATCATTCTCCCACATTTGAACCTCGGATGATGACCAAAGACACGAAACAATCGTCGAGTTCGGATAAAAAAGTCAATCCTGAAATTGATCCTTGCCCCCGTTGTAAGAAGACCGGCCACATGTTGCGCAACTGTACATTACCGGATCAACGTATTTGTTTTAAATGTGGTCAACAAGGACACATCGCCACTCGCTGCTCCGGCACTTCGGCTAGCAACTCCAGACGTTCTATGGAATCAAATGACAACATTAAAGAGGTTAGAATGGTGCAAAACTACAACGAAATCTACAAAAAGGTAGCAAAGGTGAATGGAATTTATATTAAGTCTTACATTGACACCGGGAGCCAAGTTAACGTTATAAATGTCCAGATGGTGAGTCTCTTGTCGCTCGATGTTACACCTACAAGTACACGGCTCAAAAGCTTTTCAGGTGATTTTTTGACTAGTCGTGGAGAATTTGAGTTAGAAATTGATAATATTCACATACAATGCACGGCACATGTGACGGAGGCCGACATGCAAGATATTCACCTACTGATTGGCCAACCCGTTATCAATGCAGAACATGTATCGTTAGTAGTCACTAATGGGAGAGCCACATTGACTCGGAAAACAGATGTCTCGCCAGAATTCGATGTCGTCGAAGACAAGAATAAATTTATGGTTACTACATTGAACAAGGAGTCTTTACCGCCTGGTGCCTCCATCATTAAGGTTAGGGTGGTCGGTAATGGAGATGGGAATGAAGTTTGCACCACACCACGCCACTACGAACTCCATGGTGTCTCATATTCTCTACCGGCAACGTTGCTTCAAGGCGGAGAGGGTTACATGAAGGTGGTAAACAGTGGTACAGGGGACGTCAACTGGGAAGCGGGCCAGGTTCTAGCGCGTGCCGAGAGCTGTCATGAAGTAGCCAACCAGCCAACTCGAGTAAGCCAAGCCAAACCATTAACAAATTTACTTAAAATCATGCCAAATACGCCCTACTTAGCCAAAAGCTCACCTGAATCAAAATCTATAGCTCCTATTTTGAATACAGACGATCTTTCTAGTTTAATCATAGGAGGAGTACCTATAAGTGAAATTAGTGTAGGAAAGTTAAATGAAGTCGAACATAGTAGTTTGATACAATTACTATTGCGATTTAAGCACACTTTTGCGGCAAATACTAGAGATCTCGGTTGCACAAAACTGTTAGAAATGAAAATAAAACTTACGACTCCACAGCCAATATATCGTCAACCTTATAGGTTATCGCATGCTGAGCAGCAAATTGTCAATTCTAAAGTTCGTGACCTACTAGATGCCTCTATCATTAAAGAGTCGGAATCGAGTTACGCTGCTCCAGTTATTTTAGTTAGGAAAAAGAACGGCGACAGTCGGTTATGTGTCGACTATCGTGCCCTCAATAATGTCACAGTAAAAGATAGATATCCTCTCCCTAATATAGAAGACCAGATTTCTAAATTAGCCGGTAAAAAGTATTTTACAATTTTAGATATGGCACAAAGTTACCATCAATTATTATTAGCTCCCGAAGACACCCATAAGACAGCTTTTATTACTCCTCAGGGTCATTACGAATACTTACGTGTTCCTTTTGGATTAGCGAATGCACCCTCGGTTTTTATGCGTCTCGTAAACAAAATAGTCGATTCCATCCGTTATACGTCAGATGGCAGCTCCTCGAATGAGATTTTAGCATTCTTAGACGATTTATTACTTCCCTCTATTGATATAAACAGTGGCATAAAAATGTTAGAATCAGTATTGCGAAAGTTCGAATCTGAAAACTTAAAACTAAATATGCAAAAATGTTCATTTCTTCAAGACAAAGTCACTTACTTAGGAAACGAAATTACTTCAAAAGGTGTTCAACCCTCAGATTCAAAATTAGATGCCGTTTCAAAGTTCCCTGTGCCTAAAAGCGTTCACGAGGTACGCCAATTTATTGGCCTCTGTAGTTACTTCCGAAAATTTATAAACAAATTTGCAATTATAGCTCGTCCTCTGACAGAACTAACTAGGAAAAATGTGCCTTGGGTATGGAGCGATAAACAGGACGGTAGTTTTAAGGAGTTAAAAAAGCGTTTGTGCTCTAAACCTGTGGTAGCATTATATGATCCGACACTACATACAGAAATACATACCGATGCGTGCAAGTTAGGAGTCGCAGGTATTTTGTTACAGCTGCAATCAGATAATACGTTGCGCCCAGTTATGTATTTTAGTCGAGTAACCTCTAAAGAAGAAAGTATTTATCATAGCTATGAGCTTGAAACATTAGCGGTAGTAGAATCATTGCGTAAATTTCGCGTGTACGTGATAGGCAAACATGTGAAAGTAGTAACGGACTGTACGGCTGTTCGTGCCACTCTTACAAAACGGGATATCATTCCGCGAATTGCTAGATGGTGGTTATCGATACAAGAGTACGACATTAGCGTTGAATATAGACCCGGCGAACGCATGAAACATGTTGATGCTTTAAGTAGGAATCCTATTGACACAGTCAATATAAATCGTCTCGAAATTGCTGACTGGTTTTATACGATTCAATATCAGGATGACAAACTAAGAAATATCATGGAGCAGTTGAAAAACGGATCGGCTCAGCCCGAGATACTCAACAATTATGAGTTGTTAGATAATAGATTATACCGTAAGACACTAAATGGCAATCGGTTAGTAGTTCCCGGACTTGCGAAGTGGAAAATTGTCCAAATGCACCATGATGATATTGGTCATGTGGGTTTAAAGCGCTGTACTGATCTAATAAAACGTGAGTTTTGGTTTCCTAAAATGTCGCGGTTCATCAAAAAGTATGTCACTTCTTGTTTACATTGTGCTTATGGGAAGGGGATATATGGCAGGAAGGAAGGATTACTTCATCCTATACCTAAGCCAACGGAACCATTTAGAATGATACATGTTGATCATTTAGGCCCATTTTGTAAGACTAAGAAAGGTTATGCGTATATGTTAGTAGTAACCGACGCGTTTTCTAAATTCGTTATAGCAGAACCTACTAGAACTATTAATTCAATAGAAACAATTAGAATGCTCAAAAGAATATTCTCATTATTTGGATATCCTGATAGGATAGTAACGGATCACGGCAAGGCGTTTACAAGCCGGTATTTCAAAAAGTATGCTTCCGAAAAGCAATTCAAACATACACTTAATGCAATAGCGTGCCCGCGTGCTAACGGCCAAGTCGAACGAACAAATAGGACTATACTCGATGCATTGCGCGCTACCGACCCTAGTGAAGCTGCTAATAACTGGTCTAATTGTTTGCCTGATATCATTTGGGGTATAAACAATACCATAAATGATACCACGGGTATTAAGCCTTACGACTTAGTGTTCGCGCGTAGTGCTAGGCCTGTGTGTGATGTAACAATACCAGGTCGTATACCTGAATCTATTCAGTCAAGGCGTGAGAAAGCTAATAAACGTATTAAAAAGGCCAGTATTAAGATAAAACGTAACTTTGATAAACGACGTAAAGCCTGTCATATTTACAAAAGAGGAGACCTAGTTTTATGGAAGAAAGCTCCTACAAGTAGTGCTGCTAAGGTTAATACTAAACTTGATGACTTATATTCCGGACCTTATATTATCATTAAGTGTATTGGTAATGACAGATACAGGATTAGAAGCATTAAGGGTCTAAGAGGTTATAAAAACTTTTACGGGTCTAGTCTCTGGCGATAGTCTGCGACCCTATCATAGCGTAGCTCCTGTATCTGACAGTGCCAGCAGTTCCGATGAGCAATTGGAGACGGAAGACTTAATTGATCTTCTGGAAAGCTAATAACCATTGCGGGAGCAATTATTGTAGGATGGCCGACTGTAACGCCATGCCATAAGTGCCATGCCATGCCAAGCCCAGCCAAGCCACCGCCTGAGCCAGGCGCAAGTATTGCCATGACAGTATGCCGCCGAAACTGTCTTAGCCAATCACAGAGCTTAGCCAATCATAGCGTTTGACCAATCAGCGAGAGCGTCAGTGGCGTCACCTCGTTTAATTTTGGAATTGCAGGGGGATTGAGAGAAGATACCCTGGAAGGAAAGGATCTCTCTCGTGACGGAGTGCTAGAGGAATCTCTGATAGTGTACCTACGGGATTGTGTGAAAAGTAATAAACGCCAGATTAAACTAAAGTGTGTATAATTATTGTCCTCCCGTTTCAATATTGTGTATTATTTACATGTCTGTATTATACATTTATAAACATATACATATTTGATATTACATATAGATGGAGGTGAAAAAGTTTTATTTCGGTCATGTGGTCTAAAGCTCACGGGTTTATTTTTTTAAACATTTTAAAATACTGGTTTGCTGCCAGTATGCTGCATTAATATTTAAACGTCTACTTTTAAAATAATTCGAGTACCTAGCTTAATTAAAACTGAAGCCCTATACTCTCTAATTGTATATTGATATTATTAAACTCACCACCATGTAGGCGTCTCCTATTGTTTCTACTTTATAAACATCAAAATTTTCTAGAATTGAATCGAAGCATGTGTACAGGTCGTTGAGGAAGTCCACCACCTGAAAAATTAAAACAGAAAGTAAGTATGACACATACAGACAGGGCTGTCTCGAACATATTTTACGATCAGAGTGTTACAGTTTAATATCGGCAGAAAATTTACATATACTAAAAATTAAAAGTTCATTTTTAATTAAAAGTTAATAAGTCAAGGTCCTTCGTAATTGTTACTGTGATTGATGATTTATTTAATTATTTTTTTAACACTGAAATTTGTACATTTTTGAGTATTAACATGTTTTTAAGTTTAGCCTTATTTATCGAAAGATCTGTGTCGTATATACTCGATTGTGAACATTAATTCACATTTCACATCATTATACATATGAATACTATGGACTAGGCTTCACTACAATTCCTTTGTGAGAATAAACTAAAAAACGGAACTTATTTGACAGCTAGACTATTAATTCTGTCGACAGTTTCTACAATTTATAGTAAAAGTTTATCTTTTAAGAACAACAAAAGAGAGTTTATATAGCAGGTCTACATTAATAAATTTTTAGCATTGATGAAACTTTGATAAGTCTAGGATGGAGGAGTTTTCATATAAACTTGTATTTGTATTATTATTGAAAATTTGACGCTATATTATTGATAGCCCTTTATAGAACTTCAGAAATACTAAATTCATAAATATTCAATAAACCACTTGAAACTTTTAGAACTTATTTTGTATAAATAGACGTTGAAAATGTATTGTTGAGGTTTTTATGGAATAATAAAGAGAAAAATTAACAATGAGAACTTTGTGTTTAATATGGATCAAATTTCTATTTAAATATATTTTGCCTGAGCGTATGTTTTGATGTGCCAAAAATTTGTAGGGTAACCGCTATTTTGAGAAACTACATGATACATACGATAATTGATTATTTGCTCAGTGGAAATAAAATACAGAAATTTTTACAATAAAAGTACAAAATGCTAAATCAGTTTTTTGTGTAAGCATAGATCATGGAATGTTCAAAAATAATTGCTGCGGACCTCATCATTACTTAGTAAGTGTTCATACCCACACAGTTGTTAAAAGATATACCTAGAGATATTCAATGATTCAAATTGAACAGGTTTAGATCCATAACCAAAATTTTATTAGGTTTGTTTCAACACGATTTATGCTCTTAGATTACAGTGTATCTTATCTATCAAACAATAATTTGGACAATTATATAGTAATGCCTACTAATATTATAAATGCGAAAGTAACTCTGTCTGTCTGTTACGCTTTGACGTCTAAACCACTGAACTGATTTTAATGAAATTTGGTACAGAAATGGAATTGACCTTGAGAAAGAACAGAATAGTTTTTATCCAAGACTTTTGAAAGGTTCTCTTGGAAACGCACTATAATCGAACTACACGCGGGTTAAGCTGCGGGTGGAAAGCTAGTATTTAATAGTTTATACGACCTGTAGCGGAGTGCTCTCAGCGGACATGGCCGTGAAGCCGACTATGTCACTGAAGTATATAGTGACAGAGTCGTAGCTCTCAGGCAGCACGCGTCGGCCGCGCTTCAGCTGGTCAGCGACGGGAGCTGGCAGCATCTCCTCCAACAACGCCTCTGATCATCAACAATACCGCTAATATTATAACACTATTCATAGATAAAATTAGAATACATATATAGAAAATGAAGATTCCATAATTTTTTTTCACATGGTCCCAAAAACCTTTACAAACTTCCACTTCCTAACAATAAAATCAACTGAAAAACGGTATATGTAATTTGAAAAAATGCAAGTGTTACCAAAAAAAAAAACTTATTTGTAAATTTAATAATCGATATGACAGTCGAGCTGTGAATTGTTAACAAAAATTTAAATGTAATCGTTATTCTAAGTTGGTTAGTGGAGCAGACAAATATTCGCATGTACGGATCGTGACCGAGAGTTTAAGTTGAAGCGTCGAGGAAGTTACGGTTTAGAATTTAAATAATGTTATATGATGATAATATTGACGACTTTACGTTCGACTTTATAAGAGAGAAGTGTGAGACGATGGAAATATGTGACTAAACGCCTGAAGATCATTAAAAAATACTTCATTTATATTTATTTTTCATTTAAATAAAACTAATATTTTCGATTACTACGTGTTTTTTATTATATTAACTGCATACTCAAGATTTTCGGTAACTAGTAAGTTTTGATCACTAGCAGACAACTATGATCACGTGCAGACGAGAAGAGAATATCATGATGAGAATGATTTGAATCTCATCTCTTAATAATCTGAAAATATTAGTTTTATTCAAACGAATACTTGCGAAAGTCTTAGATCTCATTTGTTATTTTTCTATATACCTATATCATTATAATGATTACGACTCACCTGTCTTTTTCTTTTCTTCTTGCAACTGATCAGTTCTCTCGTCAACTAAAGCTTCTAAGTTGTTCGCGTATTTCTCCATCATTGCTATCATATTATCAAATATATTTGGTTTCCTGAAAATTGTCATATATGTTCCTCTGTCATATCGACTTTATTTCAATATTGCATGATGAAGTAAGGAAAATTTTTCATAGTCAGTTAAATAATCACACTATATTTTTGTAATCTTAATGAGATTTTAGATTAGAATCCTACTAATATTATAATTGCGAAAGTTTGTGAGTGTGTGTGTATGTTTGTTACTTCTTCACGCTCAAACGGCTGAACCGATTTTGACAAAATTTTGTATACAGGAAGCTGACGTCCAGGAATAAAACATAGGCTACTCTTTTCATCCCGAAAAATGTTTGACCTGATAAACCGCGGGGTTCAGCTAGTAGTATATATTTATTTATTTATTTATTTGTTGTTTGTATATATTTGTATGTATGTGTGTAATGTGTATAATATTGGTGTTTATTCATACATGCCCTTCCTCAAAGGTCTCAGTTTAGCGCGAATCGTCTTAAAGTCCGGTCTAAGGGCGGGATCCTCCGCCCAGCACTCCGTACAACACTCACGCACACAGTCGAACCCTCCAGAGAGCGCCTCTAGAGGAGGCCTGTTGTTAAGAAATATTACGTCGTTGTTTATTATACACTTATATTATTGTATCTCATATAAAATATATATCCTTAAGTCAGATGTTAAATAATTTTTGCGATTTTACACGTACGTGAAAAGGATTTTTTCAACGCGATGAGACAAATCTAAAAATTAATAACACATTTATTTATTACTGGGGTAATTATTAAATTACAATGTTGATTAGTTCGAGAATATGTTGATTTAGCAAAAGCCTTATTCCCAAAATATTTACATTTATCAAATATTATACTCATTGAACTGTCCTAAGTAGGAAGATATCTTGGTTTTGAATAAAAAATTAAATTTTGTTTTTTTTCAGAACATACATCAAATTATTATTATCAGTTTTTTTTGTATCTAAGATGGTATTTATTTCAACTTATTATAAAGTAAAAGGTTGTAGACATATTTGACAACTAAAACCTTCCTACTTAGAGAGGTTTAAAGATTATCATGCAGTTATTAAAAATAGTTAAATATAAACTCGGCTCAGTACACAGCTATGTTATATCAGACGTAGATCTTAGTATCTAGGCTCTAGACCTATGGTTCCCAAACTTGTTCTATCTCTTGCCAACTTTGAGAATAAATTATTTTTTTGCTCCCAATTTTATTCACCTACTGAAAAACCACTATAGTTAAAGCAGATTTAAACTTCTAGCTACCCCCCCCCCCCTCCCAAGGCATCCATACAACGCTTCTATTTTTTTCTGTGTCTCTTCCTATCCCCTTTAGATCTGCAGAATCCACAAACTTGTGGATGTGAAAAATCCTATACCCTTTATGTCTGCAGCGCTCAAATACATTGTCATCCACTTTGGGAAAGGCTGATCTAGAAGTGAATACCATAGAGTGACGTCACGTGTGGTATCAATACCTACCGACCTGTAGGGCGCTGGGTGCGGTCTAGCGAGGCGTCGCAGTAGAGCAGCTGGTGGGGACACGTCCGGGCCGTACGGACCGCGGCGAGTGTGGAGCTCGTATAGGAGCAGAGCGAACGAAAACACGTCAGACGCCTGCGACCCTAACGACCAGTTAGTGGGGAAACACTCCCCACCCCAACCACCCGCTCGTAACTGTTCTGGTGACTGATACACCAAACCTGATAGAATTTCAAGTGGTATTACTTATACGAAACTCTATATGATATAAAAGCTTTTTTAACTAAGATATGTGAAGCCAGAAGACTCAAAAAAGGGTAAAGAAAGATTTGATAAGACTGTTCAGTGGTAGATTAATTATGAATTTGGGGATAGAGTGCTATCTGCAATGAAATAAACAGAATACGAAATGTGCAAAACAGTTAATGTGAGAAATTTAACTGCTAATAAAGCTATTCAGCAATGAAATTGAATATATAATTTGGACAATCGAAAATCAAAAAAATCGGTATTCTACATACAATCGCTTTTAAATACTAGGTACTAAATTATTTAAAAGAGATTATTTTTTAATATTTTATGTTCACATGGTAAAATTAAAATTGTTTTCCAACTATCTGTAACTCAAAAAAGATTGATATTTGTTGATGATTTCCGCGGCTGGTAACCGTCATATAAAATGTATGTTGCTATCGGGTTTATTGTTCATTTTACGAGCATGCTAGAGTGTGTTTGGATAATCTAAATTAAAATTTAGTATGGATACTTTACTTACTATCAATATGAGATCTCAGTGCATTCGGTTCTGAGGGTGTTATTTCTCCTCTGCGGAATTCCCTCAGTCCGAAGTCCGCGAGTTTCACGACCCACCTCGCGTCAACGAGACAGTTTGACGGTCGAAGTGCGCCGTGATATTGTAGTGGTGATTCGTGAATGAAGATCATACCCTGGACATACATTTTATTTATTTTATTTCTTACTTGGACTATACCCTTCCCACTTGTTTCCATGTTCATGTTTTACATTGATAAACTATGATATATGAAAATTTATGACTAAGAAACTGTACACATACTGTATGTATTTTTGCGATTGACGTTTGAAACTCATTGTAAAGATATTGATGATATTTATAAAAGTCGGTAAAATGACGCAATAACATCACATTACAACCGATTGCTAATCACATTACTATAGCGGTTTCGTGAATGACAATATCCTTTATTAAGTAAATATCAATTTTTTTATTGATTTTAATGCAAACAACAAAATAAATATAGTTTATTGTCAGATGCGTAGGTTTTATCAACGGGTGGTAGAATTTTGACAGCTTATGTAATTTACTATCAAAAATGACATTCTTATTAAGCACATATTAAGATATGTATGGAAGAAATTTATGTTTAAATTTAATTTAATAGTATGAAGCATATATAAAGTACTGGCAACAGTCATATTGTTTTAACGTTAAGTTTTTTAACATGTGGGAAGATTTAAACATTTATATCAGTACAATCTATCAATGTAAGTAGGTAATGATTGTTCGAGACAATGACTTTTAACGACAGGTATTTATGCATGCGCCTGACATTAGCCAGGTATTGTTTATGGCACAATTGGATTTGATACGTAAATGAGATTCAACATAATTATTGTTGTACGTGTATCGACAGTGTGAACTCACCCTTATAATGTCACCGACGAGGGACGCGGTGAACATGTTGTCGAGTTTTATATCTTCATTCTCTATAATGTCCTGTGGAAATTATTAAATTTGAATATTTAATGTATTAGCAAATTTAATAGAGCTCCAGAAAAGGTAGAAGGCTTTTGGTTTGTTTATGTTATGCATAGATCTTGAAATACTGGTAGGAACCTATGAAAATATTGACTATAAATTTGATATACAAATGATCTTTAATTGATTTTAATTGTATGAAGTCTATACTATTACATAGATGAATGTACCAGTTAGTGTCCTTATTTAGGTTCAAGTGTGACGTCATGTTTGAGATGTAGCAATTTAGGAATGATACAAAGAGAAAGAAAACAATTGCTCATTGATTCCGACCCTTTAACTGGACTAGCTATTACTGACAGAAGTCCGTAAAATTTAACTGTTAGTTAAACACATATAAGTACGTGCTTCATTATAGTGAAATATTACTCTTTAATAAAGATTTGTATGACACATTATTCAAATGAGTATCGAATGAATTACAAAGTGTCTTAACTATATAGCTTACCTTGAGACTCCCCCTAGTACAGTACTCTGATAGTGCACACACATTGGGAGGTTCGATACACGCTCCAACGAACCCGTTCACGTTGTCGTGTTGTAAATCACGCATCTGATATAATTTTGATACTTTCGATTAATATTGAGAATATAAATTATTTTTATATATACTTCTAAATAGTACCTACTCGTTTTTTTTATGCTATGGTTTCATTCGCACTGTGGTCATGGAATATTTTGCCAATTACAACGTTTTTATTTGTTCGACGAATTATAATATTGAAGTAATAACATTGTTTACTAGTCTTTGGATGATTAATTTTGATTGAATATGTTAATGATGTTTCGACACTTAAAAAGAATTAGTACTAGGAATCGTTTGTGGTTTGACTTTCAAATGTTTATCGTTTTTCATTCATATATATTTTTTATTACTAATGAATGAAAAACATTGAATTGGCACATTAAAAGTAGTAGAGTAACACTAACACTTAAAGCTTTCCTTCACTAAGCTAATGTTTCTGGCATTTTGTATTTATATATACATATTATATCGGTCTGTAGGCGTCGGGCAATATACTTCTTAATGTAAACTGTAAAGCCACCTTCAAGCAACTTTCGTATATAAATCAATTTATTTTCCTTATAGAAGTTCGGTAAAATCTAAATTTTACTACATAACATAAACAAGAATGTTATTTAAACTATACATTGACCTATTGCAAAAAAATGGTTTGGTAAAGTTATTTGTATTTATATGTTTATACAGAGTGTTTCTTTTGTATATATTACGTAAGGTTATACAAACATTAATATACATCACGAACTAGTTCAGAATTGTGGATCAAATAATACCCATACTACTATTACAATTTATATTCGGAGAAAAAACATGTTGTTTTCGTAGACTACCATTGATTTATATAGGGGATTTTTCGGAAATAAATGAAAGAATAAATCAAAAGGAATTGAAATGTTTTTAAATAATAATAATGTATTATTTATTATAAGAATGAACTTAATTTTGGTTATTAAAATTCAAACTAAAACAAATAGCCTTTAGATGTGAAATATCAAATTTATCTGTTATTAAATTAGGTCTTTATTGTCTATAATTTTTAAAAGAGTTGTTTAAACATTTGATAATCAAAGAATTAAATATCTAATGATTTTAATCAAAATGTATAAAAAGTGATTTTTATTTAAATGTATCGATTTTGTTTAAAAATCTCTTATATGAATAAGTGATGAATTTGGATGTCATGGTATATGGAATATAATAAAAAACTGAATATTTATTTTACATTTAAATGTGTAAATTTATATGTAAACAAGCTCTGTGAAGATACAAATAACTTCTTTTAGTCGGAAAAGTAAGAAGACCTATTTTATTTTTTAAAAGTCGGTATTTTTTTGTATCCTACATTATGTTTTAATATTTGTATTAATGTTTATTTAATAATGAAAAATTATCATGTCTACTTTTTAATAGTTTGTTTGAAAAAATAAACGATTTATACAAGTTTTTTTATTATTACCGATCAAACACAAAAACATATGTTATTTTAAAAAGATACAGATTATACTAAACACGTTTATTTATAACTAGTTTTCCGCCCGCAGCTTCGCCCGCTAAGAGTTCGCTTATATCGCGTTTCCAAGAGAATCTTTCAAAATTCTGGAATAAAAACTATCCTATGTTCTTTCTCGAGGTTAACTCTATCTGTGTACTAAATTTCATTAAAATCAGTTCAGTGGTTTAGGCGTGAAAGCGTAACAGACAGACAGACAGAGTTACTTTCGCATTTATAATATTAGTAGGGATATATATTATTAATATAATTCAGTTCCTTTTTATACATTTATTCATATATTTATTAAAGTTAAGTTGTTTTTTCATAAAAATAAGATAAGCTATATCAGTTCACCTTGTTTTTGTTGTCATGTTCTAACGCTGTAAATCCTATGAAATTCGGAGCTTAGTATAAGCGCATTACGTGGAATTACTTACGTAGAAGGTTTTATTAGAGCTTAGTGAAAATCGTCAATTAATAATTAATTAATATGGTTAAGATTTGTTTTCTTTATTTCTAGATTATATTCTTTGATTTTATAATTTACTTGTAGTTAATGCTGGTGCTTAAAATCTTTGAGAAGACGTAATATGTGATGAAAGGAATTAAAAAATTATACGTAAAATGATGAGATCTAAGATTTTCGCGAGTACTCATTTAAATGAAACTAATATTTTTCGGATTTTACTTCCCTTTTTATTTTTGATTATAAACTACATACTCCCGACGTTTCGACCACTTTTCAGCAACCGTGATCACGAGCAGCCGAGATGTGAGTGTCATATCAATATATTCAATTCAGTTTATAATCAAAAATAAAAACGCGAAGTAAAATCCGTAAAATATTAGTTTCATTTAAATACGTAAAATATTTATATGTCAAAGGATTTCAGTTGAACCTTTTTGAATGAAATTGCCATGAATTTCGATATGCCCAAGAAGTATAAAGACTTTTTGGAAATACGGTTACAACCTAAAATATATAACTCTATATAAAATACTTACAATTTTGAGTTCCTTCTTCACTTCTCTCGTGATATCAATGTGACTTCTTCTGACTCGTTTCACTGCGAGAAGACGTCCTCTATAGAAGGCTACCTCCGTGAAAATAGCGGAGTATCTGAAGTCCAGGTCAGGGTTGGAACTCAGAGATACTTGACTGGATCGTGACACCCCTGAAACTCCAGTACTGCCAGCACAACCCTTCTCGTTTGTTATACCATTGGTGTTGTTAATTCCGCTGCTATCTTGCTGAAAAAACTTAGCTCTGATCAACTAGATATGATACTGATGTAGCTTAACCGTCTATTTGACGTAAATCAATGAGAATACAAAAAATGAACTAAAAAGTAGCAAGCATCACAAGTTTTATCGTGTTTAAATTATAATCTATAGTGTATAACTCACTTATGTAAATTCGACGATGCATGCAAAGCAATTATTGGGTGAAAGAAATTGAAACCAATACTTTATAGCAAATAAAGCTATCACCAGCTAAAGAGGAAATTCTACAGACAACACACAAGTTCCGTTTACCTACTCAGTTTGTTGCCGCGCTGATCCTCGGGTAAATGAAGGTCCCTGAAGTCAATCTTCCATAGCAGCGAGTCCAGCTCTTGTTCGTATCGCCAGCCGCGGTATAATGCGAGCGCTGCAAGCGCTAAAAGGGCGAGAGTACCTCCCGATGCACCAAGAGCCCAAGCTCCTATATGATCTGGAATGATATAGATTGTTTTTGTGTTTCATTCCCATTCCCATTTCATTTCCAGGCCCTCATTTCAAAATACATGAATATATACCAATTAACCCAATAGATTTTCATTTCTGTTTGTTAACTTTTTTTTATTGCATATGGACAGGCTATGTTTTATAATGATTTTAATCCTATGCAAAATATCTATCGCCCATATAAAGCATTTCCTCTCTATACATCTCTAAACATGTTATACATATGATACAGAATTTTTTTTTTAAATCTCAACCCTTTATTTAGCAACGACTAATTCGAGTTTATGTATGTACAGCAAGAAATAAATTCCTCAAATTAATGGCCGCATCCTTTGTATATATATTATTTATGGAGAAACTTTTCGTCCAGTCAACTTCGGTACAGATGTTGCACCCTAACGAGATTTTGACTAGAAAACTTTACGTCATCAGCGTATCTCCAATTATCAGGAAGATGTTAAGCAGATATATTTGAGTGAAATTTTTAAAAGGATACAAAAAGGTTATTGTATAGAGTTTAGGTATTGTATACCTACACATGATAATTTGTCACATACAAAATTCGAGTTTAACAAACTATAACAAAGCATGATTTATTCGATGTTTGTTTTTCAACTATTCCTATGTACTTCTCATAAATAACCATCCGGCGTCATTAGTCAATTCTTAATTAACTGTTATTTTGCTTCGTTATGCTGAACACGTTTTAAATACAAACGGGTTTAATGTTTTTTTTTAGGATTCCTTATTCTTGGGTTCTTTTCTAGCATTAGAATATGTATATTCTTGAAAAATTCAGTTTATATTATATACTAATTACGATTATTAATTCCTAATGTGAGTGTTTTTTGGTCAACAAAGGCTAAAAGTATGAGATTCTCTTTTAGATTTAATGTAACATTCTGTTGATATACCTACGTTCTACACTACAAATGACGAAAAATAATTGATCAGATTTTTTCCATAAATTAATAGAAAAAATATTGATGCGTAATTCCAACTCGCGCTTGACCGGTTTTTTGTGTAACTTTGTCTGAGATTTTTCAAAAGTTCCAAGAGCTCTAATAAATGATGTCCTTTTTCGCTGTAATTTTTTTGTTAAGTAATTAGAGTTAGTATAAAAAGCATGTTTTGTTAGCGACTTCTCATTCTAGTCTTTACAACCGTACCACGAAAACCTCATTAAAACAATCAATAGGTTGATCATACAATAGCAAACACTATTATATAGTTTATGTGCTGATGACGAATAAGGAATACTTCGCAAAGATTAGCGACAAATCTTTAAACTTTTAATTACAATTAATATTATACTATACAAATGAAGAGACAAAAACCGTTACTAAATGTGCCTCTAACTAAAGTTGACTAAACCAATATGTACTTAAATCAAGTTACTATAACATATTTGACGAAGTTCGATCTGACAGATTTGATACTTATTTTATATCCACTGATTTATAAGTTCCACTGGAACTTGTTTAATCAACATAAATAAATTGATCTCTTTCTCTCAGATATTCGATTTATTATACATACTTTTGTGACACAAAGTTTCTTATTTTCTATGTATTAGTTTTATCACATTTATTATCTGGACATCAGACTACATATTAAAAGAGGTCATTTGTAAAGTTACTAGGAGTTTTCATTGTCAATCGTTTCAAGTCACACAATCAGTTTCATCGTTTTTTCATAGACTAGTAGGGTTTAAGTTCGTACTAAGTTTGCAGACCAGACATTCACGAGAAAAGAGCTGCGTTATCACTGGGACAATTGCCCATAATAATAAAATAAGGAATTTTTATGTTTTATTGCATACGTAAAACAAGAGTGTTGCCTTTACAAAGCATTTTTTAACCATCCTATTATAGTAAAATTTATATGGACAATTCACCATTAAGTATGAATCCATTTTGTTGCGAAGATTGCTTTCTGCACTTTAAGTATTTAAAAGGTTCAACCAAGTTCTACTAAAAAAAACTAATGCTCATAATTTTACGAGTATATGTAGAAATTATACGACAAATATTAATTGGATATAATTAATTCTATTGACACATTATCAGTATTCAGTATTATCAGTTGCGCGTACGCATTAGCCCGAGTCGGTCGCGAAATGTCAAATAAATAAAACAAAATGTCGAATACGCTAAAGTGTAATGTTTGTCACATCGTGATTGATGAACTTTTATCGTATATCCAGAACAAGGTTTCGATCGCGGATGAAGTGACCTTAGTGAAAATCTGTTCGTCTGCCTTCTCGAGCGAACAAATTGAGAAGGCTAATAACTTACTCCTGGAGTCATTACCATCAGATATGCGTAAGACAGTACGTAAAGGAAAAGGCAAAGAAAACCGTGTGCTATATGATATCATTAATGTGTTTAAAATTACCGAACCCGATGCATTACCAATTTTCGTGGCACGAGATTTGGAGAAACTACCCCCAATTACCTTTGATCATTTGGATGTCTCAAAATTGTTAAAAGATCTGTTGTTAGTACAAGCTGAAATAAAAACAATCAAGTCATCCTATGCAACTGTGGAGCAGCTTGAGGATATTAAACGAGAATATCTTGGCAGAAAGATTACATCGCCCCCGTTCTCAGCGGCTAAAATTAATACGAAGAGGGGTGGCTACCGAGACAGTGGTTTGATTGGGTTGTCTTACTTGGACGATAATGTAATAAATTGTGAACAGTCTAGTAGTGGAATATTATCGCCAACTAATTACGACCCGAATTACAGAGATTTGAACTTGAATATAAATAATTTAGAGGGTAGTCAAACACAAACCCGACGCAAAATCTTACGTCATGCGCCCGGACGATACGATGTTAACGGAGACCGAAGTTTAAAACCGGTCGACGGGAATGAATCATCTTCGATAAACAATGCGAGCGGTCAACATCCGAAGATAATAGAAAAACAAACTTATGCATCACAGCTTAAGAGCGATAATACTAATGAGGGTTGGACTGTGGTACATGAAAAGTCACAGAAATCAAAAAACCGTTTTATAGGTAAAATGGGAAGCGTAATGGTAGAATCGGAAGAAAAGTTTAGAGCTGCCGATCGTAAAGTACCGTTATTTATAACTAATGTTCATAAAGACACATCGGAAATTGATATAATTACGTATATAAAAAATAAAACAAAGGAAGAAGTCAGCCTAGAAAAAATCGTAGTCAAACGTCATTGTCAATACGATGCATACAAACTGTTTGTATCTCAAAGTAAGCTGGCAATGTACCTAGATGAGAAGCTATGGCCGCGGGGAATTATTTTTCGAAAATTTGTACACTTTAAGCCAAAACAAGTTACTGAGACACCGATTACGGCTGAGATTACGAGAAGCAATCAATCTAATTAATAAATGGCTACGAATCTTATATGTAAACTAGTTTCCTTTAACTGTAAAAGTGTCAAACGTTCTGCACACTATATACAAGAGTTATGTAAAAGTTGTGATATAGTAGCTTTACAAGAAACGTGGCTTTTACCAGAAGAGTTGTCCTTTTTTGATACGTTAAGCGACGACTTCAGCTCCACGGGGGTGTCTGCAGTTGATACCTCTGCAGCTATTCTACGAGGAAGACCTTATGGTGGTGTCGCGCTGCTCTGGAGGCGTAGTGTGTTTCAGAATGTGTCTGTGGTTGAGTGTAACAACTCGCGCATATGTGCGATAAGCGTAGTGTTAAACAGTAAATCATTTTTAATTTTTAGTGTGTATATGCCTACGGATACAGTGAATAACTTAGCGGATTTTACAGACATACTAAGTTCGGTAAGTGCAATTGTAAACTCTTACGGAGAGACCTGTGTTTACGTCTTGGGCGACTATAACGCCCACCCGTCAGAACGGTTTTATAACGAACTTATTCAGTTTTGTACAGAACAGAAATGGTGTTGTATAGACGTGGATGTGCTCGGCCCTCAGTCGGATACATTTACATTTTTAAGTGAGGCTAACGGGTCAAAACGTTGGCTTGATCACTGTGTGGTCACTGAGGCTGCTAAGGAATCTGTTTGTAACGTTTTTGTTTTAAACGATGTGTTGTGGTCAGACCATTTTCCTTTAGTTTTGGAATGTAATTTAAATACACTATTGTTAACGAAATCGATCCCAAACACCTCTCCGAGTGTATTGCGTTGGGGAGAGAGAAGCGAAGATGAAATTAACACATACCGAGGGGAATGTCACAACCGGCTGACTTTGATCGACTTCCCGCATGAGCTTCGCGACTGCTATGGCCGTACATGTAACAACTCAAAGCACAGAGATGTCATTACACAAATGTATAGTAGTATAGTTCAAGCGTTGGGAGAGGCCGCCGCGGTGACTCGTAGAAATAATAATTGTGTTAGGAAAAGGAAAATTGTAGGATGGAACAAACACGTAGCTGAGGCACATGGGAGGGCGAGGAAAAAGTTTTTGTCATGGCTCGAGTCGGGTAAACCTGCCGTAGGTAAGGTTTATAATGAAATGTGTGAGGCCAGAAAAATTTTTAAGTCTCGTCTAAAATGGTGTCAAAACCACGAGGAGCAAATTAAAATGGACATTCTGGCCTCATGTCATTCTAAGAATAACTTCCGCGGATTTTGGAAGGCTACGAATAAGATGAACTTTCGGCCTTCCCTTCCCGTGAGCGTCAGTGGCGTGTGTGAACCGGAACAGATTTGTAATCTTTTTATGAAACATTTTTATATAAGATCGCCGCGGGGGCCTTCTCTATCGTTGGTTAATGTTGAGGCCGACAGGGATATGGGGATTGAGTTTAAACCACATGATGTCGCGAAGATTATATCACATATGACTAAAGGTAAATCCCCGGGACATGATGGCCTCAGCATTGAACATCTTAAGTATGCTGGCCCACTTCTGCCTCAGGTTCTTACAAAGTTTTATAACGTTTGCTTGAGTCACAGTTTTATGCCCGCCGAGATGATGCGGACGATCGTTGTGCCTATCGCGAAAAACAA